TTTAAATAATAATAATAATAACAATAGTAACAGATCGACGTAGAATATGAATTGCAACGAAGCAGAGCAGTCGGCGCAGGCCTCCGAGACGCGGGAGCAGATGCAAAATTGGGAAAAAGTCCTTTTTCTTTTCAATTCTCCAAACCGCGCGTCTTTTTTATTTTATTTTATTTTAAATCTAACAGATCGACGTAACGTATAATATGACTTTGCAACGGTGCAAAGCGGTCCGCGCTGCAAAACGACGCCTTTTTTTTTCTTTTTCTTGACAGCCTGCGAATCTTTCCCGCCCTATCCCGGTTTGGGAAGGGCGATGCAGAAAGATTGGCTCCGATGCTGCTGCAAATGGACCTAAATTCGGCCAGTTTTTGCAAGTTGCATCAATTGCGCATGTTTTTGTTTTTTTTTACAAATGCTGTTTATGGAAGTCATTGAATTAAACTAATTTAATTATTGAGCCAGTTTGATCTAGGTAGGGGTTAAGGAAGCAGGATAGAAAGCTGGAGCAGGTGGGGCTAGTCCAGTTGAGGTCTAGTCCCTCTCTAGCCATGAAAGCCAGCTGGGTGACTTTGGGCAAGTCCTTCTCTCTCTCTCTCAACCCACCCCATTGTGAGGTACACAATAAATGTACATAGTTATAATTTTTCATTTCTGCTAAAGGAATAGGCATATAGCAGTATTTGGCTAAGGTGTTTTTTTAGGAAAGGAGATGTGGTAAGCTGGAAGAATAGAGAGGAAATTTATATGCTGACTCAAAGCATACTTTCAGAATAGTGCACACTATTACATATGCCTTTAGCTTATGAATAACATTATTCATTTTATATAAGGTGTATTCTTTATTAAAACTGTCTATAATAATAATAGTAAAGTTGGAAGGGACCTTGGAGGTCATCTAGTCCAACCCCCTGCTCAGGCAGGAAACCCTAGACCATTTCAGACAAATGGCTGTCCAGTCTCTTCTTAAAAACTCCCAGTGTTGGAGCATTCACCGCTTCTGGAGGCAGGCTGTTCCGCTGGTTAATTGTTCTCAATGTCAGGAAGTTTCTCCTTAGTTCCAGGTTGCTTCTCTTCTTAATTGGTTTCCATCCGTTGCTTCTTGTCCTGCCTTCAGGGGCTTTGGAGAATAGCTTCACTAGAGCTAGTATTTTAAAGTGTAACTGTGAACCAAAGTGCAGCCATGTTTAACCGAAGCAATGAACTCTGTTACACACACAGCTTCTAGAACAGTGGTTCTCAACCTTTTTAATGCCGCGACCCCCCCCAACCGGTCGTAAGTCGAGGACTACTCAACTGGTTGTAAGTCGAGGACTACTCAACTGGTGCAGCACCGTTTGCAGAATGGGATTTTTGGTGGGCTCAGCAGGGCAGAGACAGCCTGGACAATTCCTATTGGCTTTGGAAAGCCAATAGAATTAGACTCTATTCAAGAGAGTCTATTCTATTGGCTTTCAAAAGCCAATAGAATAAAAGGGAGTAGCACAGCTAAGGAAAAGGGGGAAAAAATGGCGGACTGCGTTGTTTGGCGACCCCTGTGAAATGGTCGTTCGACCCCTAATGGGGTCCCGACCCACAGGTTGAAAACCACTGTTCTAGAATGAAAAGCAGGCACTCTTATAGGTAAATGAGGGAAGAATAAGTCCTTTACAGTTGCAATTATCCAGTTTGGTTAACAGTTCACCTTGTAGAGAAGCTACACCCTGAGTTAGCAGGATGTTACAAATCATGCCACAGAAAAGGGAGGGGAGGGGCACACAAAGAAAGTGGTATCCATAAATTTATCTCCAATCCAGCAGCTTCCTTTCAATCGATAAGTTTTATTTAGGTATTTATTTAGAACACTCCCATAATTTTATTCAGAAATGGCTGTCACAAAACTAACAGTTAAAAACAGCATTATAACATCATAACACAATGAATATATACATATATATACATACACACGCACACACACATATATATGTGTGTTTGTGTGTGTATGTATGTATATATATATGTATATATATGTTTTTGGAGGTTTTCGCGGGTGTTTGTATGTAGGTCTTTGATTATTCGGGTATTCTCCCGCGTAAAATTGGAAGTGTCTTGGCAACGTTTTGACGAAGTCCCATTCGTCATTTTCATGCTGGTGTTTTCAGCTTCGTGCTTTGAGGACCACACATTGCTAAGGCCACACATTGCTCCTCGAAGCACGAAGCTGAAAACATCAGCCTGAAGATGACGAATGGGACTTAGCTAAGACCACACATTGCTCCTCGAAGCATGAAGCTGAAAACACCAGCCTGAAGCTGACGAATGGAACTTCGTCGAAACGTTGCCAAGACACTTCCAATTTTACGCGGGAGAATACCCAAATAACCAAAGACCTACATGTATATATATATATGTGTGTGTGTGTGTGTGTGTGTGTGTGTATGGTTTTCTCGCGTGTCAAATTGGAAGTGTCTTGGTGACGTTTCGACGAAGTCTCATTCATCTTCAGGCTGGTGTTTTCGGCTTCGTGCTTCTAGAAGCAATGTGTGATCATAGCTGTTTCATACCCCCACTGGCAGTTAAAAGGAAGAAACAGCTACGATCACACATTGCTCCTAGAAGCATGAAGCCGAAAACACCAGCCTGAAGATGACGAATGGGACTTCGTCGAAACGTCGCCAAGACACTTCCAATTTTACGCGGGAGAAAACCCGAACAACCAAAGACCTACATACATATATACATATACACACACATATATATCTATACATATCTATCATATATATATATGTGTCGAGAGATCGACGGAGATGTGAACACAAGTGCTCGAGAGAACGACGGAAGAAATCTTTACTCCGATCCCCCCTCCCACCTATCAGCTGTTCAGCGGCGAATGCTGGCACGGTCTAGGAACCAAGCGCAGACGTCTATGGAACCCGTTTAAACCACCCGTTTAAACCACCTTGTTAGAAACAGTCTCTCAGCCCTGAAGATGTTGGGGAGTTTTCCCAACGAAAGCTTGGCAACCTTTTAATATAGTAAAATACTTTAATTAAAGTATTTTAACTTTAAACTCTCCTGGTGAACGCGCTTTATTCATTCCATTTATAATTATGCCCGGGAGTCGCATTTTCACCATCATTATTGAATATATATATATATACATACATACACACACACACATACATACATACATATACATATATGGGGGGGCGGAGTCAACGGGCCAAATCCAATCCCTCCTGCATTACCAAAATATCAAAATAGTACCCAGTAGTGCCAAAATGCAGATAGTCCTCAAGTTACGACCCCAGTTGAGCCGCAAAATGGACCCTCCTCCAAAGTCACTGATAAAAATGTGGAATAGCACCCAGGGGATTTAACAGAATTACCGTGTTGGAAGGGACCTCGGTGGTCTTCTAGTCCAGCCCCCTGCTCAAGCAGGAGACCCTATCCCAGTGATGGCGAACCTTTTAGAGATCAAGTGCCCAAAACCCGCCCCCCCACCCTGTCCCTGCTCCGCCCTGCCCACCGGGCCACCCACGACCTCCACGGCCCGCCATAGATCACCCAGGCAGCCCAGCGCCATGGCGGTTATGCCTTCCGCCCATGCCATGCCCCGCAGCATCATCTGCGCGCGACGGGGCACAAGGGCGGAGTCTTGTCCCCGTTGCCCGGCTACCACGTCCTTGGCTGCGCTGCTTCGTGTGGGCCACGCCCAGGGGCGACTCTCCTCCGGAGGGGCTGCTGGTGAGGAGGGGGCCGTGGGAGGAGGCGGGGCTGGGGAGACGGTGCGTGTGCCCACAGAGAGGGCTCCGAATGCCGCCTCTGGCACCCGTGCCATAGGTTCGCCACGACTGCCCTATCCCATTCTAGACAGGTGGCTGTCCCATCTCTTCTTAAAAGTCTCCAGTGATGGCGCACCCACAACTTCTGGAGGCAGGTCGTTCTGCTGATTAATTGTTCTAGATAGCCTGGCCCTGTGCCATAGAGGGCTTTAAAGGTGAGGACTAGCAGCTTGAATTGCAGCTCACAGAACAGTGGTGTAACATGGGCAAACTCCTATCACGGCACACAGGGCTGCCTTCTGGATCAGTGGTAGCTTCTGGGTGGTCTTCAAGGGCAGCCCCACGTAGTATGCATTTGAGCAATCCGGACGGGAGGTGACTAAAGCAGGAGAGACTGTGCAAAGCCTCCCCATCCAGGAATGGGACAATTGAAGCACCAAACTAGACCAAGCACACACACACACACACACACACACGGTTGCCACCTGCTCCTCTAACAGGAGCCCTGAGTCCAAGAGGACCCCCACCCCAAATTGCAGGGGTCCTGGAGGATTTGCACCCTATCTAGCCACAGCTGGCTGGGGAATTCTGGGAGATGGAAGTCAAAGATCCCTCTGACCCTTTGGGAAAGGACGTGTTGATTGTTGAGGGCCACAGAGGATGGACTTTGTGATACTTGAAACATGGGTTTTCTGGTATTTTAAGGCTCCTGGGACATTACCGGCAAGACAATGGAGAAAGCAAAATTCAAAATGCAAGAAAAGCCACGTGAATTAGCCAGTGCAACAGTATTACAAAAACCACGTCTCAAGTACCGCAAAGTCCATCCTCTCTGGCCCTCGTTTTGCTCCCCCCCCACGTTTATGACTTTCTTTGCCACAGTTGTTGTGGGAAGCGTTGTTGTTGTTGTTAATTGCGAAGTCGTGTCCGACCCATCGCGACCCCATGGACAACATTCCTCTAGCATTGCATTTGTTCAATTAGTCACACGGTTGTGTAAAGTGTAATGCATCAGCTGTCACTAGAAAGCCGGGCCTGTGCCAGGGCTATTTGCAAAAGATGCCCCCGCCTCTTCCCAAGCCCTGGAGCTTCCCCCGAAATTGCGGGAAGGGCATGTAAACAGCCAGGGGGGCATGTGTGTGTGTTTGTTCGTGTGTGTGTTTGTGTGTGTGTGTGTGTGCCTTCCAGGATAAAAGCCACCCTGCCGTCCGAGCTGCGCAGTCAGCGGTCGCAGAGTGGGTTCCCGTCGCCTGTGGAGTGGAGGAGCGAGAAGCTGGAAGGGACCTTGGAGGTCTTCTAGTCCAGCCCCCCGCTCAACAGGAGAGCCTATACCATCTCAGACAAGTGACTGTCCAGCCTCTTCTTAAAATTCTCCAGGAATGGAGCACCCACGATTTATGGGCTTGCGGATCCTGCCGGAGGCCGAGCTGTGGGGCTTTGCCCGGCAGCCCGATGGAGACTCCCGACGGTGGGCCAGTGGGAGCCTCTTCCACCAGCCGATGGGCGACCCGCAGGGCCCTCTGAACCCGGCGGACCGGCTGCGCGTGGTGCTGCTGGACGCCTTCCCGCTGCTGGCCCTGGAGGAGCCCGGTTCCAGCTCGAAGGGACGGACGTGGATGCCGTTCCTCCGTGGGCGCGGACGGCACCAGCTGGCCCTCAACGTGGCTGGCTTCTCGGCGGAGGAGCTGTCGGTCAGGCTGGAGGGGAGGAAGCTGACGGTCCTGGGCCAGCATGAGCAGGAGACGGCGGGCCTGGACGGCTGCCTGTGCCGGGAGACCCGCCAGGTGCGCCAGGAGCTGCTGCTGCCCCCCGACGCCGACCTGGAAGCCCTCACCTGCGCCTTGGCCCACGACGGGCATCTCCGCGTCCAGGCCCCGCGCCTGCAGCGCACCATCCCGGTCACCGTGGAGAGGAGCCCGTCCGAGGCCAGTGAGACAGATGGAGGGGCCGAGGCCAGCGCTGCGGGAGGAGGCGAGAAGCTGGACGGGGCGGGGGAGCAGTGAGACGGCTTCCAGCCCAGTCTTCTGGTTAGCGGCTTTGGACGGCGTTTTTCCAGGCGTCACGCAGCAGCAAGGATGGGGCCAGGGTCCTTCTGTACGTAGCAGCTGCGGGGGGAGAGGACGCGCTTGCTTCATTCACACGACTCGGGGTTCTGAGCTTTTCTTGGCAAATAAAGCTGCTTTCTGTCAGACTTGCTTTGGCCCGGCCTGAGTTAATTGGGGGGGGGGGGCGGCGGCGCTGGTGTGTGTGTGGGTACCTCAGGAATGGAATGGAGTGGAATGGAACAGAATAAAAATAGAACAGAATTGGAATAGAATAGAATAGAAAAGAATAGAAATAATGAGAATAGATTTAGATAGATGATGGATAGGAATAGATGGATGATGAATAGAATAGAAATAGATGAATAGAATAGAATCAGATAGATGAATAGAATAAAAATAGAATTAGATAGATGATGAATAGAATTAGAATAGAAAAAATAGAATAGAAATAATGAGTAGAATAGAATAGAATTAGATAGATGATGAATAGAATAGAAATAGATGATGAATAGAATTAGAATAGAATAACCTTTATTGTCACTTTAAATCAGGGGTTCTCAACCTTGGTAACTTTAAGACTTGTGGACTTCAACTCCCTGAATTCCTCAGCCAGCAAAGCTGGCTGAGGAATTCTGGGAGTTGAAGTCCACAAGTCTTAAAGTTGCCAAGGTTGAGAACCCCTGCTTTAAATGCACACAAATCGGCATGCATTAAAATGACATTTCGTTGCATTCAGCTCTCAAAAGGTCACCACTTCCAATATGCAATACATAAGCATGACAAAAGCTTATGCCTATAACCACATGCATACGGGCAGAAATTAGGTGTCCAGTTCAGCCCCTCTACTCTAGTAAGCTTCTGTGCTATCAGCCCCCTTTACCACAAAGATCCTGCAGGAGAAGGGCAGTATGGACAACCATGGGTCATGGCAGGGTGAGAGCTGTGAACCATAAACACCAAGCTTTCGCTATGTCCCTGCACAACAGCTACAGTGCTCTTGCTGACCTTAATAGGGACATTAAGGAGACTGGTAAAGGTATTTGTGAAGATAACTCAAATAAGCAGGGGATTGTGGTCCGAGATGAAGAACTAGATTTTGATAGGGAGAAGTGTGAATCAGGTATTGCACATCAGTCATGCAAGAATAGAAAGGCTCCCAAAAAGAGAAGCTACCTTCTGGTAGGTGATTCAATTATAAGGGATGTAAATTTAGGAAAGGACACAGAGGCTTTGAAAGAGGTCAGGTGTCTTCCAGGTGCTACTGCCAGTAGGGACAAGAAGCGTATTTCTAAAATAATCAAGAATGGCAGCAAGGACTGTGATGTGGAGGCTATTGTACATCTTGGCACTAATGATCTGTCCCAAAAAGATGTACTCTCTGTGCAGAATGATTTCCAGAGCTTGGGGAAGGAACTTAGCAGAATAGGCTGTAGGCTTACTTTCTCAGAGGTTTTACCAGTGTATAAGGAGCAAAACGGAAAAGGCCAGCGCATAGCACAATTCAATATGTGGCTAAAGGAATGGTGTAAAGGGGAAGGCTTTGGATATATTAGTCACGATGTCAGTAGCTGGTCCAATCAAAAGATGTACAAAAGAGATGGTTTGCATCCATCAAAAAAAGGGACTGAGTTACTCGGCTATAAATTCACAGATTTTCTGGAGGGAAATTTAAACTAAACAGCGGGGACAGGGAGTTAATTGATACGGAACAACCCTGTCCCCGGCAATTTAAAAACTATAGGGCTATCAGTGCATGTAGCACAGATGTGTGTGTGGACAAGAATACCAACCTTGCTACCAATCAAAATGAAGCCTCTAATAGCGAGTGCCATATAAAGTGCACTAACCAAATAGGTGGTAAGACAATAGGGGAACTCAGGCACCACACAGGTTATGTAGAAAGGAAACACAGGGCCACCCACAAAGGACTCAAATGTTTATACACCAATGCACAAGTATGAACAGCAAACAGGGTGAACTAGAAATTCAGGTTAATGAGGGCAGATACGATATTGTTGCCATTACGGAAACATGGTGGGATGAAACTCACACATGGAACACACAGCTAGAGGGATTTAAATTATTTAAAAGAAACAGACCAAATAAAAGAGGAGGTGGAGTTGCTCTCTATATAAGAAATAACTACATCTTCACAGAAATAGAGTACAACAATGATAAAAACTGTCTTGAATGCATTTGGGTCAATATAAAAAGGGGGGGGGAATGACATTGCCATAGGTGTATACTACAGACCACCCAACCAAACAGAGGAAATAGATGAACTTTTTGCTAGTCAGCTAACTAAGGTATGTAGGAAGCACATCACAATAGTAATGGGGGACTTTAACTACCCTGACATCAACTGGGAGACAAACTCTGCACCAAGTGGAAGATCAAACAGGTTCCTGGCAAACCTAGCAGACAACTTTGTCTCCCAAAAGTAGAGAATGGAACTAGGGGATTAGCCATTTTGGATCTAATTCTCACTAACAGAGATGAAATGATAGACGGTGTTGAAGCCATAGGAACCCTGGGAGGAAGTGATCATGCAATATTAGAATTCAACATTATAGAAGCACAACCAATAGAACACAGTCAAACTAGAGTCTTGGACTTCAAGAGAGCTAATTTCAATAAACTTAGAGAGGGCTTGGGAAGGATTCCATGGATGAGAATCCTCAAGGGGAAAACAACTCAAGAAGCTTGGGAAATTTTGAAAAATGAGATAATAAAAGCACAGTCTAGCACAATACCAACAAAGAGGAAAAATAACAGCTCTCAAAAGAAACCAGCATGGCTGCATAAAGAACTCTCTGACAAATTGAAAGATAAAAAGGACAAGTATAGAAAGTGGAAAGAGGGGAACATAACTAAGTCAGAATATCAGCAAATAGCCCGAGCCTGCAAAGATGAAGTGAAGAAAGCCAAGGCTCAAAATGAACTGAGGCTTGCGACCAAAGTCAAAAATAACAAAAAAAGCTTCTTTCAACATGTAAAAAACAAGAAAAAAGTGAAGGAAATGATTGGTCCATTAGTGGGTGGAAGTGGCAAGAAGGTGACAAGCAACAGGGAGAAAGCAGAACTATTTAACTCATTTTTTGCATCTGTCTTTACACAAAGGGAAAAAACAGACCAACCTATCAAAAATAGTGCCACAAAAAACAAAACAGAAACACAAGTTAAGATAGGCAAGAAAATCGTTAGTGAGCACCTGTCCAGCCTAGATGAGTTCAAATCGCCAGGACCAGACGGATTACACCCCAGAGTTCTCAAGGAACTGGCAGATGTGATATCGGAGCCACTGAACTATATTTTTCAAAGATCCTGGAACACAGGGGAACTACCAGAGGACTGGAAAAGAGCTGATGTAGTTCCCATCCTCAAAAAAGGAAAAAAAATGGATCCAGGAAATTACAGACCTATCAGCCTGACCTCAATACCTGGGAAGATCCTGGAAAAGATAATCAAACAACGAATCAACGAACACCTAGAGGCAAACAAAGTCATTACTAAAAGCCAACATGGGTTTGTCAAAAATAGATCATGCCAGACAAATCTTATTGCATTCTTTGACCAAGTGACAAAATTAGTGGATCAGAGGAATGCTGTGGACATAATTTACTTGGACTTCAGTAAGGCATTTGATAAAGTAGATCACAACCTACTACTTGACAAGATAGAAAAATGTGGGGTAGACAGAACCACCACCAGATGGATCCGTAGCTGGCTGACCGGCCGTACTCAGCGAGTGGTCCTCAATGGAACTGCATCTATATGGAGGGAAGTGTGTAGTGGGGTGCCCCAGGGCTCTGTTCTGGGCCCAGTACTCTTCAACATCTTCATCAACGATTTGGATGAAGGGATAGATGGGGAACTCATCAAATTTGCAGACGACACCAAGCTGGCAGGAATAGCCAACACTCCAGAAGACAGGCTTAGATACAGAAGGATCTGGACAGACTTGAACACTGGGCACTAACTAACAAAATGAAATTCAATGGTGAAAAAAGCAAGGTTCTACATTTAGGCAAGAAAAACCAAATGCACAAGTACAGCATAGGTGGCACCATGCTCAATAGTAGTAACTGTGAGAGGGACCTCGGAGTCCTAGTAGACAATCACTTAAATATGAGCCAGCAGTGTGCTGCAGCTGCCAAAAAGGCCAACACAGTGCTAGGCTGCATTAACAGAGGGATAGAATCAAGATCACGTGAAGTATTAATACCACTCTTCAATGCCTTGGTAAGGCCACACTTGGAATACTGCATCCAGTTTTGGTCACCACGATGTAAAAAAGATGTTGAGACTCTAGAAAGAGTACAGAGAAGAGCAACAAAGATGATTAGGGGACTGGAGGCTAAAACATATAAGGAACGGTTGCGAGAATTGGGTATGTCTAGTTCAACGAAGAGAAGGACAAGGGGGGACATGATAGCAGTATTCCAATATCTCAGGGGCTGCCATAAAGAAGAGGGAATTAAGCTATTTTCCAAAGCACCTGAAGGCAGGACAAGAAGCAACGGGTGGAAACTAATCAAGGAGAGAAGCAACCTAGAACTAAGGAGAAACTTCCTGACAGTGAGAACAATTAATCAGTGGAACAGCTTGCCTCCAGAAGCAGTAAATGCTCCAACACTGGAAGTTTTTAAGAAGAGACTGGACAGCCATTTGTCCGAAATGGTGTAGGGTTTCCTGCCCGAGCAGGGGGTTGGACTAGATGACCTCCAAGGTCCCTTCCAACTTTACTACTATTACTATTACAAATATATAACTCAGAGAAGCAACACAGTTTAGTTCGGATGGAGACGTATACATGGAGAGGAAAAAGAATCCTGTGAATCCAGTGGGCACCTTGGGGGCGCATGATGTTCCAGAGGCAGAAAAGGCTCTTCGCCTAGTAGTCCCTCCTGCCATCCTGGCTTCCTGGACCAATGCAGTCAGCATCATCCCGCTTCCGCTGCTGCGGGTGGCAGAGGCCCCCAACCTTTTTGGCCCCAGGGATCAGTTTTGTGGAAGAGAATTTTTCCATGGACGGGGAGGGGGAAAGGAGGAGGAGGAGAAACCCGCAACTGAGATCCCGTGCATGCACAGTTTTTCTTGCCCATGGCTCACCTCCAGCTATGTGGCCCGGTTCCTAACAGGCCATGAACTAGGACCGGTCTGCAGCCGGGGTGGGGGGGGGGGACCCCCGGCCTATAGAATTTCTGGCCAGCAAGAAGAGGCTATTGGCCAAGTCTGCCTAATTATTTGGGCATCTTGTCATCCTGGAAGATCCGGTACAGTGGTTCTCAACCTTTCTAATGCCGCGACCCCATAATACAGTTCCCCATGTTGTGGTGACCCCCAACCACTTATACATCACCGGGTGCCAGGGGCGTGGCCAAAGAAAAGGGAAAAAAAATGGCGGACAGCCTTGTTTGGCGACCCCCGTGAAATGGTCGTTCGACCCCAAATGGGGTCCCGACCCACAGGTTGAGAACCACTGATCCAGTAGAAGGCTCCTGGAGCTGCCTCTGAAAGGGCCCCCGGAGCCCAGTAGGTTCAGGGTGCCTGCCACAGTCTACCAAGCAGGGCTGGGTAGTCCCTGGATGGGAGACCACCAGGAAACCACTGGGCAAGCAGCTACATTGAAGATGCTCCAAAGGGTCCCGAAAGAAGGCGATACTTGGGGAGTTTTTTTGCCCCACCCTCCAGAAATCCAGAGGGACTCGTGGTGATCCCAAAGGCCCTGACAGGACCCAGAGAGGAGACCCCAGAGGAAAGGGCACCTCCAGGCGAGCCCCAGCGAGGATTTGGGAACGGAGACCACCAGGAAATCCCAGGATTTATTTATTTATTTATGAGACTTATATACCGCTTTAAGTGCAAGCACTCTCTAAGCGGTGTACACCAGTAAGCAATGTATATAGATATTTTTACATTGCCCCCAACAATCTGGGTCCTCATTTTACCTACCCCGGAAAGATGGAAGGCTGAGTCAACCTTGAGCCGGTGAGATTTGAACCGCTGACCTGTTGAACACAGTCAGCTAAAGTGGCCTGCAGTACTGCACTCTAACTGCTGCGCCGCCACCTCGGCTCAGTGTAAAGGGATACACTGAGTGGGGGGGGGGAACCCTCCTTCGACAGAAGCAACCGCGGTTGGGTCTGTGCTCAAACTAGACACGTGTCATGTTACATTCCTACGAACTCCCAGCCTTCCGGTTGAACTTCTGCCTGGCTTCTGCCAAAGGAGGAGGGAGGAGTCTTGTGATCCATGCCGGGGGGGGGGGACGGTCCTGGGGTGCCCCTCCCCCCTTCAATCATGGGGCTGTAAGGGATCCCTTCGCCAGACGCCAGACCCCCTCGGACTACAAGGCCCATCAGCCTCCGCCACCGCGGCTGCGGATAATGGGCTTTGGAGTCAGCCGCCGGTGAGTGGTGCGGGCGCAGAGGGCCGCCCCGCCCTCACTGAAGTTGGGGAGGGCCTCCCCCTCCCTTCTCCCTCCCTTTCGAGGTGCGGGAAATCCCCGGCTGGAGCCACGTGGTGGGATTTCCCCCGCCCCGCCTCACCCCTCGGATGGCGCTTCCGATTGGCCAAGCCTTGGTGTCCATCAAGGGAAAAGGGAGGGGAAACAGAACTGTCCGTGTGCCCCCCTTCTCCCCCTCCCTTCCATCCCGTCGTTGATTGGGCAAGCCTCGGCGTCCATCAAGAGGAAAGGGCGGGGAAAGAGAACTCTCCGTGCGCCCTTTTCACCCCCTCCCTTCCATCCCGTCGTTCATTGGACGAGCCTCGGCGTCCATCAAGAGGAAAGGGCGGGAAAAGAGAACTCTCTGGGCGCCCTTCTCACCCCCTCCCTTCCATCCCGTCGTTGATTGGGCGAGCCTCGGAGTCCATCCAAGGGAAGGGGGAGGAAAAGAGAACTGTCCGTGCGCTCCTCCCCCCCTTTCTATCCCGTCGTTGATTGGGCGAGCCTTGACGTCCATCAAGAGGAAAGGGCGGGAAAAGAGAATTCTCCGTGCCCTTCCTCCCCCCTTCCTTCCATTGATTGGGCGAGCCGCTTGGCGGCGGCGCCCTGATTTGTCGTCGCGGCCGCCGATTGGCCGTCCGTGGGTCGACGTCACGCCCGTCGCCTGGCCGACTGAGGGGAGCCCAGTTTCCTCAGAGTTTCCCTCAGGAGGGGCCGCAGTGGCGCCTTCTTCTCCGCTTTCGGACCGGGCGAGCGACGAGCCACGGCGGAGGCGAGCCAGGCCGGCCTTTCGCTCCGTCTGTCCCGCCGAGAGGAGCCGAGGAGCCCCAGTCCCGCCGTCGGGCCGGCTCCGGAGCTGCCGCCGCCCCGCCGGCTCCTTCCCGCCGCTGGAAGAAGGCCGAGGCCGGGCGACGAGAGGCTTCGGGGAAGGCCCGGGGCGGCCGAAGGAGCCGTCGCGGGGGCCTCGCTCCTTCCTCCCTCTCCCGCTTCTTCTTCCCTGCCTTCAGGCGGCCTTTGACTCCCGGCCGCCTCAGAGGTAGATTTTCTCCGTCGTGGTCGGTCGCTCCCCTGGCCTTTCGGGCCTTCCAACCGTAAAAGGCCTCCTCCTGGTGGCTGCTGGTTGCCCTTCAGACGTGGCCTCTTGAATGCAGGCAGTCCTCGACTTACGACGACTCGTTTAGTGACCGTCCCGAGTTGCAACGGCCCTGGGGGAAAAAGTGACTTGTGACCGTTTTTCACACTTTTCGGCCGTAGCCGCATCCTCAGGGTCCCATGATCAAAATTCAGCCGCTCGGCAACTGACTCGTATTTATGAGGGTCGCAGCCACATCCACAGGGTCACATGATCAAAATTCAGCCGCTCGGCAACTGACTCGTATTTATGACGGTCGCAGCCGCATCCTCAGGGTCCCATGATCAAAATTCAGCCGCTCGGCAACTGACTCGTATTTATGACGGTCGCAGCCGCATCCACAGGGTCACATGATCAAAATTCAGTCACTCAGCAACTGACTCGTATTTATGACGGTCGCAGCCGCATCCCCAGGGTCACATGATTAAAAATTCAGTCACTCAGCAACTGATTTGTATTTATGATGGTTGCAGCGTGTCCCGTAATCCCCTTTTGCAACCTTCTGACCAGCAAAGTCAATGGGGGGGGAAATCAGATTCACTTAACGCCCGTGTGATTGACTTAACCACTGCAGGGCTTCACTTAACAACCGTGGCCAGAGAGGTCGTAAAATGGGGCACAACTCACTTCACAAATTTCTCACTGAGCAACATAAATTGGTTGCTCAGTGAGAAATTGGTGGTCGTAAGTTAAGGTGGTCGTAAGTTAAGGACTCAATGGTGGTCGTAAGTTAAGGACTACCTGTGCTTATAACTATATCAGTGGTGGCGAACCTATGGCACGAGTGTCAGAGGCGGCACTCGGAGCCCTCTCTGTGGGCATGCGCGCCGTCGCCCCAGTCCTAGGCCTTCAGCTGGGTTTTATAAAACCTTTTCACTTTAGGCCTCCGCTGCCATGTGCAAAAAAAAAAAAAAGTTTCAATCAATCAGTCAATTTCAACTTGTTGCGGAGAAAAAAAGATCTTGCAAAGTTAGAATTGATTGATTGAACTTTTTAGCCCTTACCAGCGCAGCCATGCCCACCCAATGGGCCACACCCACCCAGTGAGCCACGCCCACCCAGCACCCGACGATAGATAAATGGGTTTTGGGTTGCAATTTGGGCACTCGGTCTCTAAAAGGTTCGCCATCACTGCTCTATATCATCTATTGATTATACGCCTCAAATGTTGGCCTGACCAATCACAATAAGTCGGTTTTTCAGCCTGTTCGTTTGTCCCTAACCTGGCCTTTCAACTCTTCCGACGGTGCCCTGTAGCTCATTAAAATATGCACAAATTAAACAGATCTTGCCCAGAAACTAGCAGCATTAATTGCATTCTGTTGCACTGGCCATGAGGTCCTCAAGTGTACATTGATCAGAACACAAGATTGTCTGGATTGCATATGTGTTGTAGTCTGCTTGTTACCACAATCGCTGGGATGTGGACGTCTCTGCTGTACAAAATGCCAGTGTACTATTACTGTTGTTACAAGTATAAATATATTGTGTTGCAAATGTAGTTGACTTGTCAACTTTGGGGAACGTATGAGTCCTGGTCGCACCGTGTTTAGAATGCAGCATTGCAGACAAATTCTGCCCACTGCCAGCAGTTCAATCCTGACCGGCTCAAGGTTGACTCAGCCTTCTGTCCTTCCGAGGTCGGTAAAATGAGGATCCAGATTGTTGGGGGCAAATAGGCTGACTTTGTAAACCCCTTAGAGAGGGCTGTAAAGCTCTGTGAAGATATATATTAGTCTGAGTGCTATTGCAAAGGAAGGAAGGAAGGAAGGAAGGAAGGAAGGAAGGAAGGAAGGAAGGAAGGAAGGAAGGAAGGAAGGAAGTTGTGGTGCACAGGAGTTCAATTTTGATGAAGTTCAAGGTTGACCCGGCCTTCCATCCTTTTGAGGTTGGTAAAATGAGGACCCAGATTGTTAGGGGGGCAACTGCTTAGAGCAGTGGTTCTCAACCTGTGGGTCGAGACCCCATTTGGGGTCGAACAACCATTTCACGGGGGTCGCCAAATAACGCAGTCCGCCATTTTTTCCCCCTTTTCCTTAGCTGTGCTACTCCCTTTTATTCTATTGGCTTTTGAAAGCCAACATAATAGATTCTCTTGAATAGAGTCCAATTCTATTGGCTTTCAAAAGCCAATAGGAATTGTCCAAGCTGTCTCTGCCCTGCTGAGCCCGCCAAAAGTCCCATTCTGCAAACGGTGCTGCACCAGTTGAGTAGTCCTCGACTTACGACCGGTTGAGTAGTCCTCGACTTACGACCGGTTGGGGGTCGTGGCATTAAAAATGTTGAGAACCACTGGCTTAGAGAGAGTGCTGTAAAGCCCTGCAAAGCGGTATGTAAGTGCTTTGCAATGTCATCAAAACACGTCCCACAAGATTCCTTTGGAGCCATTGTTCTGTGAACGTGCTTCGGATGGCCTTCAAACAATTTTCATGGTCCTTGCTCTAAATAAATAAATAATCCTTGGAGATCAGGAGTACCCACGCTGGCTTAATCTTCTCTAGCAGTTTCAATTTCAGTGTATGTACGAGGCTATTTTTATATCTGAGAAAATAAATTGGGTCAGAGGCTGATTGTGCCTTTGTTTGATTTAGGACCGAAGACATTGTACGATGGATGCCACAGACCCGCGCTGTTCTTACCAGCCTTCACAGTTGGACAGGAACATGTACTACATCTTGACCGAAAACCACTATTATGGCAGCAAGCTTTTTCAGGCAGGGAGCATGTGTTATCTGAAAGAGCAGACATACCTGCAGCACATTAGCAGGACGTCCACTCGCTTGTGGAGATTTGTGATGGAACAGGATGGCTCTGTGGCTACTTTGGACGTGGAAAGCCTGCAGCCGGTGAACGAGAAGATGGCCGACTTCCTTTTGGCCATTAGCAACGCTCAGGAACGCTTGAACTGTTTTCTAGACAGGCAAGCTCTAGAAGCTGCCGTGACGGCCGAAGAAGGCCAGCAGGTCTTGGTCGATCTGGGAGATCAGTTTTCCCCCGCTACCGTCCGCTATATTGGAAGACTTCACCACAGCCCTTTACCGTCAGGGCTCCATCCAATTTACTTTGGAGTGGAATTGCAGGTAACAATGGATGATAGTTTTGTGCCAGGAGGTGACAAAGTACAGGTACTCCTCCTCGACTTACGTTTCATTTAGTGACCGTTCAAAGTTACAATGGCAATGAAAAAATGTGACTTACAACCGTTTTTCACAGTTACGGCCTTTGCAGCATCCCCGTGATCGTGTGATCCAAACTCAGATGCTTGGCAGCAGGTCCATATTTATGACCATTGCAGTGTCCCAGGATCACACTTCCCCTTTTTTGCGACCACCCAACAAGCCACGTCAGTGTGGAAACCAGATTCACTTAACATCCAGGTTACTGACTTATCAATTGCAGCGATTCACTTCACAATTGTGGCGAGAAAACTCACTTAACGCAATGTCTCAGTAACAGAAATTTTGGTGGGAGCTCAAATTGTGGTAGTAAGTTGAGGACTCTCTGTAGTCAACTTAACCTGTTGTATGCGGACCTATCTCTTCATCACCAGGATAATAATAATAATGTTGGAAGGGACCTTAGAGGTCTTCTAGTCCAACCCCCTGCTCAGGCAGGAAACCTTACACCATTTCGGACAAATGGCTGTCCAGTCTCTTCTTAAAAGCTTCCAGTGTTGGAGCATTCACCGCTTCTGGAGGAAGTTTGTTCTACTGGTTATTAATAATAATAATAATAGTAAAGTTGGAAGGTACCTTGGAGGTCATCTAGTCCAACCCCCTGCTCAGGCAGGTAACCCTATACCATTTCGGACAAATGGCTGTCCAATTTCTTCTTAAAAACTCCCAGTGTTGGAGCATTCACCACTTCTGGAGGCAGGCTGTTCCACTGGTTAATTGTTCTAACTGTCAGGAAGTTTCTCCTTAGTTCCAGGTTGCTTCTCTCCTTGATTACATGTTACATGGTGAGTTTTTAACTTAAGCACAAGTAGGATTTTTTTCTGTTTTGGAAGTACGAAAATATAAAATACAAGTAGCCCTTGACTTATGACCATCCGCCATTCAAAGTTCTATCACTAAAGGAGAATATTTGCAGCTCAGGGCTGAAATGAGGAGTCCTTGGTGCCCTCTGGGCTTGGCTGTTTTCTTGCAGACTTTTCATTATCTAAGTGATATCCTCAAAGGCTACATGGCACTGAAAAAAGAGTTATCAGCAAGTGTTCACACTTAACTCCATGGTCACGGGATCAAAATTCAGGCATTTGGCAACCGGCATGTATGCGTGACAGTTGCACCATCACAAGGTCACGTGGTCACCCTTTGTAATTTCCTGGGGGCTTCCAACAAGCAAGGTCAATTTGCTTAACAACTGCACGGTTCGCTTAACTTGGGCAAAAAAAAAAAGTTTGTAAAATGGGGCAAAACTCACTTAACAACGGCCTTGTTTAGCAACAGAAATGTTAGGATCAATTATGGCCGTACATCATGGATTAACTTGTAAGCTGTGGACTCCAGCAGCCAAAGAATTCCTACTGGCGGGATCCAGGAAGAGAGTTTTCTCTGCCATTGCCCCCCAGCATGTGGAACACACACACACACCCGGGGGTGAGACGAGCCCCCCACTCGCCTGGCTTTTTTGTAAAGGCATAAAAACATTGCTGGGCCCCCTTGCATGGGATGTCCAGAGAAGCCCACAGCCCCCTAGCTTTTAATCAATTTTAACATTCATTGCCTGTTTTAAATTTTACCTACTGTTTCTAATAATAATAATAAAGTTGGAAGGGACCTCGGAGGTCATTGAGTCCAACCCCCTGCTTAGGGAGGAAACCCTACACCATTTCAGACAAGTGGCTGTCCAGTCTCTCCTTAAAAACCTGCAATGTTGGAGCATTCACCGCTTCTGGAGGCAGGTTGTTCCACTGGTTAATTGTTCTCACTGTCAGGAAGTTTCTCCTTAGTTCTAGGTTGCTTCTCTCCTAGATTAGTTTCCACCTGTTGCTTCTTGTCCTGCCTTCAGGGGCTCTGGAGAATAGCTTGACTGCCTCTTCTTTGGGGCAGCCCCTGAGATATTGGAAGGCTGCTATTATGTCCCCCCTGGTCCTTCTCTTCGTTAAACTAGACATACCCAATTCCAGCAACCGTTCCTTATATGTTTTAGCGTCCAGACCCCTAATCATCTTTGTTGCTCTATCCCAGTGGTTCTCAACCTTTGTAATGCAGTTAGATAATACAGTTCCCTATGTTGTGGTGACCCCCAACCACTTATACATCAGCAGGTGCTAGGGGCGTGGCTAAAGAAAAGGGGAAAAAAATGGCGGACAGCCTTGTTTGGCGACCCCCGTGAAATGGTCGTTCGACCCCAAATGGGGTCCCGACCCACAGGCTGAGAACCACTGCTCTAGAGCATCTTTTTTACTTTGTGGTGACCAAAACTGGATGCAGTATTCCAAGTGTGACCTTACCAAGGCCTTGTAAAGTGGTATTAACCCTTCATGGGATCTTGATTCTATCCCTTTGTTAATGCAGCCCAGCACTGTGTTGGCTTTTTGGCAGCTGCAGCACACGGCTGGCTCATATTTAGGTGATTGTCTACTAGGACTCCGAGGTCCCTCTCACAGTTACTACTATTGAGCATGGTGCCACCTATGCTGTACTTGTGCATTCGGTTTTTCTTGCCTAAATATAGAACCTTGCTTTTTTCCCCACTGAATTTCATTTTGTTAGATAGCGCCCAGTGTTCAAGTCTGTCCAGATCCTCCTGTATCTTAAAAAAACATTAAAAGCCTGTCTTCTGAGGCTTTTAATGTTTTTATTCCATACTGTCCAGAGTTCCTCTGTGAGGGAGATGCGTAGTGCTTAAATACAACAATTAAACAAACCAATATTAGTGATGTTAGTGAGTTTTATTCTATTGAATGTTTATTGTAGGAATCTAGATCGGATTTGAGCCCCTGCATTTTTATTGCTAAGTGAAACGTCTAGTTAAGTAATTTTTTACCCCGTTTTACGACTTTTCCTGCCACCGTTATTAAGTGCACCATTGCACTTGTTAAATCAGTAACCCGGTTGTTAAGTGAATCCGGCTTCCCCCATGGACTCTGCTTGTAAAAAGGTCGCGAAAGGGGATCACATGACCCCCGGGACCTAGCAACCGTCGTAAATACAAACCAGTTGCCAAGCGTCCCATTTTGGTCACATGACCGTGGGGAGGCTGTATCAGGTTGCGTGAAAAATGGCTAAAAGTTACATTTTTTCAATGCCGTCGTAACTTTGAACGGTCACTAAATGAACTGTTGCAAGTCAAGGGCTACCTGTATCAGGACTCTGCTGACTCCTCTGAAGGGTTGCTGCTGGGGAATTCTGGGAGCTGAAGTCCACCTGTTGGATGATGGCTGGGGGAATTGAAGTCCACCTGTCTTAAGAGTTGGCATGATTGAGACATACCGAATTAGTGCAATGCGTCCAGAAAAATACAACCTCCACCCCAAATCTAAGGGAGAGTTTTGACTTGCTTTAACCTAAGCCAGGGGTAGGCCACCTTGGCTCTTTTATGACTCGTGGTCTTCAACTCCCAGAATTCCTGAGCCAGCCTGGCTCAGCTTGGAAACCTCTCCCTTTCCCCTCAGCATCACTGGCTCAGGAATTCTGGGAGTTGAAGTCCACAAGTCATAAAAGAGCCTAGTTTGAAGACCTCTGCTCTAAAGGTACAAACCAGTAGTTCCACCAGGGGTAGGCCACCTTGGCTCTTTTATGACTGGTGGACTTCAGCTCCCAGAATTCCTGAGCCAGCATGGGGGAACTATGGCTTCCTTCATGACTCATGGACTTCAACTCCCAGAATTCCTGAGCCAGCATGGCTCAGCTTGGAAACCTCTCCCTTTCCCCTCAGCATGGCTGGCTTAGGAATTCTGGGAGTTGAAGTCCACAAGTCATCAAGGGAGCCATAGTTCCCCCATGCTGGCTCAGGAATTCTGGGAGTTGAAGTCCACGAGTCATAAAACAGCCAAGGTTGCCTACCCCTGGACTGGGTCTAGGCTGCTTTATGACTTGTGGACTTCAACTCTCAGAATTCCTGAGCCAGCATGAGGGAAACTTTGGCCTCTTCATGACTCGTGGACTTCAACTCCCAGAATTCCTGAGCCAGACGGCTCAGCTTGGAAACCTCCCTTTCCCCTCAGCGTGGCTGGCTCAGGAATTCTGGGAGTTGAAGCCCACCAGTCATAAAAGAGCCAAGGTGGCCTACCCCTGAACTAAGCAGATGTCCTGTGGATAAGCTGGGGAATTCTGGGAGTTGAAGTCCACAAATCTTAAAGCTTTGCCAAGGTTGGGCACCCCTGGCCTCAAGCTATGCTGTGGAGGCCCCTCAGTCATGACACCTGTCTGCTATTTCTCCAGGGTGGCGGCGAAGGCCGAGGCCTCTGTGCCGGCACCTACCACGGGGCAGAATACTTCAAGTGTAAACCCAAGTGCGGCCTTTTCCTGCCATTCAACAAACTGCAGTTTCTGTCGGCGTCAGAGGACAACCAGGTGGAGGCGAAGAGGCAGAAGGCCGATGGAATCGTGCCGGTGAAAATGGGCGACACCGTCGGCTTTTATTTAGATGACGCCTTCATGCGAGGGATCGTCCTGGAAGTGTATCAGAAAGGAAATGAGTGGCTGGTGAAAGTGTGTCCGGTAAGAAGGTCTAGAAGAGAAAATTAACGCCTGGGATTTATCTGTCGATTTTATTTGCTTGTGTCTGTCGCATTCTCAGTGCTCCAGGCGTCTCTGATTTCAAGCTCATTTTGGTGACAGAGTCCTTGATGCGGGGTTTGCTCTGCATTTAAATACAGTAGCCTACCTGCCGGTTTCGGGGATGGAGGGATATGGTGAGATGTGGTTTTTTCCTCGGTCTTTCCTAGGGTATTCCTGGAAGTCTGGCATTCAGACAAGTCAGCCCTCAACAGACCCATAGAGATAAACCGTGTTTTCACCACCGTTCAAAAGAGACCATGAAAAAGCTAAGCAATAAGGCCAGAACGCTTCTTTTCCAGCAGCCAACACCCAGATAATCAATAGCAGACAGACAACCTAGCACAGACATGTCAAACCCAAGGCCTGGAGGCCGGATGCGGCCCGCAAAGTGGTTTCATGCGGCCCGCGAAGCCATCCTGGAAACAGTGAGGGAACAGCCCCTGCTGCCTTGGCCCTGGCCCATGCTGGCCAAGAGCCAATGTGCAATTTTGTGGTGGCCATCTATGCTGAAACACATTCAGTCTTAGCTCCACAAGGCCATCTGGAAACAGCGAGGAACCAGCCCCTGCCACGTCGGTCCTGCCCCCTGGGTGCATGCTGGGGAGGTGTCACCCTTTGTGAGGAATGAAGAAATGCACCATCGCCTGGAAGTCGCCAGCAAATGGCCCTCGCCTACTTCACCTATCCGGCTTGATGGGCTCCGGGGAAGGGGTTTCGGCAGACAGCGGGGCGCTCTCCTCACAGTGCCAACAGGCTGAGCCGGGTGGACCATGCCTTGGCACTTGCACTGGTCCCACCCCCTTCTGCCAGAGACCCTCAAATCTGTCCCACTCCTGCCCAGGCCCCCACAGGCACCCTTGACCCAAACGATGTAGAGCTGGCCATGCCCACCTAATAGGCGGGCCCGGCTGAGGAATTCTGGGAGTTGAAGTCCACAAGTCATAAAAGGGCCGAGTTTGACGACCCCTGCTCTAAACCAAACGCATTGGGTTGGATGCACTTGTAAGAGGTTGGGGTCCATACAATTCTTTCCGTCCACGCATTTTGTGACTTCCTTGGATAACCAGATAGCGCTGGGCACAGTTACAAGGGATAGTGGCTTTTCTTATTTTGAGAGAGAAAAATATGAGACGCCACGCCCTTAAATCCGTTCGTTTGTTTGCTGCTTTGACAGGAATGGGAATAAAGGTTTGCAAAAGCTTGTAATGCTTGCTCGGAGGAAGGTAGAAGGAAATTGGAAACGAATCAGCTTGCGGGAGTCCGGTGTCTCTGCAGGGGACATACAGGGACAGAGGTTACCGGTGCCAAACGTGGACGCTTACAATAAAACATAGATGACAGTTAGTCGCCACGGTAATGAGATCTTTGAGGCAAGGCGCCGGAGTGATCAGAAAAGATAAAATCTGGAATGAGCTCGTCAGAGAAAAAAAGAGGCATAGAACCAATCTTAAGCCACATACAAAGACAGCAGATAAAGAGGTTTGCTCAGCTGGAGAGAATGTCTTGGGATTCCACACCATCTGGAGGCAAGGAGTTCCACTGGTTAATTGTTCTCACTGTCAGGAAGTTTCTCCTTAGTTCTAAGTTGCTTCTCTCCTTCAATCACTCAATCAATCCATCAATCAAATCAGTGAATCAGAATAGAGTTGGGAGGGACCTTGGAGGTCATCTAGTCCAACCCCCTGCTCAGGCAGGAAACCCTACACCATTTTGGACAAATGACTGTCCAGCCTCTTCTTAAAAACTTCCAGTGTTGGAGCATTCACCGCTTCTGGAGGCAGGTGGTTCCACTGGTTAATTGTTCTCACTGTCAGGAAGTTTCTCCTTAGTTCCAGGTTGCTTCTCTCCTTGATGAGTTTCCACCCGTTGCTTCTTGTCCTGCCTTCAGGTGCATGATAGCAGCGTTCCAATATTTGGAGGGCTGTCACAAAAAAAGAAGGGGGGGGTGTGTCCACCTGTTCTCCAAAGCACCAGAAGGCAGGACAAGAAACGATGGCAACTAATCAGGGAGAGAAGCGATCTGGCCTTAAGGAGAAACTTCCTGACAGTGAGGACAATTAACCAGTGGAACAACCTGCCTCCAGAAGCTGTGAATGCTCCATCACTGGAGGTTTTGAAGAAGAGACTGGACAGCCTCCTGTCTGAAATGGCATAGGGTCTCCTGCTTGAGCAGGGGGTTGGACTAGAAGACCTCCAAGGTCCCTATCAATCCTATTATTGTAGGAGATGACCAGGCCAAGCCGGAGGGAGGGAGGGACCATTAGTTTAGAATCTCTTCATGCCCACGAGAGATCTAACTCCAGCCCCCCTTGGATTCTGTTGATTCTTATCTACTGCCAATTTGCCTTGGCTGTTAGTAGTTCAGATGTACTTGCATTTTTCCGAAAGGAGACCATTTTTTTTCTCCAACTAGTGTTATTTTAAATTTACAGAGTTATTTTAAATTATCTACGAATAAAATAGAGAGGTGGGTCTCATCCACACTCTCTTTAGTGTAAAGAGGACTTCATTTCTCATAAATATAGGAAGAAAAGAAGAAATAGGGGTGACATGATAGCAGTATTCCAATATTTGAGGGGCTGCCACAAAGAAGAAGAAGAGGTCAGATTATTCTCCAAAGCACCAGAGGGCAGGACAAGAAACAATGGTTGGAAACTGACCATAGAGAGAAGCAACCTGGAATTAAGGAGAAACTTCCTAACAGTGAGGACAACTAACCAGTGGAACAGCCTGCCACCAGAAATCCTGGGCGCTCCATCACTGGAGATTTTTAAGGAGAGACTAGACAGACACTTGTCTGAAATGGTATAGGTCCTCCTGCTTGAGCAGGGGGATGGACTAGAAGACCTTCAAAGTCCCTTCTAGCTCTATTCTCTTGACTTTACTACATACTATTCTGCACAGAAAAATGCCTACCTAAAAATTGACATTTTAAAAACGGTCTTCTAGATTTGGGCAAGACTTAGTCTGAAACTCACATTTCATCTTGCCGTTGACCACATTGGGCTCTTAAGATTTAGAATCCAGTGGGGTAAGGAAGGTGACACATTGTCTGCATCTTCTCTAGCGTAAATTCATTGAAATAAATTATCTGTGGATATTCTCAATCATTCCAAGTCATGATTGTCCCAAAGGTGCTTTTTTTTCCTATAAGGCAACTGTGGCCTTCCTTATTTATTTTTCTTTGAAAGCATTTTGCTTTTCATTCAAAAAGCTCCTTCAATTTTGAGAAGACAAAAAAAAAAAAAAAGCCAAATCCAAGAAAGTCCAATTGCCTTTTGGAAAAAAAAGCCCCTACGGGACATCAAAAGCACCTTTGCGAGATCAAAATTAATTATCAAATTTATTTGCCTCCCATCTCATAGTTCAGAGGCCTCTGGGTGGGTGAACACTGCTTTTGTGTAATACCTACAGCTGTTATACGTGGGAAGAAGTATTAATACGTGAAGTATTAATAGCACTTTACAAGGCCTTGGTAAGGCCACACTTGGAATACTGCATCCAGGTTTGGTCACCACGATGTAAAAAAGATGTTGAGACTCTAAAAAGAGTGCAGAGAAGAGCAACAAAGATGATCAGGGGACTGGAGGCTAAAACATATGAAGAACGGTTGCTGGAATTGGGTATGTCTAGTTTAACGAAGAGAAGGACGAGGGGAGACAGGATAGCAGTCTTCCAGTATCTCGGGCTGCCCCAAAGAAGAGGGAGTCAAGCTATTCTCCAAAGCCCCTGAAGGCAGGACAAGAAGCAACGGATGGAAACCAATCAAGGGGAGAAGCAACCTAGAACTAAGGAGAAACTTCCTGACAGTTAGAACAATTACCAATAGAACAACCTGCCTCCAGAAGGTGAATGGTCCAACACTGGAGGATTTTAAAAAGAGACTGGACAGCCATTTGTCCGAAATGGTATAGGGTTTCCTACCTGAGCATGGGATTGGACTAGATCAAGGCTTTTCAATCGGGTACAGGTACCACCTGTGGCACATGGGCACCTGGCAGGTGGTACGTGACCATCCTAGAAAAGTGTTAGCGGGGGAGGGGAATGGGCTGAACCGGTGGCAGCACCGCATAAGCCTGAGCGAGAGACGGCTGGAGCTGCAGGGCTGTCCGGGCTCAGCGGAAGCGCCAGGATCAGTGCTGCTTTCCAGCTGATTGGCGCTTCTTCGGGGCTGTCAGGGCTCAGTGGAACTGCCGGGATCAGCACCAGGATCCAGCTGGAGCTCGGCACTGATCCTGGCGCTCCCGCTGAGCCCTGAAGAAGCGCCAATCAGCTGGAATGTTGCAGCCTCTCCAGGGTCTTGTGATTTACATTCAGAGGCTTGGCAACTGATTCGTATTTATGACGGTCACAGTGTCCCAGGGTCATGTGAAATGACCAAAACCTGCTGTAACCACCCAGCAGACGGGGGGAATAAAAACCAACCCCCCCCATCCCTGCTGCCAATCCTCAACAGAAATGCTCACAACAATGGAAACCTCGGACAGGAGGAAGAGCGCCACCAGGTGGGCAGGCAGGTGTCTTGCTCGGCTGTGCTTGGGGGGCACTTTTTTCAGTACCACTGTAACTTTGAACAATCACTAAGCAAACTGTTGTAAGTCAAGGACTATCTGTACTTTATTGCTTTTTTCCCTTTTTTTTTGTCATCAAGTTTTTGACACCTTGCTAGGCGACTGGTGGTACTCATGTTCTCATATCCTAAAAGTGGTATAATGGGTGAAAAGGTTGAAAAGCCCTGGACTAGATGACCTCCAAGGCCCCTTCCAACTTTATTATTATTATTGTTGTTTTTATTATTATTATTAATAAAGGAGAAAGTTTGCTCCATCCACAACCATCCTTCCTGCTGAGGTCTCAAAATCCAGTTAAACTTTCTCTTCTCTCTCTCTCTCTCTCTCTCTCTCTCTCTCTCTCTCTCTCTCTCTCTCTCTCTCTCTCTCTCTCTCTCTTTCTCTCTCTCTCTCTCTCTCTCTCTCACTCACTCTTTTTTTTTTTTAGGAGGAAGAGGGCTCAGCCGATGTTTTCCGAGAGATCCCTCTGGATTCAGTAGTGAAGGAGGAGCTGCTCTCCTTAGGTAAACTGATGTTCTGGATAGCCTGGAGTTTTATTTGTCCTGTTTTTGGAGTGTGGGAAGAATCCAGAGAAAGAAATATGTTGGGGGATATTAAACAGGCAGGATATATTTCCCCAAAGGATCTTAAAAGCAGAAAAGCAAGCCCAGTTTTTCTTAACCACAAAACTCAGCGGAAATCAGCTTTTAGAAATGTAGACCTAATAATCCATTCAGGAAGGTTGGAGCCAGGAAGCTAGAAGCTGACGAGATTAGGAAGACAAAGACCCCTACAATCTAAGGACAGGAAACATAATAGGATTAACCCACCAATACCAAAAGGGCACACTCAGACTCAGGTCAAAGTGCATGACACAGGAAAAGCAACGCCTCAAACAGGAACAGGAAACAACCACAAAAGCCCCAGAAGATATAAAAACTCACCCCTCCCGGCAGCAGGTAGTTAGTTTTTCCCAGAGCCATCTTTCTGTCTGACTCTGCTCTTCAATAAACTACAACCTAATAATTAACAATAATAATAATAATAATAATAATAATAATAATAATAATAATTAGTAGTAGTAGTAGTAGTAGTAGTAGTAGTGCCTTGGGTGCAATCCCAAAACAACTGGAGCACCACTTGAACGCCATTGGCATTGATAAATTCGCCATTAGTCAATTGCAAAAGGCGGCCTTACTAGGAACTGCTTCCATCCTGCGACGATATCTGTAATACCATCAAACATCCACATCTGCCTATCCCAGGTCCTGGGTAAGGACTCGATAGGTAGACAAAATGCCAAATCCAGTCTGAACATCTGGCTGACTGTGCGATGATCCGTAATAATAATGATGATGATGATGATGTTGGGAGGGACCTGGAAGGTCATCTAGTACAACCCCCTGGTCAGGGAGAAAACCCTATCCCATTTCAGACAAAGGGCTGTCCAGTCTCTTCTTAAAGACTTCCAGTGTCGAAGCACCCACAGCTTCTGGAGGCAGGTGGTTCCACTGGTTAATTGTTTTAACTGTCAGGAAGTTTCTCCTTAGTTCCAGGTTGCATTGCATTACATTGCATTGCATTGCATTGCATTGCACGCGTGACAGGCTGAGGAATTCTTGGAGTTGAAGTCCACCAGTCATCCAAGGGCCAAGTTTGAAGACCCCTGAGCTAGAAAGACAAGTTCTCTGCCCTGATCTGGTAGATGTGCTGCTAAAGCAAAGGTCTAGCACTTTCGGAGCCATAAGAGATAAAATGCAGAGTTCAAAATCCTTGCGAAAAAGTCGCTCAGGTTATTAGAAACACTCCCACTTGAATCATGGATGCAACTGTTTTCTTCGTAATGGTACCAACGTGATTTGTGATTGCTTTCCTTGAGAAGTTCTTGTTCCTTTCCCAGTCCTGAGATTTTTTTTTTTTTTTACACTTTCCCATCCCAAGAATGAACCAGGTCTGTCCTGGTCCAGTTCATGTCTCTTGGGCGAAAACTTGATAGTATTTTTTTTAACTAGCAGCAAAGGAGGTGCTTGACCAAGCGTAGAGAACAGTTCATCTGAAAGTGAGACTGTTGCAAATAATAATAATAATAGTAATACTAATAATAATAGTAAAGTTGGAAGGGACCTTGGAGATCATCTAATCCAACCCCCTGCTCAGGCAGGAAACCCTATACCATTTCGGACAAATGGCTGTGCAGTCTCCTTAAAAACTTACAGTGTTGGAGCATTCATCGCTTCTGGAGGCAGGTTGTTCCACTGGTTAATTGTTCTCACTGTCAGGAAGTTTCTCCTTAGTTCCAGGTTGCTTCTCTAGTTTCCACCCTTGCTTCTTGTCCTGCCTTCAGGCACTTTGGAGAATAGCTTGACTCCCTCTTCTTTGGGGCAGCCCCTGAGATATTGGAAGACTGCTATCATGTCCCCCCTCGTCCTTCTCTTCCTTAAACTAGACATACCCAATTCCAGCAGCCGTTCCTTGTATGTTTTAGCCTCCAGTCCCCTGATCATCTTTGTTGCTCTTCTCTGCACTCTTTCTAGAGTCTCAACATCTTTTTTACATCGTGGTGACCAAAACTGGATGAAGGATTCCAAGTGTGGCCTTACTAAGGCCTTGTCAAGTGGTATTAACCCTTCACGTGATCTTGATTCTATCCCTCTGTTAATGCAGCCCAGCACTGTGTTGGCTTTTTTGGCAGCTGCAGCACACGGCTGGCTCCTATTTAAGGTATTGTCCACTCGGACTCCGAGGTCCCTCTCACAGTTACTACTATTGAGCAAGGTACCCCCTATACTATACCTGTGCATTTGGTTTTTCTTGCCTAAATGTAGAACTTTGCTTTTTTCACCATTGAATTTCATTTTGTTAGATAACGCCCAGTGTTCAAGTCTGTCCAGATCCTCCTGTATCTTAAGCCTGTCTTCTGGAGTGTTGGCTATTCCTGCCAGCTTGGTGTCGTCTGCAAATTTGATGAGTTCCCCATCTATCCCCTCGTCCAGATCGTTGATGAAGATGTTGAAGAGCACTGGGCCCAGAACAGAGCCCTGGGGCACCCCACTACACACTTCCCTCCATGTAGATGCAGTTCCATTGAGCTTGGAGAGATACAAGGTCTTTTTTCACCCTTGAATTTCATTTTGTTAGATAGCGCCCAGTGTTCAAGTCTGTCCAGATCCTTCTGTATCTTAAGCCTGTCTTCTGGAGTGTTGGCTATTCCTGCCAGCTTGGTGTCGTCTGCAAATTTGATGAGTTCCCCATCTATCTCCTCGTCCAGATTGTTGATGAAGATGTTGAAGAGCACCTGGCCCAGAACAGAGCCCTGGGGCACCCCACTACACACTAAATAGTCAAGGATCTCCAAACAGGAGGTCACACCTGTTCCTATCTGAGCTTTTAGCAAGGAGGAAAGCGAAGCGTCCTCAAATCGGAATTAAAAGGATTCCCCAGAAATAGACACACAGGGATTGTTTTTCTCTGTTTGATATAGACCAGGATTCTGGGCTCCAGGAATATCTCAAGCACAAGAGGAGCGAAAGTACAGAGCATCCGGCAGACGGGACCTGCTCTCTGGATGTCAACTCCGTGGTCCAGATCAACTTAGACAAGGGACGTGCTGTGACGGGGACCATCCGTTGGATCGGCTGCCTGCCTAATGCCCAGCAAAGGATGGCTGGGATTGAGTTGGTAAGCACCTCATCCCGTGTAATGTGTTCCTAGGCTTGTTCTCTCTTTGATGTGGACTTCGGGTTTTAAGCAAGATCGGCACCCAGAGCCCAAAGCTATGCCCGTGGATGCCCGTAGAATAGAAACTTCCTTCATCCCCAGCAGCTGGGCCCACTGGTGCCAGATGCCCCGAAGATGAAATGGATTCGTTGCTCTCGTTGGATTCTCTCTGCTGATCTTTCCGGAGCCAGCAGGCATTTGAAGTCTGCTGATCAAAGGACACTAATCTTTGGGGGTGTTGCCTTCTGTCTTTCTCTTGCCCCTGAGGGGATCATGAGGGAGCTTGCGTTATTTATGGTGCCTTGAGTCCATGTCTGTCTGTCTCTCTCTCTCTCTCTGTCTTTCTTTCTCCCTACTTACCTACCAACCTACTTACCTACGTGTGTGTATCTCTGTGTTTGTGTGTGTGTCTGCCTGTCTGTCTCTCTCTCTCTCTATCTATCTATCTATCTATCTATCTATCTACGTGTCTGTCTGTCTGTCTCTCTCCCCCTCACCTACTTACCTACCTACGTACTTGTCTTTGTCTGTCTGTCTCCCCCCCACCTACCTACCTACGTACTTGTCTCTGTCTGTGTCTCCCCCCACCTACCTACCTACGTACTTGTGTCTGTCTCTCTGTCTATCTATCTATCTATCTATCTATCTATCTATCTATCTATCTATCTATCTATCCATCCATCTCTCTCTCCCCCACCTACCTTCCTACGTACTTGTCTGTGTCTGTCTACCTACCTACCTACCTACCTACCTACCTACCTACCTACCTACGTCTGTCTGTCTGTCTGCTTGCCTACCTACATCTGTCTGTCTGTCTACCTAGCTACCTACCTACCTACGTCTATCTGTCTACATACCTACATATCTGTCTGTCTGTCTGTCTATCTATATCTCTCTAATCTCTATCTATCTATCTAATCTATCTAATCTCTCTCGTATGTCTCTGTCTGTCTGTCTGTCTATCTCTCTCTCTCCCCATTATCTGTCTGTCTGTCTGTCTGTCTGTCTATCTATCTATCTATCTATCTATCTATCTATCTATCTATCTATCTATCTATCGTGTGTGCGTAAATATTCTTATACAAAGGGGAACACACACACACCCCACGGAGCCCACTGCCAAGACCTCTTTGCAGGTAGTTCTCAACTTATAATAGTTCATTTAGCGACCATTCAAATTTACAATGGCACTGAAATAAATGGCCATTTTTCACCCTGACGATCGTTGCAGCCTCCCCAGGGTCAGGTGATCAAAATTCGGCCATTTGGCAATTCAGTCATATTTCTGATGGTTTCAGAGTCCTGGGGTCATGTGATCGATCCCCTTTTGACAAGCAACGTCACGGGGGAAGCCAGATTCACTCAACGACCGCGTTGTTAACAACTGCAGTGATTCACTTAACAACATGGCAAGAAAAGTCGTAAAGGGGGGGAAAAAAACCAAACAAATGTGTCACTTAGCAACAGAAAGTTTAGGCTTGGTTGTGTTCATAATGAGCCGAGGTGGCGCAGCAGTTAGGGTGCAGTACTGCAGGCCACTTTAGCTGACTGTGTTCAACAGGTCAGCGGTTCAAATCTCACTGGCTCAAGGTTGACTCAGTCTTCCATCCTTCCGGGGTAGGTAAAAGGAGGACCCAGATTGTTGGGGGCAATGGAAATATATATATATATATACATTGCTTACTGGTGTACACCGCTTAGAGAGTGCTTGCACTTAAAGCGGTATATAAGTCTCATAAATAAATAAATAAATAAATAAATAAGTCAAGGACTCCCTGTAGTAGGGAAGAGGGGCTTAAAGGCGGGGAAAAAAAAAAAGAACATTAACTTCCAACTCTTTTCAGGGCAGTGGAATAAAAGCCACAAAATGGTAGCCCCAACTTTTTTTACTTTTGCATATTTAATAGATTCCAGCCATTTCTCTAACAACGAAGGTACCCAACCAGCAGATCCCAAAGTCAGCATTTCGTCCTTGATTCCAATCGTGACCTGATCATGATCTTCCTTCCTCTAGTCCAGCGGTTCTCAGCCGGTGGGTCGGGACCCCATTTGGGATCGAACGACCATTTCACGGGAGTCACCAAACAACGCAGTCCGCCATTTTCCCCCCTTTTCCTTAGCTGTGCTACTCCCTTTTATTCTCTTGGCTTTTGAAAGCCAATAGAATAGACTCTCTTGAATAGAGTCTCATTCTATTGGCTTTCAAAAGCCAATAGGAATTGTCCAGGCTGTCTCTGCCCTGCTGAGCCTGCCAAAAGCCCCATTCTGCAAACGGTGCTGCACCAGTTGAATAGTCCTCGACTTACAACCGGTTGGGGGTGGCGGCATTAAAAAGGTTGAGAACCACTGCTCTAGTCAATGCCCAGGAGGTATTTCTGATCACCCTCATTGGATTGGCTTGCTTGAGACCTGTTATCCCCCCTGACAGGATGAAGAGAATAACAGCCTTTCCAACGGAGAGTGGCAAGGTGTGCGCTACTTTACCTGTCCTCCCCATCGGGCCCTTTTCGTGCGGCTGGAATCGTGCCAACCAGATTCGCGCTTTCAGGGGAACAAGTGCCTGTTTCAGGAGCCTTCTGAATTCAGTAAGTCCCTTCCCTGCCGCGGCTGGATGCACCGAATCCTCAGTGGGCCTCAGTTTGAACCCTGGGTCGTGGCAAGACAATGGGCGTATGTGATTACTGATTTATTTGTAAGTAACTCCGTAGAGCAAACATACCTGCAATTCTTTCTTCCTCCTGTTTCCCTCCGAGCAAGAACCCTGTGAGGTGGGTTAGGTTGAGAGAGAGCGAATGGCCCAAAGTCACCCATTTGGCATTCATCCCTAAGGAGGGACTAGAACTCCCAGTCTCCTTGTGATTGGCCCAAGGTCACCCAGTCAGCTTTCATGCCTAAGGCGGGACTAGAACTCACCGTCTCCAGGTTATTGACCCAAAGTCACCCAGTCAGCTTTCATGCCTAACGCAGGACTAGAATTCATCGTCTCCTAGTGATTGACTCAAAGTCACCCAGTCAGCTTTCATGCCTAAGGCAGAACTAGAACTCACCGTCTCCAGGTTATTGACCCAAAGTCACCCAGTCAGCTTTCATGCCTAAGGCAGAATTAGAACTCACCGTCTCCAGGTTATTGACCCAAAGTCACCCAGTCAGCTTTCATGCTTGAGGCAGTGCTAGAACTCACTGTCTCCTGGTGATTAGCTCAGAGTCATCCAGCCAGCTTTCATGGCTTACTCTCCCCTGTTTTCTAGATGCCTTAACCAGTAGACCAAAGTGGTTGTAGTTAAAGTGTTCTTAGCAGATGGCTCTTTACTCTTTGCCTAAGTGTGTCCAGGGATAGGGACCCCACCATCTTTCTAGGTCAGTGGTGGTGAACCTCGGAGCCCTCTCTGTGGGCACACGTGCCGTTGCCCCAGCCTTGTCTCCCCCTGCGACCCCCTCCTCTCCAGCAGACCCCCTGAAGGAGACTGGCCCCCGAGTGTGGCCCACACGGAGCAGCGCAGCCAAGGACATGGTAGCCAGGCAGCGTAGACAAGACTCTGCCCTCACGCCCCATCATGCACAGTTGATGCTGCAGGGCGCGGGCAGAGGGTGTGGCCGTCATAGCGCTACTGGGCTACCTGGGCGATTGGCGGGCCCTGGAGGCGGTGAGTGGTCCCGTGGGCAGGTGGGGTGGGGAATGGGGGGGCAGAGTGGGGGTGGGCAGGGGGGGTGGAGCGGGGGCGGGGCCAGTTTTTGGGAACTTGGTTTCTAAAAGGTTTGCCATCACTGTTCTAGGTGATGTGGCTGATCCTCAAACAGGAGAAACAAGACGCTCATATGAGTCTGGGGGTTGGGGTGGGGAGGGAAGACGTCCTGCCAATGGAAAAGCCACCTGCCTCCAAAGTGTAGAACTTCACAAGTCTCAAACCAAAATACGACAATTCGAAAATAAGCCTCCGTTTGGTTATCAACGACAGACACTCGCAGGCACAGGGCTTTTATTACACACATTAGACAAGTACCACATTACATTATTTTTTTAAAATGTAGTTTTATTCATTTATAACCTAAAATGTGAAAATACAAAAAGCAAATAGTAAGGGACAACAGTGGAAGAAGGGAAAGCAAAAAAGGTGTGAAGAAAGGGAGGGGACGAAACAAAAGGCATTGACTTCCGACTCTGTCTGTGGCAGTAAACTCAGACACTAAAATCGAATCTCAACTTTTTACATTTCTATAGCAGTATGCACTAGCCCAATGGTTCTTAACCTTTTTGAACGAATCGCCCCCTTGAGCCAATGAGGAAGTTGTCATCGCCCCCTCCCCCAACATAACCTCTCAATCACAACATAGGAAATAATTCTTCAATTTATGCAAACACTTTTTTTTTGTTTTCTTTAAAATTGTTATCAGGACGTATCGATGCAAATAATTTATTTCCAGGCTTTTCCCCATATCTCCCATATTCTGGCCAATGGCGTGCCACTGTATGGGTAGAGGCTGCTGCGCAACGCGCATGAAGATAAGCGATGCATATTCACATATGTACGCCGTTCTGTACTGAAGCTAGCTGGAGGAACATTTGAAAACACAATTCAATCCACTAATAGCGAGCGATCTGATGTTTTTGTACAACAGATATATAGCGATTCACTATACGAAAACGTCTCAAAAGTGTCCCCAAAACGTCTCGCTCCATCACCCCCTTTTCGTTCCATCACCCCCCTGAAAAATGAAATCGCCCCCTGGGGAGCAATATCGCCCAGGTTAAGAACCACTGCACTAGCCAATTCTGTATCGGCCAATCAGTCTAATCGGTAAAACCCAAAATCAGGATACCGTTTTTTGGCCACCTCAAGCAAGAAGCCCAGAAGCGGTTTCCAAGTAGAAACAAAAGGACTTATGTTATTTTCTTTCATCAGCACAGTCAATTTGGCCATTGCATTACTTTTCGACATACTCGCCTTTCAAACTTGTCATAACGTCTTACATGGTTTGAAATTCCTTAGTCATCGTCGCTCGGCACCAAATCTGGGCTATGGGGAGGTGTGATGAAAAACATCCCAACGGAACTGCTTCGAAAGTCCTTGGGTGCGTCTAGCGATGTGCGGCTGAGCATTGTCGCGAACCGACGCCACACCGGAAGTCAGCAGGCCCCGACGCTTGTTATGGATGGCTCGCCTGAGCTTTCGTAACACAGGGGTCCCCAACCTTGGCAACTTTCAAAGCCTGTGGACTTCAACTCCCAGAATTCCCCATCCATAACAAGCGTTGAGGCCTGCTGACTTCCGGAGTGGCGTCGGTTCGCGACAATGCTCGCCCACACACTGCTAGACGCACCCAAGGACTTTCGAAGCAGTTCCGTTGGGATGTTTGTTTTTTTTTAATTAAAAGTTTTAGAAATTTTTTACAATATATAACCCCAAACCCTCCCACCCCTCCCCCCTCCCCCACTTCCCAGAGCTGATTACAGGGTTACAAATAAACAATCATAATTTAACTAACATTACCCAACTCTACTAACAATCAAATCCATAACATACTTTAACTCCTTTTTCAAAACAAATATTAACAAATTAAAAATAAAAATAACAATACGGTTAAACCATAACACTAAAAATAGTATAAATTCGATCATATTAAACTATTAACAATAACCTAGAATCTACTCGTAAGCAAGATAATACTTTTCAGCCTCATATTTCTTTTGAATCTAATCAATCCATCTTCTCCAAACCAAAATGTATTTTTCTTGTGAATGGTCCTTCAAATAAGCGGAAATTTTTGCCATTTCTGCTAAGTTAGACACCTTAAGTATCCGTTCTTCCATAGTAGGCAAAGAGTTTTTCTTCCAATTTTGCCCCACCAGTAATCTTGCAGCTGTTACAAGATTCAACATCAAATTCATTTCTTTAACATCAAAATCAACCGTAATACCCACCGTTGGGATGTTTTTGATCACCCACCTCCCCGTAGCCCAGATTTGGTGCCGAGTCACGACGACTAAGGAATTTCAAACGGTGTAAGACGTTACGACAGGGGCCTCAGTTTGAAAGACTTGTTATGGATGGCTCGTCTGAGCTTTCGTAACGCAGGGGTCCCCAAGCTTGGCAACTTGAAGACCTGTGGACTTCAACTGTCAGAATTCCCCGCTGGCTGGGGGATTCTGGGAGTTGAAGTCCACGGGTCTTAAAGTTGCCAGGGTTGGGGACCCCTATGGTAACGTTTCACAGCAGACGTCTGAATTGATGCTCGAACCACGCTCCGTGAACGTCACTAGCCGTACTCCTTTGGCATCTTCACCATTTGGCGGGATTTCCTAGGGCACCCTATCTGATGGGGTATTGGTTCACAATAATGTCCGCCCACACAGCACTAGACCTCTTCTTCTTCTTCTTCTTCTTCTTCTTCTTCTTCTTCTTCTTCTTCTTCTTCTTCTTCTTCTTCTTCTTCTTCTTCTTCTTCTTCTTCTTCCTCTTCTTCTTCTTCCTTCTTATTCTTCTTCTTTTTCCTTCTTATTCTTTCTTCTTCTTCCTCCTCCTCCTCCTCCTCCTCCTTCTTCTTTTTCTTCTTCTTCTTCGTCTTCTTCTTCTTTCTTCTTCCTCTTCCTCCTCCTCCTCCTTCTTTTTCTTCTTCTTCTTTTTCCTTCTTCTTATTTATTTATTTATTTATTTTCAAATATTTATATGCCGCCCAATCCCAAAGGACTCAGGGCGGTGTACAAAGTTAAAACAATCATAAAACAATAAAATAATAAAATAATACAGTCTTCTTCTTCTTCCTTCCTCCTCCTCCTCCTCCTCTTCCTCCTCCTTCTTCTTCCTTCTTCTTCTTCCTCTTCTTCTTCCTTCTTCTTCCTCCTCCTCCTCCTCCTCCTCCTCCTTCTTCTTCTTCCTTCTCCTTCTTCTTCTTCTTTTTCCTATGATTATGATGATTTGAGCAGAGATTCCTGCTCTGTTCCAGGTGAGGCCGACAGTCCGTCTGTTCTGAGCAACTCCCCACCGCTGAGAGATGACGTGGCCGTGAACGTCCTCAAAGGGCGGATGAGAGGGATCCAAGGCCACTGCAACTCCTGCTACATGGACGCAGCCCTGTTCAGGTTGGCAGCCCTCCCCAGCTTCCTTTCCCCCTCGGGGGGCTCTGCTTGTGGATAGCGTTGCTCTCCCTTCTCTCCGCCTCGTCTCCCCGTACATCTCTTGGTCCTCCGACCCGGTGGAGTGACCGGCCTCTCCTATCTCGCCACAGCCTCTTCTCCTGCACCTCGGTGTTGGACTCCATGCTGTATAAGCCCCCTCACCCCGCCGATGGGCGCATCCAGGAGATCCTGCGGGACAAGATCGTGAACCCTCTGAGGCAGTAAGTGGCTCTCCGGCTCTTCTCGTCAGCTGCTTCGGAAAGCCTCTGAGAGACAGACCGGGGACTGGAGGGTCAAGCACAGGAAGGGGGAGTGGCTAGTCTGGAGAAAAGAAGGACGAGGGGGGACATGAGAGCAGGGTTCCAGTATCTCAGGGGCTGCCATAAAGAAGAGGGGGGGGGTCAAGCTCTTGTCCAAAGTCACCCGAAGGCAGGACAAGAAGCGACGGATGGAAACTCATCAAAGAGAAAAGCAAGCTAGAACCAAGGGGGAATTTCCTGACAGTGAGGACAATTAACCGGTGGAACTCCTTGCCTCCAGAAGTGGTGAATGCTCCAACACTGGAGGTTTTTAAGAAGAGTCTGGGCAGCCATTGGTCTGAAGTGGTAAAGGGTCTCCTGCTTGAGCAGTGGGCTGGACTAGATGACCTCCGAGGTCCCTTCCAGCTCTGTGATTCTGCAAGGGCCTCCTGCTTGAGCAAGGGGCTGGACTAGATGACCTCCAAGGCCCCTTCCAGCTCACTGATTCTGCAAGGGTCTCCTGCTTGAGCAGGGGGCTGGACTAGAGGACCTCCAAGGCCCCTTCCAAGTCTGTGATTCTGCAAGGGTCTCCTGCTTGAGCAGGGGGCTGGACTAGATGACCTCCAAGGCCCCTTCCAGCTCAGTGATTCTGCAAGGGTCTCCTGCTTGAGCAAGGGGCTGGACTAGATGACCTCCAAGGCCCCTTCCAGCTCAGTGATTCTGCAAGGGTCTCCTGCTTGAGCAGGGGGCTGGACTAGATGACCTCCAAGGTCCCTTCCAGCTCTATTAGTCTATTGCAGGTAGTCCTTCACTTAGGACCACAGCTGAGCCCCAAATTTCCATCGCTAAGGGAGACCCTTGTGAAGTGAGTTTTGTCTCATTTTATGACCTTTCCTGCCACCGTTGTTAAGGGGATCCCTGCCGTGACCCCAGGACGCTGCAGCCCTCATAAAGGCGACTCAGTGGGGCGTGCCGTCCGAACTTGGGTCCCCGGGAACTGAAGCCAGGATGTAGCTACGTTTTTCTTTGCCTTCACCTTTCCAAAGCAGAACAAATTGAGCCCAGTTTTGTCGTCGAGGCCCGGGGTGCGAAGAAATGGGGTTTGGGTGGTCCAGTGTGCAGATCGGGGGGGGGGGCAGGAATTTAGTTTTTCGGTTGTGTTGTGAGGTTTTCCTTTTTTGCCTGTGTCGTAAACAGGAAGGGCTTTGTCGCTGCCAAGAGCGTAATGGATCTTCGGTATCAGCTGACTGAAAAGGGAGAGTCTTCCAGTTTTGCTACTTCGGAAAAAGGTGCTCTTCCTTTCTTTCTTTCTTTCTTTCTTTCTTTCTTTCTTTCTTTCTTTCTTTCTTTCTTTCTTTCTTTCTTTCTTTCTTTCTTTCTTTCTCTCTCTCTCTCTTTCTCTTTTTCTTTCTCTCTTTTTCTCTTTCTCTTTCTCTTTTTCTTTCTTTCTCTTTCTTTCCCTTCCTTCCTTCCTTCCTTCCTTCCTTTCTTCCTTTCTTTCTCTCTTTCCTTCCTTTCTTTCTTTCTCTTTCTTTCTCTTTCTCTTTTTCTTTCTTTCCCTTCCTTCCTTCCTTTCTTTCTTTCTTTCTTTCTTTCTTTCTTTCTTTCTTTCTTTCTTTCTCTCTTTCCTTCCTTTCTTTCTCTCTCTTTTTTTTCTTTCTCTTTCTTTTTCTTTCTCTTTATTTCTTTCTCTCTTTCTTTCTTTCTTTCTCTCTCTTTCCTTCCTTTCTTTCTTTCTCTTTCTTTCTTTCTTTCTCTTTCTTCTTTCCTTTCTCTTTTTCTTTTTCTTTCTTTCTCTTTCTTTCTCTTTCTTTCTTTCTCTTTCTCTCTTCCTTTCTTTCACTCTCTTTTTCTTTCTTTCTCTTTCTTTCTCTTTCTTTCTTTCTCTTTCTCTTTCTTTCTCTTTCTCTTTCTTTCTCTTTCTCTTTTTCTTTCTTTTTCTTTCTCTTTCTTCCTTTCTTTCTCTTTTTCTTTCTTTCTCTTTTTTTCTTTTTCTTTCTTTCTCTCTCTCTCTCTCTCTCTCTCTTTCTTTTTCTCAATTTGTATCGTGAGATTCTGATTTCAAAATTGGGGGGAGGGGATGAAAACGGACCTGGGTTCACAGAGTCGCTGATTTTCGCGGGAGCGATGGGGCAGGAGGTAGAGATTATCAACTAGATTCCCATGCTGAGCAGCGGTTTTATGATCCGTGTTTTATCTAACTAGAACTGGCTGGGCTGTGCCAAAGTTAAGAGAGAAAGGGCAAAATAAGTTTTAAAAATTCCCCTAGTTAATTCCGTGCAGCGCTACAGAGCTCCAGAAATCGTGGGCGCTCCATCCCTGGAGATTTAAGAAGAGGCTAGACAGTCACTTGTCTGGTATATAGGTTCTCCTGCTTGAGCAGGGGGCTGGACTAGAAGACCTCCAGGGTCCCTTCCAGCTTCTGTTCGATTCAAACCTCTTGTGTCAGAATGGTTAGAACAATTAACCAGTGGAACAGCTTGCCTCCAGAGGTTGTGAGTGCTCCATCACTGGAAGTTTTGAAGAGGAAAATTGGATAACCATTAGTCTGAAATGGCAGAGGCTCTCCTGTTTGAGCAGGGGGTTGGACTAGAAGACTTCCAAGCTCTATTCATTTATTCTCCAAAGCACCTGAAGGCAGAACAAGAAGCAACAGATGGAAACTGACCAAAGAGAGAAGCAACCTGGAATTAAGGAGAAGCTTCCTAACAGTGAGGACAACTAACCAGTGGAACAGAAGTTGCTCCAGAAGTTGTGAATGCTCCAACACTGGAGGCTTTTAAAAAGAGACTGGACAACCATGTGTCTGGGATGGTCTAGAGGTCTCCTGCCTGAGCAGGGGGTTGGACTAGATGACCTCCAAGGTCCCTTCCAACTCTGTTGTTCTGTATTCTGATTGGTCAATTGCTGCTAAATTATTAAAGGCTGGCCATGGCAGGAACTGAGGACTCTCAGTTTGGATGAGGGAGGCACCATGGATGAAAACCCCCTCCATTCCCAGCGGCCATAACCTCTTTCCTATAGTATGCATTACTTTTTGTGGGGTTTACACCCCATTTTAATCCAGAGAAGTTTACAAAACCTTGAGAAGAAAAGGCAGGAAAAGAAACAGCAGGGAACTATGTTGTAATGGAGAGAGAGGAAGAGCTATTTGTGATAGGGAAAATTTTTTTCAATGAATGATCTATTATTAACGATACCTGAAATCCCAACTATATATTTATTAAAATGTAATTGGAGTATGACAACTGTAATTAGTAAAACTTAAAAAACAGGATACAGATTATTATAATCACATGTGATTGATGATTTTTGTTCGATTGAACTTTACCTAAAATTGTATTAATTTTAATAAGCAATACTATATTTAGGAAACAGAGAGGAAATTTTTGATAATTAATTTTTGATAATTAATTTATATATATATAAAGTTTTATTGTTTACATATAGCAGCAGGGAACTATGTTGTAATAGAGAGAGAGGAAGAGCTATTTGTGATAGGGAAAATTTTTTCAATGAATGATCTATTATTAAGGACACCTGAAATCCCAACTATATATTTATTAAAATGTAATTGGAGTATGACAACTGTAATTAGTAAAACTTAAAAACAGGATACAGATTATTATCATCGCATGCGATTGATGATTTTTGTTTGATTGAACTGTACTTAAAATTGTATTAATTTTAATAAGCAATACTATATTTAGGAAACAGGAAATTTTTGATAATTAATTTTTGATAATTAATTTATATATATATATAAAGTTTTATTGTTTATATATAGCAGCAGGGAACTATGTTGTAATAGAGAGAGAGGAAGAGCTATTTGTGATAGGGAAAATTTTTTCAATGAATGATCTATTATTAAGGATACCTGAAATCCCAACTAGATATTTATTAAAATGTAATTGGAGTATGACAACTGCAATTAGTAAAACTTAAAAAACAGGATACAGATTATTATCATCGCATGCGATTGATGATTTTTGTTTGATTGAACTTTACCTAAAATTGTATTAATTTTAATAAGCAATACTATATTTAGGAAACAGAGAGGAAATTTTTGATAATTAATTTGAGTTCTATTTATGTGATTTTGTCTTTGAACAATTTGACATCCTGAGCACCACATTGTGTCCTAAGCTTTTGGAAAAAAATGGAAAAAACCAATAAAACTATATATATATATATATATATATATATATATATATATATATATATATATATATATATATATATATATATATAAAGAAACAGCAGGAAAAATCCTATCAAAGAGTGACCCAAACTGGAATGAAGGAGAAATTTCCTGATAGTGAGAACAATTAAACAGTTAATTTAATTTAAACAATTCATTTAATTTAAACAGTTAATTTAATTTAAACAATTAAATTCCAGAAGTGGTGGGTGCTCCATCACTGGGGGTTTTAAAGAGGAGATTGGACCCAGCCGTTGGTCCGGAAGGGCTTGGGATCTGCTGCCTGAGCTGGGGGTTAGACTAGAAGACCTCGACAGTCCCTCACGACTCTTGTCATTCTGCCTGTCCGTGATCCTTGCTTTTGCGATTAAATCGCCACTTGGCGATCCCACCTCCTCAGCCGAGCCTAAGGGAGATTCCACGGGGCGAGTGTTGATCCAGAGAAGGAGCTGTGCTGGTGGCTGCCGCTGTGTTGGTTCTCTGTGGAGGGAGGAGGCAAGTGGGGGGGGGTGTTTGTCATACGGTGCTGCCTCTGACCTGGGATGCCTTCTGCTCTTTCAGACCCCGAGGAGTTTCTGAACCTCATCATGCATCGCATTCTTGGACTGGAGCCTCTCTTGAAGCTGCAGTAAGCCCGTTGCACCGCCGTCCCCTCCTCACTTGGGTTATGGTGAAGGAGGAAAAAATAGCACTGGGAGGGACTGGGTGACCTTTGAGATACGGTCTAGAGCAGTGGTTCTCAACCTTTTTAATGCCGCGACTCCCCCTCGTAAGTCGAGGACTACTCAACCGGTCGTAAGTCGAGGACTACTCAACTAGTGCAGCACCGTTTGCAGACTGGGACTTTTGGCGGGCTCAGCAGGGCAGAGACAGCCTGGACAATTCCTATTGGCTTTTGAAAGCCAATAGAATTAGACTCTATTCAAGAGAGTCTATTCTATTGGCTTTCAAAAGCCAATAGAATAAAAGGGAGTAGCACAGCTAAGGAAAAGGGGGAAAGAAATGGCGGACTGCGTTGTTTGGCGACCCCCGTGAAATGGTCGTTCGACCCCAAATGGGGTCCCGACCCACAGGTTGAGAACCGCTGGTCTAGAGGTAATTACTGACCTGGTAAAGAGATCCCTGTCTAGCAAGGGAGGTGAAGGGAGGTGGGGGGGGGGGAGAAGGCCCCAACTAGGCCTGGGCCGTGCTGGAAAAGGCTTAAAGGCAGCCTGTCAGAGCTGCCTCAGCTTGAACTCCTAAGCAGAAACAAAGGGCAAGCATTAAAAGGGTAGCCGACGCAGGAACCTCAGGGAGCTGCCTTTTCTGCCGTCAGGAAATTGACCAGCAGCAATTGACCACTTCCACCAACACTGGCAGGGTAAGCCATTGGTATAGAAAATGAGAATTAGCCCCTCTCCCGTCCAGCACTGATGGTGTTGCCTAGTTGGGTCATGAAACATCTGTAAGGAAAGACTCAGCTCAGCACAAAGGAACTCAAGGTCCTCCTCCATCTTCTCCTCCTCCTCCTCCTCCTCCTCCTCCTCCTCTTCTTCCCCTTCCCCTCTACTCCTTAAACACTATTCCCTTCTAGTACTGATGATGTTACCTAGTTGGGTCATGAAACGTCTGCAAGAAAACTAACAAGGCCAGAGAGAACAAAGGAACTCCTCTTCCTCCTCCTCCATCTTTCCCTCCTCCTCCTCCTCCTCCTCCTCCTCCTCCTCTTTCCCACTACTCCATAAACCCTACTTCCTTCTAGTACTGATGATGTTACATAGTTGGGTCATAAAACGTCTGCAAGGAAACACTCAAGCTCAGAGAGCACAAAGGAACTCCTCCTCCTCCTCCTCCATCTTTCCCTTCTCCTCCTCCTCCTCCTCTTCCCCACTACTCCGTAAACCCTACTCCCTTCTAGTACTGATGATGTTACCTAGTTGGGCCATGAAACATCTGCAAAAAAACCGTCCCAGGTTAGAGAGCATCAGGGATCCCACTGTCGTTGGCTGCCTCCTCTGCCTCCTCCTCCTCTTCCTCTCCATTATATAAATCCCACTCCTTTCTAGTACTGATGATGTTACCTAGTTGGGTCATGAAACGTCTGCAAGAAAACCACCCAGTTCAGAGAGCACAATTGACTCCACAATCCATCCATCCTTCCTTCCTTCCTTCCTTCCTTCCTTCCTTCCTTCCTTCCTTCCTTCCTTCCTTCCTTCCTTCCTTCCTTCCTTCCTCCTCCTCCTCCTCCTCCCTTCTAGTGCTGATGATGTTACCTAGTTGGGTCATGAAACATCTGCAAGAAAACACCCAAGCTCAGCACCCAGGACTCACAAGCAGAACATGGTCAGAAGGAGGTCCTGAGAACTATTGATTTGTTTAATGTGCTGCCCCTCTGACTGTTACAGCGACCCTGAGCAGCTTACAGAATAATAATTTTTTTAAAAATCGAAAACGTAATATAAAACCATTAAAATTAGGAGGATGAAATGCAGAACGGACAGGTGACCCAGGACCGGGGGAATCCTCTCTCTCCCCCGTCAGCTACACCCCGAGCCTTAGAGCATCCCTCTGGGAACCCCAAGCCGACTGGCAGAGGCAGGATTTTAGGCTGCGCTGGACGGCCAGGTAGGCTGGGGCCGACCTCCTCTCTCCAGAGGGAAACTCTTGCCAAGCGCGGGGGCCACAGCAGAAAAGGCTCTTCTTCTCCTGGATCCCGCCTGACAAAAGACTTCCAGCTGCCCGTCATCCGAGGGAACGAGCAGCAGGGGCTGGACGCCCCGGAGTAACACAACCCCTTAAGTAGGGATGCCAGTCGACCCCTTTGACTCGCGCATTCATTTTCTGGTTTTCCTGGGCGATAACAGGAAACTCTACATGGGGCTACCCTTGAAAAGTATTCGGAGACTACAGTTGGTCCAGAATGCAGCCGCGCGAGTGATAGCGAGTGCTCCTCGATACACCCATGTTACACCTATCCTCCGCGAGCTGCACTGGTTGCCTATTGGTCTCCGGGTCCAATTCAAGGTGTTGGTCATTACCTTTAAAGCCCTATATGGCTCAGGGCCAGGCTACTTGCAAGACCGCCTACTACCTCATAGTTCCCTTCGTCCGGTTAGATCCCACAGGCTGGGCCTCCTTCGGGCCCCGTCGGCCAAGCAGTGCCATTTGGCGGGGCCGCGGAGGAGGGCCTTCTCTGTGATGGCGCCCACGCCTTGGAACCAGCTCCCCCCGGAGATTAGGACCGCTCCCACCCTGTTGGTCTTCCGTAAGCTACTTAAGACCTGGCTTTTCTGGCAGGCCTGGGGTTTATAAAACCTTACCCCTGGATGATTGTTTTTGTATTGTTGTTTTGTTATGTTTTATGTGTTTTTTATTGTTAGCCGCCCAGAGTCTTTCGGGAGTGGGGCAGCTTAAAAATTTTAAAAATAAAATAAATAAATAAACTCCGAGGAGTGGAGAAAGAAGCCGAAAACTGGAAGTTCACGTCCCCGCCTGCCATTTTTGGAAAGAGGTGGCGTAGAGAGAAAGCCCCCCGCCCCGGGCTCAGCAGGGAGAAAGCATCTTCTCCAAGCTGCATCCCTAACCGCGGCTGAGGCTTCTGGGTCAGAAAAGAGACGTGTGCGGAGGCCGCCGTTCGTCTCTTCGTAGCTGAAACTTCCAACCTTTCCTTCAGCTCCTTTTGAGGGGGGGGGTCTCATCAGACCACTTCTGATTCCAGGTCCGGAAAGCTGAAGGAGCAGGAGTGTTACTGTTACCAGATATTCATGGACAAGCAGGAGAATTTGGTGGTGCCCAACGTCCAGCAGTTGGTAGAGCATTCCTTCCTCACCTCAGACCTCAAGCTAGTGGAGGTGAGTCTTCCTCCTCCTCTATCAATGCTGCCCCCTCCCCACTTCAGCATCATGGTCTCTGCCACATTGGTGGAGAGCTTGTGGCTCGCTTTCTCTCGCTACCGTGTTTCCCCCCCACCCAAAAAGAGCTGGTCTTATATATCTACCCAGGGCCACAGGTTGGGGGTGAACTTGACAGAAGCAGAACTTGGTGCCGGTGACCTCTGACCTCCGTGGGGGGCTGCTGGTCTCCAGACGGGGGCCGTTCACCTTTGCCTTTCTCCCATCTAGATCCCATCCTGCTTTATTCTCCAAATGCCTCGTTTCGGGAAGGAGTACAAAATGTTCAACAAAATCATCCCTTCCTTGGAGCTGGACATCACTGACCTGCTGCTGGACAGTAAGTCATCGGACAAGGGAAGCCTAAAAATTTATTTATTTATTTATTTATGAGACTTATATACCGCTTTTAAGTGCAAGCACTCTCTAAGCGGTGTACATCAGTAAGCAATGTATATATATATATATATTTACATTGCCCCCAACAATCTGGGTCCTCATTTTACCTACCTCGAAGGATGGAGTCAACCTTGAGCCGGTGAGATTTGAACCGCTGACCTGCTGAACACAGTCAGCTAAAGTGGCCTGCAGTACTGCACTCTAACTGCTGCGCCACCTCACTTCCATGAACCACCTCACAGTTTTCTGGAAGAGATGCCCCCACGTAGCGTGAAGCGGAGGAAAAGATAAGATCACCTTTATTGTCATGTGGGAAGTCAGCCCCCCCCCCAGAGAAGGAAATATTAAAAGGGCAGAAAAATATATTTCAAAGGATCTTCAAGAGGCAGAAAAGCGTGCCCAGTTTTTCTTAATAGCCCCAAGTCTCCAGCTCTGTAGAAATTCAGATGTAATAATCCATTCAGGAAGGTTGGAGGCCTCCAGCTAGAAGCTTAGGAAGACAAAGACACCTCAAATCTACATATCCCACCCAAACTCTAACAGGACATAATAGGATTAACCCACAGATGCCAAAGAGACATACTCAGGTCAAAGTACATGACACAGGAAATACAAAGCCTCAGATAGGAACAGGAAACAACTCCACACAAAAGCCCAAGAAGGTATAAAAACCCACTCCCTACTACAGTGATGGCGAACCTTTTGGAGACCGAGTGCCCAAAAACCGCCTCCCCACTCCTGTCCCCGCTCCTCCGTGCCCACTGGGCTGCTCCACCTCCACAGTCCACCACAGATCACCCAGGTAGCCCAGCAAGCGCCATGGCGGCCACGCCCTCCACCTGTGTCCCGCAGCATCATCTGCGCGTGACGGGGCGCAAGGTCGGAGTCTTGTCTCTGCTGCCCGGCTACCATGTCCTTGGCTGCGCTGCTTCATGTGGGCCATGCCTGGGGGCGACTCTCCTCCGGGGGGCTGCTGATGAGGAGGGGGCTGTGGGAGGAGGCGGGCTGGGGCGACGGCGCGTGTGCCCTCAGAGAGGGCTCCGAGTGCCGCCTCTGGCAGGCGTGCCACAGGTTCGCCACCACTGCCCTACTACCTGTGCTCCCTCTCTCTTTTCTTCCAAAGCCATCTTTTTTTTATTTTGTTTTTTTTCTTTTTTTTTTCATTGAAAATTTTTTATTTTTTTTAAAACATACAATCATTTATAAAAATACAATAAAATTTTAAAATAGAGAACCCCCCCCTTACCCTCCCTCCCACCCCCAGCCCCCCTCCCTTCACTTCCCAGAGCAGAATACAGGGTTAAAAAAAAAGAAAATTATAATAATTAAGAAAAAAGAAAAGAAAAGAGAAAAGAAAAAAAAATATCATAATTAACCTTTAACTCCATAACCTATAAAACAATTCTCTATAATATTTGATATTCATTCATAAAATAAATGAAACTTTTTAATTCCATACTTTTTCTGAATATAATCTATCCACCTTCCCCATACAGTAAATATATCTTTCTTGTGTATGGTCCTTTAAATAAGCAGAAATTTTTGCCATTTCTGCAAAACTAGATACTTTAAATCTCCATTCTTCTAAAGTAGGCAAGGAATCTTTCTTCCAATATAAACCTACTAGTAACCTCGCTGCAGTTAATAAATTCAACATCAAAGTAGTTTCTTTTTCATTTAAGTCAACAAAAATACCAAGTAAAAATAGTTGAGGAGTAAACTTTATCTTTTTTCTAAGAATCTTTTGAATGTTCCACCAAATCATAATCCAAAAAGCCTTTACCTTTTTTACAGTTCCACCAAATATGAAAGTATGTCGCATCATTATTGCCACATCTCCAACATTTGGGCTGTATGTTGGAATACATACAAGATAATTTTTTAGGATCTACGTGCCATCTATAAAACATTTTATAAAACCAGAGCCATCTTGTCTGGCTCTCCTCTCTGATAATCTGCAACCTTCTTTCTAAAGCAAGTCTCCATTTTGATTGTTCCCAGCTTGGACTGGACCCCGATGAAGACTTTTCCTCCAATAGCCGTTTTCCTATATACACAACGGCACACATTGAAATGACATCTCCCTCTCAAAAGAAGGAATGCCCCCCACCACACAATATCACCCTCCCAAGATAACACAAATAATATAACAAAAGCGGCAGACTCCAAAAACGCCAGGTGATACAAAAACGACACCGAAACTATAGATATGAATACAGGTAGTCCTTGACTTAGCGGCCCCAATGGAGCCCAGCATTTCTCTTGCTAAGTGAGCTTTGTTAAGTGAGCTTTGCCCCATTTTACGACCTTTCTCGCCTCGGTTGTTAAGTGAATCCCTGCGGTTGTGAAGTTAGCAACCCGGCTGTGAAGTGAATCTAGCTGCCCCCTCGATTTTGCTTGTCAGAAGGTCACCAAAGGGGATCCACAGGATCCCAGGACACCGCGACCGTCATAAACATGAGTCAGTTGCCAAGTGGCTGTAAGGACCCACCCCACTTTGCATCTTAAGAAGACAGAACTCTTGGAATAATTCTTCCAACAGGAATCCTTTATTAAGAGAAAATGGTTGCAGGCGTTCTAGACAGGACTTGGGGTCCAAGCTCTCCCATTCAAGGTTTTAAGGGGTTCCCCAGTAGTCCCACCCAATCACCCCCCTCTTCCAGCGACAGTCTCAGGCATTACACTCCCACCCCTTTTCCTTACTGCCGGCTGGATGGAGACTTCAGAGAGAACTACATGAAAGGTAATAGCCCCCTTTGTTATGATTAGGCCTTTTTGGTGCTGTCCACATTCAATCCCTTTGAAGTTGTACCGAAGGAAGTGAGAGCCATAAAGCCCCTTTGTTCACCCCCTTCCCTTCCTTGTATGACAGAATCCAGAGAAGGCAGAAATGGGGTTTTCTATAATTGATAACTAGAGATAAAATATAATTGGATTCTGACAGCGGCTAACTTTTGATCACGTGACCCCGGGGACGCGGTGACCGTCATAAACAGGAGTCAGTTGCCAAGCATCTCAATTTTAAATCATGCCAACACAGGGATGCTGCAAGGATTGTAAGTATGAAAAACGATCCTACGTCCCTTTTTTTTCAGTGCTGCTATAACTTCGAATGGTCACTAAATGAGCTGTTGGTAAGTCAGGGACTACCTGTGTTCATCACCGTCCATTTTGAACACGTAGCAGGAAAAGAAGTCCTGAGAGTTAACCAGGTTTATACGGGAAGGTAAAGTAGGAGAAGGGAGTTGGAAGGGACTCCCAACCACTGGGAGACTGCCCAACGTTGGACTTCCAGAAGTCTTAAAGTTGTCAAGGCTGGACATGCCTGCCTTAACCCAGAGATCCCCAACCTTTTGGGCAACAGGGACTAGCTCCAGGGAAAAAGTTTTTCCCACGGACCGGAGACTGTGTGGTTTTTGTGTACTTCCTGCATCCCACGGATGGGGCTTTGCTTCTTTGTGTGGACCGGTTGCTGGCATGCTGCGGACCGGACTGGCCCACGGACCGGGGGGGTTGGGGACCCCTGCGCCAAGCCCCTCGCACAGGTGTGTAGTCACAAAGGGCAAGGCTCAAACTGCAAGCTGGGTGATGGCCGAGCGCCTGATATTCAGAATTGGGATCCATTGGTCCTGAAACATGCGCCGTGTGAGGTCACGGGAGCTTCGTAGGCAGCAATCATCATTAGAACAGCTGCCACGATGAGGACTGGAGACTTGCCCGAGACTTCCGGTTTGGGTTGCAGTGGCTGTAGGCACACGATGAGGCTATCTCTTTTCGTTACCTGCTTTTCCTCTGCCGGTAGACCCTTAATCGGGTCGAAAAGTCACCCTGGAGGGGTGACTACCGATGAGGAGGACTCTCGTTGATTGCGGGGGGGGGGCGGCAGCTCCTTCCGCAGCCCGAGGCAGCTCCTCAGGGCCGACAGAAAGATCGGCCAGTAACATGGCCGATTATTTAGCTGCTGCTCCAGCTGAAAGTCAAAAGAACATCTAAGCCAGTGGTTCTCAATCTTTTTAATGCCGCGACCCCCAACCGGTCGTAAGTCGAGGACTACTCAACTGGTGCAGCACCGTTTGCAGAATGGGACTTTTGGCGGGCTCAGCAGGGCAGAGACAGCCTGGAAAGACAATAGAGTTAGACTCTATTAGACTCTATTCAAGAGGGTCTATTCTATTGGCTTTCAAAAGCCAATAGAATAAAAGGGAGGAGCACAGCTAAGGAAAAGGGGGAAAAAATGGCGGACTGCGTTGTTTGGCGACCCCCGTTAAATGGTCGTTCGACCCCAAATGGGGTCCTGACCCACAGGTTGAGAACTACTGATCTAAGTGTTAAGAAACCATCGTGGATGATCCCGGTGAGATTTTTCCCTCTCTCCTTCTGCCTAACTACTTTCCTGTCAAAAGCCTTTTGGAATTACTTCCCTGTTTTGAAAGAGCTGCCTTTGTTTATCTGGGAAAAAAAGCTTTCCATAACAAAGGAAAAAAACTTCTTATTGACTATGTTTATTCTTGACTACTTGGAGACCCTGGAAAAATCCTTGTCATAAAACTTAATTATTATATCTTCTAAGCTGGAGAATGTCTTGGACTTACTTTTTTAAAGGGATAAATCTTTATTGTTTGAAAAAAACAACTCTATGAGAAGCTGGAAAAGAGACTCCATGGCTCTGACTTTGCTAATCTCATTCTTGATGTCTGGAAGAGACTTCTATAGTTTACGGAGGACATCTTGTGGAGAAATTTAACTGTTAACTGTTTTTTGTTTGTGTTACTATTGAAATGGAGAAATCATACTCACAACTCAACTGTAAACTCATACTGGAAAAAAATGTATGAAGCTTCTGAGGAAATATGTTCCCAAATAAGAGAGAGAACTGCAGAAATAATAAACAGAAATTCTACTGTGAATTTACAAACTGACCTTCAGACTCTACTTGATCATTCTACAGACCAAAAAGCAACAGAATTAATTTACACACAACCTATGGAGATTTTGGATGACCAAAAAATGATTGTAACTAAACTATCTACAGTTGCAAAACTAACAGAAATGGACTTGAAATTACAACTGTTAGAGAATTATGAAAACCTTGATAATCAACTATTAATTATAAAATTGGACATGATTGAATGTTTTATCCAGCAGACAGGCATCAAAAACAGAGGATGGGAGGTTTTTTACTGACCCAAATGAAATTACAAGCAATAATGGGAGATCTATTTGCTGAAATAGAGGCTTTGTTATGGAAGCCTTCTTGGCGTAGGAAGAAAGCCAGAATAAGACTAAAAAGAGAAATTTAAAATTATATGTAATGGATTAAAAAGGTTTTGAGAAATATGGACTGATTTAAAGATTAAGATTTAGAGTTGAAAATTTGTGATTATTAGAATATATATGTTAAACAGAGTAAGAATGTAGTTTCTTGAATAATATGTTTATTTGTATGAAAATTATTTCGTAATGGAATGAGAATAAGAATATGAAAGAGGCTTTTAGAAATTCAGATAGCTTTAACAACTGAGTGTGTTAAGTTAGTAAGATGATGTTTTGTATAATAATAGGTATGGGTTTTTCTTAGATATGATAATTATTTGAATGAGATTTAAATGCTATTTGAAGTAATAAGAGAGATCTGTGATAAAATCAATGGTTTATGAGATTATGAATTAGAATATATCTGGATTAGTATTTTAAAAGGGATACCCGAAGTGATAATAAATTTATCGAAGGTTAAATTGAACTATGGTAATTGTAAATTAATAAAGCTCAAAACAGGATTAGGATTTATAGATATGTAATGTAGAAATGGATTATGTTAAATAGGTTATATCATTTGAGGGAAATAGAGAGGGAATATTTAATGTCTTTACTTGAGCTATTATATGATTTTATTTTTGGATGATTGACCACCTAACCACCACAATGTGTCTTGAGCATTCTGTTGTAAAAGTTAAAAAACCAATAAAATTTGTTATATATAAAAAAAGGAGACTTGCCCAATCAGTGCTAGGCTGCATTAACAGAGGGATAGAATCAAGATCACGTGAAGTGTTAATACCACTTTACAAGGCCTTGGTAAGGCCACACTTGGAATCCTGCGTCCAGTTTTGGTCACCACGATGTAAAAAAGATGTTGAGACTCTAGAAAGAGTGCAGAGAAGAGCAACAAAGATGATTAGGGGACTGGAGGCTCAAACATACAAGGAACGGTTGCTAGAATTGGGTCTAGTTTAATGAAGAGAAGGACGAGGGGGGACATGATAGCAGTGTTCCAATATCTCAGGGGCTGCCCCAAAGAAGAGGGAGTCAAGCTATTCTCCAAACTGCCTGAAGGCAGGACAAGAAGCAGTGGGTGGAAACTGATCAAGGAGAGAAGCAACCTAGAACTAAGGAGAAACTTCCTGACAGTGAGAACAATTAACCAGTGGAACTACCTGCCTCCAGAAGCGGTGAATGCTCCAACACTGGAAGTTTTTAAGAAGAGACTGGACAGCCATTTGTCCGAAATGGTGTAGGGTTTCCTGCCTGAGCAGGGGGTTGGATTAGATGACCTCCAAGGTCCCTTCCAACTTTACTACTATTACTATTACTATCTCTGTGATCCAAAAGGAAATTTTCTGAGGTCCCCCTCCTTTTTTCATTGACCCACCCAGATTTCTGCCGGTGGCCTCTGGGAGGAGCACCTTAGGAGTGAGATGCTGTCCATCTGGCTGGGGCCACAAAGAGGCCTCCGAGTTCTTGAGGTCTGGCCTCTTGTGAATGGCGGGGAGCACGGGAGAAAGTGTCAGCTGCTGATTTTTGCATTCGCACTTCAGGTCCCCGGGAGTGTTTCGTGTGCGGAGACATCGCCACCCAGGAATGCTCGGCCTGCTTCAAAGACAAGATGTTCGCCGGCACGGGGCTGAAGCAGTTTTGCGACTCATGCTGCTCTCAGGTGTGTGCTGTGCTTTTGTTTTCGTTGTTGTTTTGCTTTTGAGGAGTGCTGCGGAGGATCTGGGCCGGGCCGTTCTGACGTTCAGGGCGGATTTGTTTGCACCAAATCCCCAGATGACAACCCCTCTTCCCAACAAATCCTCGCCCAGCTGGTCCTCCGTTGCGTGGTGCAGTTGATTGGTCAAAAGTGGCAGAACTTTAAGACCTGTGGACTTCAACTCCCAGAATTCCCTTCTGGGTGTTGAAGTCCACCAGTCTTAAAAGTTGCCAAGGCTGGACACCCTGGTTTCAACATTCCTTGCCAAATTCAGCAGAATAATCATAATCACAATCATAATCATAATTGGTTGATACCTAGGATGCTAGCAGTAACCCGTGTCAACCATCAGCGCCAGTCAGTTTGAATGTTCAGTTGACTGAGGTTTCGCGTCTAATGAATAATAATAATAATAATAATAAGAAGAAGAAGAACGCCATTGGCATTGACAAATTCGCCATTAGTCAATTGCAAAAGGCGGCCTTACTAGGAACTGCTTCCATCCTGTGACGATATCTGTAATACCATCAAACATCCACATCTGCCTATCCCAGGTCCTGGGTAAGGACTCGATAGGTAGACAAAATGCCAAATCCAGTCTGAACATCTGGCTGACTGTGCGATGATCCATAATAATAATAATAATGTTGGAAGGGACCTTGGTGGTCATCTAGTCCAACCCCCTGCTCAGGCAGGAAACCCTAGAACAGTGGTGGCGAACCTATGGCACGGGTGCCAGAGGTGGCACTGAGAGCCCTCTGTGGGCACATGCACTGTCGTCCCAGTCCTAGACCTTCAGCTGGGTTTTATAAAACCTTTTCACTTTAGGCCTCCACCGCCGTGTGCAAAAAAAAAAAGGTTCAATCAATCAGTCAATTTCAACTTCTTGTGGGAAAAAAAAGATCTTGCAAAGTTGGATTGAACTTTTTAGTCCTACCCAGTCTGCCATTACCACCGCAGCCACGCCCACCCAGTGGGCCACGCCCACACGGCACTCGATGATGCACAAGTGGGTTTTGGGTTGCAGTTTGGGCACTCGGTCTCTAAAAGGTCCGTCATCACTTCCCTACACCATTTCGGACAAATGGCTGTCCAGTCTCTTCTTAAAAACTTCCAGTGTTGGAGCATTCACCACTTCTGGAGGCAGGTAGTTCCACTGGTTAATTGTTCTCACTGTCAGGAAGTTTCTCCTTAGTTCTAGGTTGCTTCTCTCCTTGATTAGTTTCCATCCGTTGCTTCTTGTCCTGCCTTCTGGGGCTTTGGAGAATAGCTTGACTCCCTCTTCTTTGGGGCAGCCCCTGAGATATTGGAAGACTGCTATCCTGTCCCCCCTTATCCTTCTCTTCGTTAAACTAGACATACCCAATTCCAGCAACTGTTCCTTACAAACCTTCATTGTTGTTTTTTTTTAGGTGTCTCACAGATTTCATTCTCCACCTCACAAGCCACCAGAGCTTTTTTAGTTCCAGGGACACTCTGTGTGGGTTGTGTGTGTGTGTGTGTATAAAAATCCTGTGTTCCCAATATGAAGGTCTCCTGCCTCAGAAACTTCACAAGTTCCCCCTTGTTCACTTTCAGGCTCACTCCCATTACCAGCGAAGAGGCCATCAGACGACAAGGCTCCACTTCCCCCAGGAATTCGCTCGGGATGGGGTGCGGGTACCCCGGGAGAAACTGGAGCTATTTGCCGTTCTCTGCATCGAGACCAGCCACTACGTGTCCTTTGTGAAATACGGGCCGGAGAAAGAGAACTGGATGTTCTTCGACAGCATGGCAGACCGACATGGTGTGCCGTTCGTTCGTTCGTTCATTTATTCATTCATTCTTATCAAATATGTTTGCTGCCTTGAGTTACTTACAAATAAAGGCAGGGAATGAATTCTTCCTCCACCGATTTCCCCCGTAGCAACAATTCTGCGAGGTGGGTTGGGCTGAAAGAATCAGCGTTCATGCCTAAGGTGAGACTAGAACTCCCGGTCTCCCGGTGATTGACTCAAAGTCGCCCAGCCAGCTTTCATGTCTAAGGCGGGGCTAGAACTCACTGCCTCCTAGTAATGGGTTCCAAGTCACCCAGTTGGCTTTCATGCTTAAGGTGGAACTAGAACTCATCATCTCCTAGCGATTGACCAAAAGTCAGCCAGTTGCCTTTTATGCCTAAGGCAGGGCTATAGACCCCATTGTCTCCCAGTGATTGGACCACAGCCACCCAGCTGGCTTTTATGTCTAAAGGACTAGAACTCACGGTCCAGCGATTGGCTCAAGGTTGCCCAGCCAACTGTCATGCCTAAGGCGGGGCAAGAACTTCCAGTCTCCTGGTGATTGGCCTAAGATTATCTATCTGGCTTTCATGCCTAAGGCGGGACTAGAACTCACCGTCTCCTGGTGATTGGCCCAAAGTCACCCAGCCGGCTTTCGTGCCTAAGGTGGGACTAGAACTCACCGTCTCCCAGTAATTGACCCAAAGTCACCCAGCCGGCTTATACACGAAAGGCAAAACTAGAATTCCCCGACAGCTGCTTTTTAGCCTGGTATGTTCCCCACTAGACCAACCTGCTCCTGCTTCCTTCGGGGGGGGGGGGGCTGGGGGCACCTCTTCAGCTCCAGACACTGGGGTGCCTGAGGGCTTTGGGGGTGATCTCTGGAAAGCGGTCTCCCTCTTTCCCCAGGCAAGGCGCACGGACGGGCCAAAAAGGGAGCCTAGAAACGAAACGCTGAGCCCTCCAATCCATCTTTCTCTCTCTTTCTCCTCTCCACTCAGGTGACGAGAACGGCTACAACATCCCCACGGTCACGCTCTGCCCGGAAGTGGCCAAGTACCTGGAGATGCCCGTGTCCTCCCTGGCCATGGAACAGCCCCGGGACATGGAAGGCGTGGCCAAGCGCCTCTTCTGCGACGCCTACATGTACATGTACCAGAGCAAAAAGATGGCGCTCTACAAGTGACGCCCCACGCCGGAGGCGCCCGGCCTCGTGTCCCCAGGAAAAAAAGAACTTCACTTCCTTGTCTGCAGCTCTTCTCTCCAGCTCTGCTGTCCGCAGTGCCCCCCTACCTCTCCGGGGCCTAAAGGGGCGGCAGCCGTGCCAGCTGGAAGCACCCGCGTTCGAGTCTTCCCCATCCCTGCCTCGATCCTCCGGGTAGGAACCTCTAGGTAGACGAACGTGATCCACATACCTCACTTCTCAATCCCCGGAAGCTTTGGCTTGTAAGTCTTTGGGCTTCTGTGCCCTGGCCCACCCACGGACCAAAGAAACTGAAGGCCAGGTTGGGAAAAAGCCTGCTTGCAGCCTAAAGCAGGAAGCCCCCAGCCCCATTTCTGGGGTTCCACAGACTCAGCATTCCACAGATTGATGGGGAATTTAGCGTTGCAGACAAGGGAAGCTCACAAACTCTGCTGCGACTTTGGGAATCCGAAGGGACCAATATCTGTGACTCTTTTGCACATTGCCCCCCCCAAAAAAGGGTCCCCGGGTATCTGTCAACAGCGCCCACCCCTTAAAAAAAAAGGATGAGAGGCTCCAGAAGTTCCTTGTTAGGGTCTCAGGTTTGACCTTCAGCAGTTCTAAGAACATAATTGCCCAAATCTTTGGGGGAAACCACACATTTTTTTTGCTTTAGGTTTTTCTCCACACACACCCCCCATTTTTGACGAGGCAGCAGTGTGTACAATCAGCTCCCAACCAAAAATAGAAAAGCAGCAGCTTTTTTAGGGGGGGGGGAGTGGGATCCAGCTGCTGTGCCTCTGGTTTAATTAATTGAATCGAAATGAGTTATTCATTTAACCCTTTAAATGAGCAGGACATTCCGAAAGGTATCCGGCGAGATCTTAGCGAGTGTCTATCTTCTGATGCAAACCAAATACATCCCCCGATTTTCCTATGAAAATTCTAAGATACGTAAAGGACCTTTCCTAACTCCTATATATTTCCCCCCCCCTTTTTTATTACCTCATCTAATTCTAATTTCCATCTCTTAAGTGCAAGGGTTATCAAGCGTTCTTCCTGATGTATCAGCTACGAAAATCCTTTGAATGAAGCACTTTCACGGCTGTCTTAACTCCGTTAGGTGGGATTTACACCATCATTCCTCTGGCTGATCCTCGTTTCCTACCCACCCCCAAATTAAACAGCTTTCTTATTTTCTGCCCTAGTTAAATGCTACGAAAGAGGAAAAAGTGCCTTATCTACGTAGCCGTGTGTATAAATTTTAGCTCTTTAATCGGATGCATTTTTCTTTCCTCTCTGAAAACATTCTGTACTGTCTTTACGTTGTTGCTGAAATTTCTTGCACTTCGGCTTCAGACCGCTCCCAATTACTTCACTTTTCAAACAAGGCTGCCTCGGGGGGGGGGGGGGGAGGAATAATACTTGATGATAATACTTGGTCTTGATGTGGAAGATCTCTTTTGATAAACGGATCTTGGCATACCAGCAAGTTAATTACTGCAATAAAGAGGTAGCAGCTATTCGGTTTTATCTTGTTGTGGGCCAGGCTCGGTGGGTTGGTTTGGAATAATTTTAAAAATTAATTGTTAACGTGCAGTATTTGTAAGTGTAGTTGGTTTAATTCAACACGTGAGGCTTTTTTTTGAAAGGGCAAGAAGCAGTGAAGGGTCCAGGGGGGCATCCAGCCGTTGGCAACTTTCAGATTTGTAGACTTCCACTCGCAGAATGGATGGCTGGGGAATTCTGGGAGTTGAAGTCCACAAATCTTAAAAGTCGCCAAAGTTGGGTGCTCCTGGATTATTCAATGCTTCTTTGTCCTTTCAAAACAAAATACCAAAACCTGCGTGCTGTGCTGTCGTCACCTTGAAGTCTGTAGCCCTTCTTTGTCTTCATCTCAAGGGAAAAAAAAAGTGTTTTTTGTGTGATGTCTCTCGAAAACATGTCTTCCAATAGAGCCTTATTTTTAACTTGACTTGTGTGTTTGCCTTTTTTTTTGTCCTAAAAATCAAGATCTGAACAGTATTCAATCAGAATAGAGCTGGAAGGGACCTTGGAGGTCCTCCAGTCCGACCCCCTGCTCAAGCAGGAAACCCTATACCATTTCAGACAAATGGTTGTCCAGTCTCTTCTTAAAAACTTCCAGTGTTGGAGCATTCACCACTTCTAGAGGCAGGTGGTTCCACTGGTTAATTGTTCTCACTGTCAGGAAGTTTCTCCTTAGTTCTAGGTTGTTTCTCTCCTTGATTAGTTTCCATCCGTTGCTTCTTGTCCTGCCTTCTGGTGCTTTGGAGAATAGCTTGACTCCCTCTTCTTTGGGGCAGCCCCTGAGATACTGGAAGACTGCTATCATGTCACCCCTCGTCCTTCTCTTTGTTAAACTAGACATACCCAATTCCAGCAACTGTTCCTTGTATGTTTTTGTCTCCAGGACTTTCATCATCCTAGTTGTATCTTCTTTGCACTTTTTTCCAAAGTCTCAATATCTTTTTTTTTTTTTTGTAACGAGGTGACCAAAACTGGATGCCATATTCTTGGTGTGGCTTTACTAAGGCTTTATAAAGCGGTACTAATGCTTCAGGTGATTTTGATTCTATGCCTCTGTTGATACAAAACCAAGATTGTATTTGGCTTTTTTGGCTGCTGAACTGAATAGGGAACAGAGTTCCTTATTCAATGCCTTTGGCCCTGCTGGCTGTTGTATCTCCTAACGCTATCTAACAAAATGAAATTCAAGGGTGAAAAAAGTAAGGCTCTACATTTAGGCAAGAAAAATCAAATGCACCGGTATAGTATAGGGGGTACCTTGCTGAATAGTAGTAACTGTGAGAGGGACCTCGGAGTCCTAGTGGACAATCACTTAGATATGAGCCAGCCGTGTGCTGCAGCTGCCAAAAAAGCCAACACAGTCCTAAGGCTGCATTAACAGGGATAGAATCAAGATCACGTGAATGGTTAATACCACTTTACAATCCCTTGGTAAGGCCACACTTGGAATACGGCATCCAGTTTTGGTCACTGTGATGTAAAAAAAGATGTTGAGACTCTTAAAAAAGAGTGCAGAGAAGAGCAACAAAGATGATCAGGGGACTGGAGGCTAAAACATATAAGGAACGGTTGCTGGAATTGGGTATGTCTAGTTTAATGAAGAGAAGGATGAGGGGAGGACATGATAGCAGTCTTCCAGTATCTCAGGGGCTGCCCCAAAGAAGAGGGAGTCAAGCTATTCTCCAAAGCGCCTGAAAGGAAGAAAAGAAGCAACGGATGGAAACTAATCAAGGAGAGAAGCAACCTAGAACTCAGGAGAAACTTCCTGACAGGGAGGACAATTAACCAGTGGAACAACCTGCCTCCAGAAGCGGTGAATGCTCCAACACTGGAAGCTTTTAAGGAGAGGACTGGACAGCCATTTGTCCGAAATGGTATAGGGTTTCCTGCCTGAGCAGGGGGTTGGACTAGATGACCTCTAAGGTCCCTTCCAACTTGATGATGATGGTCATTTTTTTCAGTAACTTCAAACTGTCACTAAAACTGGTCTGCCTGTATAGGTTACATTGCAAATTTAACTACATTTTTGCGCCCCCCCTTTTACAGTCCAAGAAACGGGGGGGGGGTCCTCTTGTGAGACCTTTGCCTCCCCCCTCCCCAATTCCTGTGCAGGCTCGGCTGCCTCTGATCCCCATTCACCTGCTGCAACCTCTCTCCCCCCCCATCTGCAAGGCTATTTCCACCTTCCCAACACAGGTAGTCCTCAACGTACGACGATTGTACCCGAATTTCTGTGGCTGAGATCCTTTTTAAGTGAGTCCCCCCCCCCCGGTTTTACGACCTTCGTTGCCACAGTGGTTCAGGGAATCCCTGGCGCGGTTCATTTGGCACCACAGTCGTTAAGCGAGTCTGCCTTCTCCCCCCCCCCTTGACTTTGCTTGTCGGAAGGTTGTGAAAGGAGATCACGTGACACACACCCCCGGACCCTGCAACCGTCCTAAGTTCATGCCAGTTTCCAAGCCTCTTCCTTTTGATCACGTGAATGCCCCAGCGGTCCTTAAGTGTGAAAAACCAGCCGGAAGTCCCTTTCTTTCTCAATGCCGCTGTAACTTGAAAAGGTCGCTAAACGAACGAGGGCTTGCAAGGCCAGCGTTTCGGCCCGTCCATCACACCAGGAGGCCGAAAGGCGCTTCTTTCTAGGGCAAAAGCGCACACAGAAAGCCACACCAATTTTTTTTTTTTTGTATAAATACTGGCTAAATAGATTTATTTGTTCATAGAAAGAAGACAGAATCCCTCCCCAGAGTGGCACCAAAACCAAAAGAAACAACGGGGTGATCTTGCAACAGTGCTGGTGTGCCAACTCTAGTTGTGCTTCTTAGGGGTGCCTCTCCTGGAAGAAAAATGGGGGTGCGGGTGGAGGGGAGACAGGCTGAACTGGGCTGGTGACGGACTCCCCCTCCCCCTGCCCAGGAATTGTTGTGTTGATCTGCTCGATGGGTGACCGTTTGGCTTGCAATCTGCTGCCTTTGTTACACTTCCTCCGGGCTTCCCTGGTGGTGCTCGCTCCTTATTTTTCTACTTGCGGAAATCGAGAGCAAGAGGAAACACACACACACACCAATTCAGCTTGCAATCTGCTTCCTTGTTACGGTTTCTCCTTTGCTTGAGGCGTTCCTGGTGGTGTTCGCTCCTTATTTTTCTACTCGTGGAAATCAAGAGCAAGAGGACATACATACACACACACACACACACACACCGATTCAGCTTGCAATCTGCTTCCTTGTTACAGTTTCTCCTTTGCTTGAGGCTTTCCTGGTGGTGCTCGCTCCTTATTTTTCTACTCGTGGAAATCAAGAGCAAGACACACACACACACACACACACTCCAGTCCCAGGATTGAAAGGCTTGGGAAGGTCAAAATTTAGGCCTTGCTGTTCTGCAAAAGCCACCAGAAGAGGGAATTTATTTGTAGCTCACTTGCAAGCGGGCTAAATTTCTTCTTAAAAGTCCACTTTTAAAAGCAGGTGAATGGGCCTTCCTAAGGAGCTAGCTTAAATGGTCCCCAGGGTACCGGTCTGGTACTACCAGGTGAGCAACCAGCTGCTTCCTCCCCATCCAGGCTTAGTCAGGAGAAAGAGAGAAGCCAGACCGGGATGCAAGGATAGCAAAAAAAAAAAAAAAAAAAAAAAAAAGCTAAAAAGCAGAGCCTGACAGCTTTGCAAGAACCGAGCTTTTCAGAATCTAAGCGCCCCCTTTTTTTCCTAAGCAACAGGTCTAACTTTCCTGCAAAATAGCCCAAAGTCTTGCTGCATTTCCTTGCCAGTTCTTCTGCAAACAGCCCTGTGTTTCCTGAATGGTGCCGGGCTTCTCTACCTGGGTTTTGAACCCTGTTCTGGGTTTCCCAGCACCTCAGTCTTGAGTATTTCACGAGAAAACGCACCCACTTGGAGATAAAAACTTCCTTTCCAAGTGGCGTTTTTCCCGTCTCTTGACACTTCCACGGGTTTTTAGTATTCTTACCTGTGGAATAATAATAATAATAATATATATATGCTTTCTGAGGTTTTCGCGGGTGTTTGTATGTAGGTCTTTGATTATTCGGGTTTTCTCCCACGTAAAATTGGAAGTGTCTTGGCGACGTTTCGACGAAGTCCCATTTGTCATCTTCAGGCTGGTGTTTTCGGCTTCGTGCTTCGTGCTCCTAGAAGCACGAAGCACGAAGCCGAAAACACCAGCCTGAAGATGACAAATGGGAATTTGTCGAAACGTCGCCAAGACACTTCCAATTTTACACGGGAGAAAACCTGACTAACCAAAAACCTTAGCTACAACTCTCAGCTGGCTTATAGTATGTTGGATGGACTCTGGTGACAACTGATCCTCCTTGGGTGCTTTGCACTTTTTGAGGAACTGGTGGCAGTTTTTAACTCCTGCCTTGGGAGCCTGCTACTGTCCTGAATTTTTGTTTTGCATAGTCCTCTCTAAGATACGTAAATGGGCCCATTTTAAACAATTACCTTCTCTGAGGCCCATTTCCTTGTTCAGTGCATTTCTCCGAGCAGATAAATGGAGGGCTAGTCCCTTCACGAGGCGACTTTAACCGAATACGACCCAAATTGGGTCAAATGGGCTTCTTGAAGTTATCTGGCCTTCCTGGGACACTTACCGACTTTTCTTAGAGCAGTTGTATCCAACCTTGGCAACTTGAAAACCTATGGACTTCAACTCCCAGAATTCCCTAGCCAGCTGTGCTGGCTAGGGAATTCTGGGTGTTGAAATCCACAGGTCTTAAAAACCGTCAAGGTTGGACCTTCCTGCCTTAGTGCACTGCAGAAAAGTTATCTTTTGCATGCAGAAAATTCTTAAAAAGAGACTAAATTAGGGACAGAGCGACAGAATATTTGAAGGAGCTCAGGGTTGAACTGTGGGGTCCCTGCTGCTCTCTGAGATTGGTGGTTTTCTTGCAGACGTTTCATTACCCAGCTAGGTAGCATCGTCAGTGCTAAAAGGGAGTGGGGTTTGGGGAAAGGAGGAGGTGGAGGAGAGGAGGACTGTGGGGTCCTTGGTGCTCTCTGAGCTTGGTTGTTTTCTAGCAGAGGTTTCATGACCCAACTAGGTAACATTATCAGTGCTAGAAGAGAAGAGGATCTGAGGAGAGGAGGAGGAGGAAGGAAGGAAAGAAGAGGAGGAGGAGGAGGAAGAAGGAAGAAGGAAGAAGGAAGAAGGAAGAAGGAAGAAGAAGAAGAAGAAGAAGAAGAAGAAGAAGAAGAAGAAGAAGAAGAAGAAGAAGAAGAAGAAGAAGAAGAAGAAGAAGAAGAAGAAGAAGAAGAAGAAGAAGAAGAAGAAGAAGAAGAAGAAGAAGAAGAAGAAGCAGCAGCAGCAGCGATTCGGCCAAAAGACAAGGGCCTTTTTGTGGAATTTTGGGGAGAGGATGATGGACTAAGGGGTGCCGCCACATCCTTTGCTCTCTGCGGCGGCTTCCTCTTTTCCAAGACGACCCTGACTTGGTCTTCCAAAGAACGGCTGCCCAGCTGCCCACCTGCCTGCCTCAGATCGTGCCCAAGGTGACTGTCAAGGAAGAAATAGGGAAAGGAGGCCACAAGGAGTAGCAAAAATGAAAATATTCCTTTCTGCAAGTGACGCTTCTCCCAATTGGTGTTTCCCCCCCCACACACACAGCCTTCGGGGATAGTTATTGGTGGGGGAAGGAGAGTTTTATTTTCCTCCCAACCCCACAATAAATAAATAAATATACCAAAGGCTGCCTGCTGGGCACCAGGATGATCTGCTAGGACGGGCGCGTGGGACTTTTGCCTTTGGCATCGAGGGCGGGAAGGAAGGCTGCCAAAACAGGACACCACGCCCTTGCGGGGAGTTTTATCTTGGCCTCTCTCTCTGGGCTCCAAGCCTGGGCCCTCCAGAGCTCATCTTGCAGGGTCCCTTTTTAGGATCCGGCGGATCCATCCTCCGGTTCCCTGGGGACTCCTTCAGATCCCTCCTGCCCCCCCCCCACCCAGTTCCTACTGTGCAAAAGCCACATTCTCTGGGAAAGGTAAGATTAGAGGCACTTGCTAACTGCCTTAGTTGCACCGAAGCCAAAAAAAAGGAAGAAGAATTCATAATAATAATAATAATAAACCCATCGTAAAGGCTCGTCTTCCCGATCCGCCAGGAAAGGAAAGAAACAAAAACAAAGGTGGATTAAAAGAGAGCCCGCCGATGAAACGGGTCGAAGGAGAGAAGGACCGGCAGAACGGCAGGCCATCCGACGCAGGAAGGATCTGCTTCACGATCTGCTTCACGTCGAGTGGAATCGTTTGGCAAGGGGTCCTGTTTTCGACGCCCGGAAGGGGACGCCGGCCGAGGGGGTCTCGTCCCTGCGGCCGCAGGCCCAGCAGCCCGGGAGGCTGGCAGGATTCGGCGGGCCTAACGGGGGTCTCCTTGGAAGGATGGAGAAGAGACCCGCCAATCTCTCCGGGACGACAGTTAAGAGCAGGAAAGTCGCGTGCCTTTCAGTTACGCTTGTTGGCCAACTGCCGGTCTCGCTTCTTCTTCTCCATCAACCTGTGTTGAAAGGAGAGAAGGTAGCTTGAGGCGGCTGGTCCCCCAGGAAGAGAGGAAGGGGCTGCCAGAGAGAACCACGAAGGGGAGCTGGACAGCTTGGAGGTCCATGGACTGGTCAATGAAAGAGAGCATCTATGGCTGAGGACGGAACGTGGGGAATCCGGGGTGCTCTCTGAGCTGGGGGGTTTTCTGGAAGACGTTTCATGACCCAACTAGGGAACATCATTAGTTGTGTCTCCTTCCTTCCTTCCTTCCTTCCTTCCTTCCTTCCTTCCTTCCTTCCTTCCTTCCTTCCTTCCTCCCTCCCTCCCTCCCTCCCTCCCTCCCTCCCTTCCGTCTCCTCCTCCTTGGTGCTCTCTGAGCTTGGTGGTTTTCTTGAAATGTTTCATGACCGAACTAGGTAACATTATCATTGACCTTCCTTCCTTCCTTCCTTCCTTCCTTCCTTCCTTCCTTCCTTCCTTCCTTCCTTCCTTCCTTTTTCTTTTCTTCCTCCTTCTTTCTTTCTTTCTTTCCTTTCTTTCTTTCTTTCTTTCTTTCTTTCTTCCTTTCTTTCTTTCTTTCTTTCTTTCCTCCCTCCCTCCCTCCCTCCCTCCCTCCTTCCCCTCCTCCTTGGTGCTCTCTGAGTTTGGTGGTTTTCTTGAAGACGTTTCATGACCCAACTAGGTAACATTATCATTGACCTTCCTTCCTTCCTTTCTTTTTCTTTTCTTCCTTCTTCCTTCCTTCCTTTCTTTATTTCTTTCTCCCTCCCTCCCTCCTTCTCCTCCTTGGTGCTCTCTGAGCTTGGTGGTTTTCTTGAAGACGTTTCATGACCCAATTAGGTAACATTATCATTGACCTTCCTTCCTTCCTTTCTTTTTCTTTTCTTCCTTCTTCCTTCCTTCCTTCCTTCCTTCCTTTCTTTCTTTCTTTCTTTCTTTCTTTCTTTCTTTCTCTCTCTCTCTCTCTCTCCCTCCCTCCCTCCCTCCCTCCCTCCTTCTCCTCCTTGGTGCTCTCTGAGCTTGGTGGTTTTCTTGAAGATGTTTCATGACCCAATGTTAGATAACATTATCATTGACCTTCCTTCCTTCCTTGCTTCCTTCCTTCCTTCCTTCCTTCCTTCCTTCCTTCCTTCCTTCCTTCCTTCCTTCCTTCCTTCCTTCCTTTTTCTTTTCTTCCTCCTTCTTTCTTTCTTTCTTTCTTTCTTTCTTTCTTTCTTTCTTTCTTTCTTTCTTTCTTTCCTTTCTTCCTCCCTCCCTCCCTCCCTCCTTCTCCTCCTTGGTGCTCTCTGAGTTTGGTGGTTTTCTTGAAGACGTTTCATGACCCAACTAGGTAACATTATCATTGACCTTCCTTCCTTCCTCCCTCCTTTCTTTCTTCCCTCCCTCCCTCCCTCCCTCCCTCCCTCCCTCCCAAGGACCCCACAATCCTCTTCCACTTCCCCACCCCCCCGCAAAGCCCATTCCCTTCTAGCACTGATGTTACCTAGCTGGGTCATGAGACATTTGCAAGGAAACCACCAAATCCCCCCACAGTGGATGAATCCCCAGTAGGATTCCTCTCCTCTCCTAACTGGGGAGACCTTCTCCCTACTCTCCAAAGCAGAGGCAAAGAGAAACCACCGCAACTACAACTGACCCGCTTGGGTAAATTTACGTCAAGGACAGCACTCACTTCCTATTGCGTGCTTCGGTCAGCTCCATGAGTTGCTCCTGAGCCAGCCTCAGCTCATCCAGCCGTTGCTGGTAACGCGAGTCGCAATTGTTGCTGTGCTCCAGGTTGGACACCTGGTTGGAGAGCTCGTTGGCCCGGTCGCGGAGTTGCTGGATGGAGGAATACAAGTTCTCATCGTCTTCTTCCTGCCAAAAGAGAGAAAGGAAGGACCTCAAGGTTGCTAGGTGTCTCCTCGCTTGCGTCTCGCCCACCAAGGCCTTGAAGAGAACCCCGTCAGATGTCCTACAAGCCTCCAGTAGATTTGCCACAAAGAAGAGGGGGGGGGGGTGTCAAGCTCTTCTACAAAGCACCAGAAGGCAGGACAAGAAGCAACGGATGGGAACTCATCAAGGAGAGAAGCAACCTGGAACTCAAGGAGAACAATTAATCGTTGGAAGCACCTGCCTCCAGAAGTTCTGAATGCTCCAAAACTGGATTTTTTAAAAAGAAGAGACTGGGCAGCCACTTGCCTGAAATAGTGTAGGTAGAGTTTCCTGCCTGAGCTGGGGGTTGGACTAGAAGACCTCTACCCTACCGTACCCTATTCCATATTTCTATTCTATTCTATTCTATTCTATTCTATTCTATTCTATTCTATTCTATTCCTATTCTATTCTATTCTACTTTCTATTCTGTTCTGTTCTATTATTTATTTTATTCCTTATTCTATTCTATTCTGTTCTATTCTACTTTCTATTCTATTCTGTCCTATTCTATTGTCTATTCCTTTCCATTCCATTCTATATTTTCTATTCTATTCTATTCTATTCTATTCCATATTTTCTATTCTGTTCTGTTCCGTTCCATTCCATTCTATTTCTATTCTATTCTGTTCTATTCTATTATTATTTTATTCCTTATTCTATTCTATTCTGTTCTATTGTCTTTCTGTTCTATTCTATGCTATTCTATTGTCTATTCCATTCCATTCCATATTTTCTATTCTATTCTATTCTGTTCCATTCCGTTCTGTTCCATTCCATTCCATTACTGCTACTGCTGTATTATTATTATTATTATTATTATTATTATTATTATTATTATTATTATTATTATTATTATTATTATGGATCATCGCACAGTCAGCCAGATGTTCAGACTGGATTTGGCATTTTGTCTACCTATCGAGTCCTTACCCAGGACCTGGGATAGGCAGATGTGGATGTTTGATGGTATTACAGGTATTACAGGTATATTATTATTATTATTATTATTATTATTATTATTATTATTATTATTATTATTATAATACGTGGTCTCCTTTTTCAGGACTTGCCAATCCAACCCTGCCTGGCCCCCAGCTCAGATGCTGGAACCCCCTGATGCCCTTTCCGGAAGGACCCGCAAACTTACCTTGGCATTAATGATCTCAATGTGGAGCAGCAGAGAAGCCAGTTCGAGATCCTCACTGTAGCTGTTCTTCAGTGGCACCGACCGGTATCCTGCGAACGAAGGTGGAGGGAAGAGTCTTAAATGCATCTCGTTCAAAAACTGGGCAGCAAACGATTTACAGGTGGTCCTTGAGTTACAATCACAACTGGTCTACCTGTAGTTCAAGCACCGCCAAAAACGTCTGTTGCTAAGTAAGGCAGTTGTTAAAGTGAGCTTTGCCCCATTATACGACTTCTCTTGCTACAATTGTTAAGCGAATCGCTGCAGTTGTCAACGAACGAGAGTCCAGCTAGACATAGCAACACTAAACTTAGTGTGAGAATCAAGGTTATTGTAACCAGAGCTGATAAGGAATTGCGGGGCTGGAGAACTGGAGAGGAAGCCCATACTTCAAGCTAATTGAGGAATGTGATGCATGACTGTTAATTGGAAGAGGGAATTGTGCTTTGATACTATGTGCTCAGGGGAGGGGAAATCAGTTTTTGGCTTCGATTATGCACTGCCGATGTTATGCTACTCAAAATAAAGATTCTTTAAGGTAAACAATGCCTTGAAGTTCTTTTAAAGAGTTTCATCTGTTGGAACCATGACAGTAAGTTGAGGACTTACAGGTACAGGTAATCCTCGACTTATGACAATTGAGACCCAAATTTCCACTGCTAAGCAAGGCAGTTGTTCAGCGAGTCTTTATCCCATTTTATGACCCTTTTTGTCAAAGTTATTAAGTGAATGTCTAGTTTAATGAAGAGAAGGACCAGGAGGGATATGATCGCAGTGTTCCAGTATCTCAGGGGCTGCCCCAAAGAAGAGGGAGTCAAGCTATTCTCCAAAATGCTGGAAGGCAGGACAAGAAGCAATGGAGGGAAACTAACCAAGGAGAGAAGCAACCTGGAACTAAGGAGAAACTTCCTGACAGTGAGGACAATTAACCAGTGGAACAACCTGCCTCCAGAAGCGGTGAATGCTCCAACACTGGAAGTTTTTAAGAAGAGGATGGACAGCCATTTGTCTGAAATGGCATAGGGTTTCCTACCTGAACAAGGGGTTGGACTAGAAGACCTCCAAGGTCCCTTCCAACTGTTATTCTGTTTTCCTTCCTTCCTTCCTTCCTTCCTTCCTTCCTTCCTTCCTTCCTTCCTTCCTTCCTTCCTTCCTTCCCCCCTCCCTTCTCCACCACTGGAAGTTTTTAAGAAGAGACTGGACAGCCATTTATCTGAAATGGTAATAGGGTTTCCTGCCTGAGCAGGGGGTTGGACTAGAAGACCTCCAAGGTCCCTTCCAACTTTATTATTATTATTATTATCGATCATCGCACAGTCAGCCAGATGTTCAGACTGGATTTGGCATTTTGTCTACCTATCGAGTCCTTACCCAGGACCTGGGATAGGCAGATGTGGATGTTTGATGGTATTACAGATATCGTCGCAGGATGGAAGCAGTTCCTAATAAGGCCGCCTTTTGCAATTGACTAATAGCGAATTTGTCAATGCCAATTGTGTTCAAATGGTGCTCCAGTTGTTTTGGGATTGCACCCAAGGAGCCTATGACTATTATTATTATTATTATTATTATTAAATTGCTGCAGTTGTTAAGTGACTCGTGCAGTCACTAAGTGAATCTGGCTTCCCCTACTGACTGCTTGTCGGAAGCCGGCTGGGACGGTCACAGGTGGGACCCACTGTTGACTTACCAAGGCCCCTGCAAGCAAATTTTGCAGGGGCCACAATTGGAGGGAATTGAGGGGAGGGGACTGGGGGAGGGAGCCGAGCCGATACCTGTTTTGAGGCTTTTGACGGGGAAGGTCGCCTGGGCCAAGAAGTTGGGGTCGCTGAACATGTCTTCCTCGTACACCACACAGCGCAGAAACGCAAAGTCTGGGTTGTTGATGTCGAAGACAAACTGCTTGACCAGCCAGACGGGGTTGAGGCCGTTGTCGGCTGAGCGGGAAGGAAGCACAGCACACGTCCACGTTAAGTTGCTTGGTGGGTGGGAGACCCCGCTTGGTCAGGGTGGGGTGGGGGGGATGACCGATTTACACATTGTGTAAAAGTGGGGCAGGACGGGACCCGGTTGTCGCATACACATGAGGGCCCATTCGACAACTTCAACTCTTGCCCTTTCTGACGTGGCACATTTAAAAAAAAAAAAATACTTAACTCATTTTACAGCCCACCTTTATTGTTTTTACAAATAACTCGGCGAGTATATCCAATGCACTTTCCTCCTCCTGTTTTCCCCACGACAACAACCCTGTGAGGTAGGTTGGGCTGAGAGGGAATGATTAGCCCAAAGTCAACTAGCCGACTTTCTTGTCTAAGGCGGGGCTAGAACTCCCAGTCTCCTGGTGATTGGCCTAAGGCAGGGGTAGGTAGCTGACTCAGGAATTCTAGGAGTTGAAGTCCATGAGTCATAAAAGAGCCAAGGCTGCCTACCCCTGGCCTAAGGTCATCTATCTGGCTTTTTTCTTTTTTTAAAAAAAAAGATATTTTATTGTTTTTTTAATTTTTAAGAAAAAGTACTCAGGACACACCGTGGTGTTTGGGTAATCAGACATTCAAAGGTAAAAACATAAACAACTCAACTTAATACATTTACTGTCCCCTCTCGATTTCCCTCAAATAACATAATACGTTTAAAATATTCCATTTCTAAATTAAATTTCTATTACTACTAAACCTGTTTTAAAGCTTTATCAGTTTACAATTACCATAATCAAATTTAACTTAAATCAACGTTATCAATTCAGGTATCCCTTCCAGATGTATTCTAGTTCTTAATCTCTCTCATCCTTTCTTTTATCACCAATCTCATTTATTTCTTCTTCCACTACACAATAACTATCTTAGTTAAAAAATAATGTTAAACCTTAATTCATTTCAATTCATTACACAAACTTCAAATTTCATCCAACTGATTATCACACCTTATCACATCTATGTTATTGTACAAAAAGATCATCTAACTAATTTAAAACACTCCATTAATTATTAAAACCATCCCAATCTAAAAAAAATCAACACTTTTTCAATTCCAATACATAATTTTCATTAAAATAAATCTATTATTCCAAAAAGAACATTCTTAATCTATTTAAAATATATGTTCTAAAAATCACCCTTGTATATATATATATTTATATTTTTTCTTGCTTCTAACTCTATATCATAATCCTTAAAACAATCCATAAATCCAACATTGCCTTTTAATCCATTACACAATTTTAAATTTCTCTTTTCAGTCTAATTCTGGCTTTTTTTCTGTGCCAGGCAGGTTTCCATAAAGACGCTTCCCTTTCGGCCAGTAGATCTATTTTTGTTGCTTGCAGTAGCCTTTGAAAGGATAGAAATCCCATCCTCTGCATTAGACATCTCTTTCTCTCCTCCTTGAAGCATCGTTGCTTTGTAGTTTGAATTCTCAATCTTTGCTTCTTCTGTTCCTTAAGTTGCAGATGGAAGGTTTGTAAGATAGAATAAGTTTCTCTTTTATCTCTGTTGATTCCTCTTCTAGTATGTTTTGATTTGTACCATAGTCAGATGTAGCCTGGACATCCATTTGAGCGTTTGAAGTGAAATTTCTGGATCTTAGCTCTGTAATAAACTTTTTCATCATAGCACATATTTCTGCAGTAGCCTCCTAGATCTTTTCCAATATAAATGTACAGTTTAATTGTGACTAAGGTTTCTCCATTTTAATAGTGATTAAAAAGAGTCTCTTTTTTTCTTTTTTGTGGAGGCTATATTTGATATAATTTAGGCAATATCCACCCCCACAGTTCCCACAGCTGCACAACTTATCTTTTCTCTTCAAAAAATCAGGTCCCAAGTAACCAGAAATTGCAGTATTAAATTTTCGCCACTAGATGTCCTCAGTAAATTATCAAAGGTCTTTTCCAAACACCATTTCCTTTTTTCTATCTTTTAAAGTATAATGTGAAAAAAGAAATAATCTTCCAGCATAGGATGATAGTACAGTTCTTAGAAAGAGAGGAAAAGAAAAAAAAAATTTTCTGTACCCCAAAAACTATAAGAGTAAAATATAGTCTTTAAAATTTTGTCCTATTTTTATAGAACGCCTTTCTTCCCAAAGAATGTAGAAGCTGCCTTTTCAAGCCAGGGAAATAATTCCAACAAGATTCTTACAGGTACCAAAAACAAAATAAAATAGAGAGAATAGAAAAAAAAAATCTCACCCAGATTCACCACGGGGGTTCTTACAGATTAGATGTTCTTTGACTTGCAGTTTGAAGCAGCAGCGTGATCGGCCATTTTACTGGCCGATCTTTTTCTCCGTCGGCCCTCAGAGATAGCTCAGACAGCTGAAGGAGCCGCCGCTCCTCAGCAGCCGAGCTGAGCCTCCTCGACAGAAGTCGCACCCTCCAGGGTGACTTTTGACCCACATAAGGGCCTACCGGCGGAGGGAAGGCTAGCCGACAAGGAGATGAGTCTCCCCGTGCGATTAGAGACGCCGCAAACCAGAACCGGAAGTCATCTATCTGGCTTTTATGCCTAAGGCAGAACTAGAACTCACCATCTCCCGGTGATTGGGCCAAAGTCACCCAGCAGGTTTTCATGCAATAATGCAGGACTAGAACTCACCGTCTCCTGGTGGTTGGCCTAAAGTCATTTAGTTGTCTTTCATGCAATAATGCAGGACTAGAACTCCCAGTCTCCTGGTGATTGGCCTAAGGTCACCTATCTGGCTTTTATGCCTAAGGCAGAACTAGAACTCACCATTTCCCAGTGATTGGCCCAAAGTCACCTAGCTGGCTTTCATGCCTAAGGCGGGACTAGAACTTTTTGACCACTAGACTAAACGGGCTGTCATCATCATCATCACCACCCAGTTGGCAGGTTTGGTCCCACCCAACCCGGAGGACTCTCCGAGCTGCAGAAATGGCTCCAGCTGGGACCTCTTCCACCCTCTTGCCTCCAACCCAACGGCATGATGGGAAGACTACTGGGAGAAAGGAGGGAGACACCTGCTCTCCTATTTTGGAGACTCCTTAACTGGGAGTCTGTCTAAAGCAGCCTGGGGGACCTGCAGAGATTCTGAATTTGCTCAGTTGATCGAGGGGTATCTAGGTGGTCCCTGATGCCCCTGGCCAGGTGTGGCTCCATGAAAGAGAAGTCTCAGGACCAAAGCAAACCTCCCTCTCCAACATCGGTGAACACACGTCTCCCGCTGGATGAAGCTTTGGCTGCCATTCAGACAAACCCGGAAGACACGAGGCCGTCCCTCGATTTCCTACCTACGACATCCGTCTTGTTTTTGCCGTTGTCAAACTCCGAGCCACACACCTCCACTTCCACAAAGGGGCAAACGATGCTGCGGCCGTTTTTGGGCAGGTGCCGGGCCCCTAAGATCTGGAGGGAGGAGGAAGAACGGGGTGAGTTAGGCAGGCAAGGCGGGACCCGCAAAAACAAGCGGTAGCCAAGCCAGAGGGCAGGGCAGCGTCCCGTGAGGTCCCAGCTGACTGACCTGCAACTGGACGGTGATGGGCTCCACGTGCTTCAGGCTGCTCTTGTTGAAAGGCTCAAAGAGATCGTCCCGCATCATGTCCGGCTGCAAGACGTAGCCACTGCGCCCACCCAGCATGAAGAGCGCCTGGTTCAGCTGCATCGGTTTGTCTGGAAGGAGAGAAAAATTAGGATTAAGAGGACAGAACAGCTGAAGGGGACCCTGTGAGGTCAGAGCAGGGGACAAAGGGCCTTTGGAGAACGTAATGGTATGTGTGAAAGGCCCGGGGAGGTGGAGGGAAGAGAGGCTGCCTAGGGCAGGGATACCCAACTTATGGGCCTGTTGTGATTCCTCACCAGCCAGTGGACCCGGCAGCTGAGTCAGAGGAATCAGAAGAGGAGGAGGACGAGGGGCCTGGAGTAACATTAGACTCAGAGGAAGGCTCTGAGGAGCTCCAAGACTTTGATGAGGAGCCCGGCCCCTCTACTCGCGCTCAGGCTGAGACACGGCTGTGCTGGGAGTCTGAGTTGGACAGTGATGAAGAACAGCTGGGACAAATCCCAGATGCACGAATGCGCAGGCAAGAGAAGCGAGTAGGACAGAGGAATGCAATGGGGCGGCTCCAAAGGCAAAGGAGACGGCATTAGGAAGCCACGCCTTGGCTGCATAATAAATGGGAAGGTCTGGGAGGTGCTGGTGGCCGAAGGCAGCCGTTTGTGTTGAGGAATTGAGTTTCTGTGAACTGTGTTTTGTTTGCCTTGGACATGGACTCAGGTCTGTGAATAATAAAAGGGGACTGGTTTTTTCCTGCAGTTCCAGCCTGCTTGTTGGAAGAGGGGTTTTTCCTTGGGAGCAGAACAAGGACTCACATAGGCTGGGACAGAACAGGGCCGTGGCCCACTACGGGGCCATAGCCTCTTGGCCAGCGGGCTGTGGCAATGGCTGGCCGGTGCACACACGTGGACGCGAGTACTCCCACTCACACTAGCAGTCCCGTTTGCACATGCGCTCATGCACGTATGGGGCTGCTAGTGCCGGGCAGCTGTGCGTGGCCTATTTGTGCATGCACGAATGGGGCCGCTAGTGCCGTGCCTGTGCACGCAGCTCCGTTTATGTGTGCGCATGTACGCACCAATTTGGAAATTGCTCTCCTTCCCTCTGGGCCATGAGCCCAGAAATGTTGGAGACCTCTGGCCTAGGGAACAGTTAGCTAAGAGACGGCATAGCCTGCAGCTGCATAACGGGCGGAGGAAGAAAGTCAGAAAGGTCCCCCCCCTAATTTATCAGTCTGTTAAAAGAGGTGTTGAAGTCCACAAGTCTTAAAGAGGCCGGCTTTGGAGATCCCCTGATCTACAGCGTTAAAATGTTAAAATATTACGATTAATTTACCAGGCGTCTGGAAGTTGAGGGCCACTAACTGGCTGCCACAGATCCACATCGGCAACGGGTCGTAGTTGGAGGAGTCGAGGCGCTGCCCCTTGGGGTAGACGCGGCTCAGTTGTCGCCGGTTGTATTGGAGGAATTTTTTCCCCTTGCTGCGATTGGCGTATTTCTCCGCCTTCGTCTCCGGGAAGGAAGACATGTCTCGGTAACAGGCTTTCTCCGTGCCGATCTCTGGAAAGGAAAACGGGTCAAGGAATCTGCTGCGGTTCAGCGCCACACCTGCAGAGTGGGGAGGGGGAATACGGGAAGTCCTCCACTTACGAGCACGAGATTTCAGTTGCTAAGCGAGACAGCTGCTAAGTGAGTTTTGCCCCATTTTATGACCTTTCTTCAAGTAATTTGTTACGGGAACCGCTGCAGTTGTCAAGCTAGTAACACAACCGTGAAGTGGTCCAGTCTCTTTTTAAAAACTATGTCACTGACTTGACAACTGTGGTGCTTCCCTTAACGACTGCGACAAGAAAGGTCATAAAATGGGGAAAGGCCAGCCTGTAGTGAAAAAGAAGTCGGGATGACGGGACACGGCAACTTACTCTCCTCGTCAAAAGGCACCGGGCGGCAATAAACGACCAATTCTGATAGCTCCAGGGCGATCTTCTTCCTCCGTTCCATGATCTTCCCTTCCTGCATCTGCACATGATACAGACAGACCCCGATCAGGAGACGTCTGGAGACCATCTGTTCCACCCTTCCGTACACAGGGGCACATAACAGAGCAAAGGGTTGGGATTGATTTGCCATTGGCCTATAGCTGTCCTTTTGGAATTTGCTATGCCAGTGGACCTCATTGCGTTATTAATGTAAGTGATGTCGTGTTATTATGCTTGCTATGTTCCAAATTATTAGCCGAATAAACCTCTTAAAGTAAGAATTATTGTTTTGTGTTGCTGTCTCTTGTCTTTTTCATTGGGTTTTCCCACAACAGCTATTAGTAGTTAGTCAGAGTGAATTCTTCTCCCAGAGGAGAAACCAAGAAGGACTTGTCGTGTACCATCTGCCAGGTGCCAATGTACCACAGATGGTACCCGTACCACTGGTTGAAAAGTCCTGTCCTATCGTATCCTATCGTATCCTATTCTATTCTACTCTACTCTGTTCTATTCCATTCATTATTGTATTGTATTGTATTGTATTATATTGCGTTGTTTTGTATTGTATTGTACTGTTTGTACTGTACTGTACTCTACTTTGCTCCATTCCGTTCCGTTCCAATCTAGTCCACTCCACTCCACTCCACAGCCCTTGGATGCATCCCAAGTGCCCTCCTGTCACCTCTGACCCCAGGACCAACTTTCCCAAAGTTGCAAGGCTGCACAAGTGCAACCGGCGCCTGGTGGAGCCCACCCAAAACCTGAGCAACCCGGATCTCCAGCCAGAACCTCCCGTCGGGAGGAGACTCACCCTGGCGTCTGCGTTCTGCGTGACCTCCCGGATCTTGGCCACCCAGTCGTTCAGCTCCTCCAGAGAATCGGTGGCAACGTCCAGCGACTGGGATGGGTGGGTCATCTGCTGAGAATGGATGGTGAAGACAAAGGGTTTGGGGCTCCTGGCGTCTTTGGAGATAACTACAAGGACATCAGAGGGGCGGCTTTACTGAAAGAGGCCCCCCCAACGCAGGACGGGGGTCGGGAGCATGCGGGGCGTGGAGGGAGGGTTGCGGCTCTCCCAAAAAAGGGGCATGACGACTTGAAAAGGACGACGATGGACTGGTTTGCCACACAAAAAATCACTGGTAGTCTTCAACAACAGCAAAGGTCCTCTGTCATCTGTCAGACTTACAACCAGTGGTGGGATTCAGCTGGTTCTCACCGGTTCAGGAGAACCGGTAGCTACATTTACCTGATTTTGGAGAACCGTCTGGCTTCCGGAAGTCTAGTCTAGGCCTTGGAGGCCTGGAAGAGGCCTCTCAGGCCTAGAGCAGCCCACGGGAAGTGCATAGATGCCACTTCTGTAAGTCTAGTCTAGACCTTGGAGGCCAGGAAGAGGCCTCCCAGGCCTAGAATGGCCCACCGGAAGTGTGTGGCTGCCACTTCCGGAAGTCCATTCTAGGCCTTGGGGACCTGGAGGAGGCATCCCAGGCCTAGAACGGCCCACCGGAAGTGCGTGGCTGCCACTTCCGGAAGTCCATTCTAGGCCTTGGAGACCTGGAGGAGGCCTCCCAGGCCTAGAACGGCCCAACGGAAGTGCGTGGATGCCACTTCCGGAAGTCCATTCTAGGCCTTGGAGACCTGGAGGAGGCCTCCCAGGCCTAGAACGGCCCACCGGAAGTGCGTGGATGCCATTTCCGGAAGTCGTTGTGGGCATCAGAGGCCCAGGCCCGCATCGAATAAGACAACTGGTTGTTCAGGTATTTGAATCCCATCACTGCTTGCAACCATTCGTTTAGTGACCTGTTCAAAGTTACAACGGCACTGAAAAAAAGGACTTATCCGTTTTTCGCACTTACGACCGTTGCAGCATCCCCTGCGGTCACATGATCAAAATTCAGACGCTTGGCACCTGGCACGTACTTATGACGGTTGCAGTGTCTTAAGAGTCCATGGGATTCCCTTTTGCGGCCTTCCGACGATGGAGAAGACAGATTACAATTGAAGCCATGTTTTCCCTTGCTAAGCAAGACAGTTCAGGGAGTTTTGACCCATTTCATGACCTATCTTGTCGCAGTCATTAAGCAAATCGTTACAGTTGTTAGTAACACAGTTTTTAAAAAGAGACTGGACAGCCACGGGTCTGAAATGGTATAACATTTCCTACTTGAGCAGGAGGTTGGACTAGAAGACCTCCAAGTGTCCCTTCCAACTCTGTTATTCTGTTGTGTGAGGTTGTTAAGGGACTCTGGCTTCCCCGTTGACTTTGTATGACCTTGGGACGCTGCAACCGTCGTAAATACGAGTCAGTTGCCAAGCATCCGAATTTTGATCCCGTGAATGCTGCAACGGTCGTAAGTGTGAAAAATGGTCACAAGTCCCCCTTTTTTTTGATACTGTAGTAACTCCAAGAGGTCACTAAACAAATGGTTGTGAGTTGCAAACTATCTAAAAATAAAATAATATAATACGTAAAATAAAATGAAAAGATAAAACAAATAAAATAAAAGGATAAAACAAATAAAATAAAGCATAAAAAGTAAATAAAATAAAAAATAACAAAATAATAAAATAAAGATAATAAAATAATAAAATAAATAATAAAATAAAAATAATACATAAAAGAAAATAACAAAATAACATAAAATAAATAAAATAAAATAAAAAGATTAAAATAAAATAATAATAAAATAAAAAATAAACAGTATAAAATGAAATAAAAAACTAAAATACTAAAATAAATAAAATAATAAAATAAAAAATAATACATGAAATAAAAAATAACAAAATAATAAAATAAACAAGATAATAAAATAAATAAGATAATAAAATAAAAAATAATACATAAAATAAAATAACAAAATAACATAAAATAAATAAAATAAAAAATATTAAAATAAAATAAACAGTATAAAATGAAATAAAATACTAAAATAAAATAAATAAAATTAAAAAGATTAAAATAAAATACTAAAATAAATAAAATAATAAAATAAAAAATAATACATGAAATAAAAAATAACAAAATAATAAAATAAACAAGATAATAAAATAAATAAGATAATAAAATAAAAAATAATACATAAAATAAAATAACAAAATAACAAAATAAATAAGATAATAAATAAAATAAAAAACTAAACTAAAATAAATAAAATAAAAAAGATTAAAACAAAATATTAAAATAAATAATAAAATAAAATAAATAGTATCAAATAAAATGCTAAAATAAAATGAATAACATCTAAATAAAATAAAATAAAACTAAATAAAATCAAATATAAAATAAAATTAAAAAATACTAAATAAAATCAAATATAAAATAAAATAAATAAAATAAAACTAAGTAAAGTAAAATAAATAAAATACTAAAATAAAATAAAACACTAAAACAAAACGCTAAAGTAAAATAAAATACTAAATAAAATAAAATAAAATACTAAAATAAATAAAATAAAATACTAAATAAAATATAAAATATAAAATAAAATAATAGAGCAGGGTCCATAAAAATGGCGCCAGACCCCCAGGCCCCACGAACGAGGCCCGAGCGCCCGAATGCCCTCCGTCGAGGCGCTCCCTTACTCACCGCCAGCCACGGAAGCTCGGCGCAAGACACTCACCCACGTGGCAAGAGGGGACGTCAATGAATCCTTTCAGGAAGTTCCCCAAAGGGCTGTTCTCCACGGACTGGGGGGGGGGGAGGCGGGGAGGGGGTAGAAAAGAGAAACAGGGAGGGCAGAAAGGTTAAAAGGCAAAAAAACGCTTCTATATATTCTTTAATAATGTCACTTTTGTTCATGGATTGCTCTGACGGTTTTTAAACCAGTGTGTTTTAAACCTGGGCAACCTTAAGCTGCGTGGACTTCAATTCCCAGAATTCTCCAGCCAGCACAGCTGGTTGGGGAATTCTGGGAGTTGAAGTCCCACTGTGGAATCAAATTCGGGATGCAAAAACCAACAATCAAGCAAGGTTCGTTGCAGTCATTAATTTATTCAGCCTTCACTGGAGGAATTCTCTCCGGAAAATTCTGAGACTTGTAGAAATAAACAGAGGCGCTCAAATTTATTCATTTCCAGAAAAGAGGAGAAAATAATCGTTATCTATACATAAGTTAATAGATGATGGAAGCAACATCAACCCTGCTTATCTTCAAGAAAGAGTTATTGGCTTAATCCAATAGACCTTGAACTTACAACATTTTGTTTAGTGACCCTTCAAAGTTAAAATAGCATTGAAAAAAAAAGGATGTTTTTCAGACTTACGACCGTCCCACCATCCCCAGGGTCACAGAATCAAAATTCAGGTGCTTGGCAACTGACTCGTCCTTATGACGGTGGCAGCGTCCCAGGATCACGTGATCCCCTTTGGCGACCTTCCGTCAAACAAGGGGAAGCCAGATTCGCTTTACAACTGCAGTGATTCACTTAACAACTATAGCAAGAAAGGTCGCAATATAGGGCAAAAGTCACTTAACTGTCTCGTTTAGTGACAGAAATTTGGGGCTTAATTATATTGCCTGTCTCTGAACTCCCTTCTCAAACAAAAATGGATGTGCACCCTCCGTCTTCGGTTCTCCCAGATGGGGTGGGTGGAGTTCCACCCTCCTAGTGGGAAAGGGGGATGGGAAGCTGGCCAGGATCAAGCCAACATGGCTTGTCTTCCCTACATTCCCCATAACTTCGAAAAAGTTGGGGAAAAACTCACCGCTTCGTCCTGCTCCGGCACGGAGGCACTCAGGATCTCCTCCACGTAGTTAGCTGGGAACCAGAGCTGTTTCTTCCCGCCGTAATCGCCTCGCCACCTGACAGGGAGAAGACACGGCGTTGGGGTTTGCGACAACGCAATACACAACGGCACAAAGCAAAACAGGAAAAGCAGCGAGGCGTCCCTTCCCGTCGCAGCCTCAGGGCTGCACCTGTAAAGGTATTCCTCCACCTTTGGGATTTTGACCCCGGAGCAAGGTGATGCTTAAGGCAGTCGTGCCTGATTTTACGACCAGTTTTCCCCGTGGCCGTGAAATGAATCACGGTGGTTGTGAAGTGAATTGTGAGGCTATTAAGCAAATCCAACTTCACCCATTTTAGAAGGTCACAACTGGCGACTGCATGAACCCAGGATGCTGCAATGGTTGTTGCCAAGCGCCCGGATTTTCATCACGGGAGGGTGAGGATGCAGCGACAATTTTAACTACGAATGCTGGTTATTAGTCTTTTTTTTTTTCAGTACTATTGCAACATAGAATAGTCGCTACCTGAACGCTTATAAGCCAAGCACTACCTGTAATGTAGATGTCCCCAACCGATGGGCCACAGCCCACTACTGCTACACGCAATGCACATGCTTGTGCGCATGCTCAACCCCCCCCCCTTGTGCTACTGTTGCCGTAAGTGTGTGCGCAGCAGCCATGTCACTAGTAATGCATGGACACTGGAAGCGCCACAAGTGGCAGGTGGACCGTGGTGTGATCCTCCCGTGGGGGTGGCAGCATGATCCTTGCGCTGGGGGCGGCATTGCTGCAGGCCACAGTACAATCCTCACCCTGGTAGTAGCATCGCCGTGAGCCTGGAGGCGCGGTACCACAAACCTCACACAGGCGCCAGTGTCACTGACAGCCTCACGTGCACGCTTGCAGCCCTAGCCGCGTGGTGCGCATGCTTGCAGCCTGTTTGTACGTGTGCACGCATATGTGGCTAGCATCGCCGTGAGCCTGGAGGCGGTGGCACCACAAGCCTCACATGGGCGCCAATGTTGCTGAGAGCCTCATGCGCATGCTCGCAGCCCCATTTGCATGGTTCGCATGCTCGCAGCCTGTTTGTGCGTGCGTATGCACATGTGGCTAGCATCGCTGCAAGCCTGGAGGCGGTGGCACCACAAGCCTCACACAGATGTCACTGTCACTGAGAGCCTCAGGTGCATGCTCGCAGCCCCATTTGCGTGGTGCGCATGCTCGCAACCTGTTTGTACGTGCGCACGCATATGTGGCTAGCATCGCCGCGAGCCTGGAGGCGGTGGCATCACAAGCCTCACACAGGCGCCAATGTCGCTGAGAGCCTCACGTGCATGCTCGCAGCCCTGTCTGCGTGGTGTGCATGCTCCCAGCCTGTTTGTACGTACATGTGGCCACATTCACATTTGCGCGTGCGCGCGTAAGGCACCTTCCCCTCCCTCTCCCACCGGGCCGCCAAAACAAAAAGATGAGAGATCCTGCTGTAATGGGCCTTCCATTAAGGCAGAAGTGGGGGAACCACGGCCCCTTTAAGACTCGTGGACATCAACTCCTAGCATGGCTGACTCAGGAATTCTGAGAGTTGAAGTCCACAAGTCCTAAAGGGGCCGTACCATCTCTAAATTAAGGGAGGCCACCCTTGTCATCTCTTCCGAAACCCTGGAGGTCTTTAAGAAGAGACTGGACAGCCCTTGGTCTGAAATGGGACAGATAGGGTTTCCTGCCTGAGCAGGGGGTTGGACTAGATGACCTCCGAGGTATCCCTCCAACTCTGTTCTTCTGTTACATTTGGGGGCCGTTTCTCCCTTAGCTGAGATTCCTGGCTAGTTCGGACCAGTCTAGCCATGGAAACTTGAAGTTTCTTTCTCCCAATTCATCTGGGACTAACCATCCGCCGTCCTGCTTGTCCACGTTGTGGATGATGGCTTGTTTGCAGAAGGACAGTTCGTCTTCTCGCTGGGCTTTGTAGTCGTACAAGGCCTTTACGGTACACTGCAAAGGGAAAAAAAGTCGGTCCCGGTAGTCCTCCATTGATGACCACCGTTGACCCCAGAATAATTTATGTTGCTAAGTTAAACATTTGTTTAGGGAATTTGGCCCCGTTTTACGACTTTTCTTACTGCGGCCCTGAACCGAATCCCTGTGGTTAGTCACATGGTTGTTAAAGGGATCTGGCTTCCCCATGGATCCTGCTGGTCGGGAGGTCGCCAGTGGGGATCACGTGGGACATTGTGACCGTCATAAACGTGAGTCACTTGTCAAGGTTCTGAGTGCGAATTGCACGCTGCAATGGTCACACGTTTGAAAAATGGTCCTCACTCGCTGAAAAAAGGGACTCAGGACCAATTTTCACACTTACGACCGTTGCAGCCTCCCTGCGGCCGTGTGACCAAAATTCAGTGGCTGTCTTGGTTTTTTTTCTCCCCTTGAAAAGCTTTCGCTTCTCATCCAAGAAGCTTCTTCAGTTCTTCATGAACGGAAAAAGCTTTTTGAGGTGAGAAGTGAAACATTTTCAAGGAAAAAAGCAAAGAAAGTCCAATTTGCCTTTAGGGGAGAAAGTGGCTGTATCTAGTCTTAAGATTGCAATAGGCAAAGTGTAGAAATAAGCCCCCCATCTTGCCCACTTACTCTCGCCACAGGCATCTTGTTGGCCTCCACGTAAAAGTGAGGACTCCTCACCTCGTACAGCGCCCCATAATCCAGTTCCTGTCAGGAAAGAAAGAGATTCGTGACTAGAACATGTGGCCCCATTTTTTTTAAAAGAATGATTTTCCCATCCCAGAGACTTTTAAGATTTGTGGACTTCAACTCCCAGAATTCCCCAGCCAGCACAGCTGGCTGGGGAATTCTGGGACATGAAGTCCACCCATCCTGAGGGTGGCTGAGATTGAGTCACACTGCTCCACCCCATTGCTAAGGACCCCAACATGGAAGAAGCACTCCAACACACAGGGAGATAAAAATCCATGTAGGACCTTTTTTAGTACTAAAGAGTTTTGATTAATGCAGGGGTCTTCAAACTTGGCCCTTTTATGACTTGTGGACTTCAACTCCCAGAATTCCTCAGCTGGGCACGCTGGCTGAGGAATTCTGGGAGTTGAAGTCCACCCCTCTTAAAGTCTATATCAGGGGTCTTCAAACTTGGCCCTTTTATGACTTGTGGACTTCAACTCCCAGAATTCCTCAGCTGGGCACGCTGGCTGAGGAATTCTGGGAGTTGAAGTCCACCCCTCTTAAAGTCTATATCAGGGGTCTTCAAACTTGGCCCTTTTATGACTTGTGGACTTCAACTCCCAGAATTCCTCAGCCAGCGTGCCTGGCTGAGGAATTCTGGGAGTTGAAATCCACAAGTCATAAAAGGGCCAAGTTTGAAGATCCCTGAGTTAGTGACTAAAAGCTTAAAGCAGGAGTCTTCAAACTTGGCAACTTTAAGACTTGTGGACTTCAACTCCCAGAATTCCTTAGCCAGCGTGGCTGACTGAGGAATTCTGGGAGTTGAAGTCCACGAGTCATAAAAGGGCCAAGTGTGAGGACCCCTGGACTAGCGCATCAAGTAAAAAATTAGGCCAGACTGAAAATAAATTCTCACTCCTTCTGCAAACTACTCTCTGCTGTGTGTTCTTGTTGTTACTACTCTACTGCTCTTTCTGTTAACGCCTCCATTAGGCCGAGCCAGTTAGGAAATAATTTCTAAATGAGAAAGAGGCAGCTCTATATGATGGGAGTTGGTCTAGGTAGCTCCTTCCAACGTTAGGGTTTTAGGGTTTCATCCTGTCCGTGCAGACCTAATCAGAAAGAACAACAGTCCAGGCAGGTAGTCCAATCTCTTGCTAAGTCACTGCTCAGCCTTCTTCTTTATTCCAGCAGAAATAAATCTAATGCTGGATTTGGGGGGAAATCAGGGGGGATTGGGCCTTCCTTTCCTTCCTTCCTTTCTTTTCTTCCATCTTTCCTTTCTTTTCTCTCCTTCCTTCTCCCTTTTTTCTTTTTTCTCCTTCCTTCCTTCTCCCTTCCTTTTCTTCCTTCTTTTCTTTCTTTTCTCTCCTTCCTTCTCCCTTCCTTCCTTTTCTCTCCTCTCCTTCCTTCTTTCCTTCCTTTCTTTTCTCTTTCTTTCCTTCCTTTTCCCTTCCTTCCTTCCTTTTTTTCTCTCCTTCCTTCTCCCTTCCTTCCTTTTCTTCTTTCTTTTCTTTCTTTTCTCTCCTTCCTTCTCCCTTTTCTTCCTTCTTTTTTTCTCCTTCCTTCATTCTCCCTTCCTTGTCTTCCTTCTTTCCTTTCTTTTCTCTCCTTCCTTCTCCCTTCCTTCCTTTTCTCTCCTCTCCTTCCTTCTTTCCTTCCTTTCTTTTCTCTTTCTTTCCTTCCTTTTCCCTTCCTTCCTTCCTTTTTTTCTCTCCTTCCTTCTCCCTTCCTTCCTTTTCTTCTTTCTTTTCTTTCTTTTCTCTCCTTCCTTCTCCCTTTTCTTCCTTCTTTTTTTCTCCTTCCTTCATTCTCCCTTCCTTGTCTTCCTTCTTTCCTTTCTTTTCTCTCCTTCCTTCTCCCTTCCTTCCTTTTCTCTCCTCTCCTTCCTTCTTTCCTTCCTTCCTTTTCTCTCCTTTCTTTTTTTCCTTCCTTTTCCCTTCTTTCCTTTTTCTCTCCATCCTTCTCCATTCCTTCCTTCCTCCCCCTTCTTTTTTCTCCTTCCTTCCTTTTCCCTTCTTTCCTTCCTTTTCTCTTCCTTCCTTCTTTCTTTTTTTCCTCCTTCCTTCTCTCTTCCTTCCTTCTTTCCCTCTTCTTTCCTTCCCTCTTCCTTCCTTCCTTCCTTCCTTCCTTCCTTCCTTCCTTCCTTCCTTTTCCCTTCCTTCCTTTCTTTTCTCTCCTTCCTTCTCCCTCCCTCCCTTTTCTGGGCTGGCAGAAAAGGGAAGCCATGCTGGCTGGGGAAAGCTGGGCGTTGGAAGTCCAGGTGTCCTAAAGTGGCCCAGGGTGGGCCGGGCAGAGGGACCCCTCACCGCCGTGCCCATCCTCTCCAGGGTCTCCTCGTTGATGGGGTACCGCAGCTTCATCTTGCGGTAGAGGGGGTGCTTCTCGTAGTAGCTGACCAGGTCGAGCAGGCTCTCGAATTCGGCCGAGCTGCCCAGCGTGAAAAGCCGCCCTTCTTGCTGGACCCGGCAGTGCTTGATCTTCCCCTCGGCCCTGCGGGGGAGGAAGGCCGAGAGAGAGGGTCCGCAGACCACATTAGGTCAAGGAGGGAAGCAGGGAAAGGGTCAGCCCTTTGGGACACAAGCAGGCTCTGCGTGAATTGTGGAAACGTGGCTTAGCAGTCGGAGGGGTGTCGAAAAGGAAATTTGATCGTGTTTCTCTGTCCCTTCTTCTTATAGCAAAGAGAATCAAGGTGAGGAATCTTTAGGCTCTTCCTCACCCTCTCCCGTCTATTTTATATCCGGCCTTTATTATTTTTATACACAGTCTAAGGCGGCAAACATAGCCAGCACACCTCCCTCCTCCGATTTTCCCCACAACCACCACCCTGTGAGGGGGGGTGGGCGGAGAGAGAGGGACTAGCCCAAAGCCATCCAGCTGGCTTTCATGCCTAAGGCAGGACTAGAACTCACAGTCGCCTGGCGGTTGGCCCAAAGACACCCAGCTGGCTTTCATGCCTAAGGCGGGGCTAGAATTCACAGTCACCTGGCGGTTGGCCCACCTAGCTGGCTTTCATGCCTAAGGCAGGACTAGAACTCACAGTCGCCTGGCAATTGGCCCAAAGTCACCCAGCTGGCTTTCATGCCTAAGGCGGGACTAGAACTCTGTCACCTGGCGATTGGCCCAAAGTCACCCAGCTGGCTTTCATGCCTAAGGTGGGGCTAGAATTCACAGTCACCTGGCAGTTGGCCCACCCAGCTGGCTTTCATGCCTAAGGCAGGACTAGAACTCACAGTCGCCTGGCTATTGGCCCAAAGACACCCAGCTGGCTTTCATGCCTAAGGCAGGACTAGAACTCACAGTCACCTGGCAATTGGCCCAAAGTCACCTATCTGGCTTTCACGCCTAATGTAGGACTAGTACTCACATTTGCCTGGTGACTGATCATGGGGAATGCCGTAAGTGTGAAAAATGGTCGTAAGTCCCTTTTTTTTTCAGTGCCGTTGTAACTTTGCACGGTCACTAAACAAATTGTTTACAAGCCTGCTATGAAGCCCTGGGTCTTTGGGGCAGCTGGCTAGACTCACCGAAAGGAGATGGCGTAGGAGTTGGCCTCGCTTCGCTTGCGCACCAGGAAGGCGCCGTCCCTGGGCACCCGCATCAGCATGTGCTCAGCCTGCAGGCGGGTGAGGTTGGCATGGTACCACCTGGGAGGAGAGAAGAGGCGCCAATTCAGACACACAAACACACACACACACACACACAAGACAGAAGAGTGAAGGTCTCACAGATCTGCCGGGAAAGGCTCTCCATCGACGATCCAGGCTCTGCCCCATTTTATTAAAAAATAGCCATAGAACTTAAACCAGGAGTCTTCAAACTTGGCCATTTATGGACTTCAACTCCCAGAATTCCTCAGTCGGCCATTTTGATGAAACTGTGGGCTTGGATCCAGACCGGGGGTCTTGAAATTTGGCCTTTTGATGATTTGTGGACTTCAACTCCCAAAATTCCTCAGCCAGGCACATGTGCCTGGCTGAGGAATTCTGGGAGTTGAAGTCCACAAGTCATCAAAGGGCCAAGTGTCAGGACCCTTAACTTAGACTTATATACTGCTTCACAGCTCTCTCTAAGCCAGTGGTTCTCAACCTTTTTAATGCCGCGACCCCCAACCGGTCGTAAGTCGAGGACTACTCAACGGGTGCAGCACCGTTTGCAGAAGGGGACTTTTGGCAGGCTCAGCAGGGAAGAGAGTCTATTCTATTGGCTTTCCAAAGCCAATAGAATAAAAGGGAGGAGCACAGCTAAGGAAAAGGGGGAAAAAATGGCGGACTGCATTGTTTGGCGACCCCCGTGAAATGGTCGTTCGACCTCAAATGGGGTCCCGACCCACAGGTTGAGAACCACTGCTCTAAGCCATAGGTCTCCAATTTTTCTAGATTGGTGGATCAGATGGAAATGGAGGGAGAAGCATTTCACGGGGTGGGGTGTGCGCGCACAAACAAGGCCGCGAGCACGGGCGTCGCAAACGGGGCACTGCTAGTGTCCACCTGACACTCGCTAACACCTCCCTGTTTTCGCCGCGCGGTGCCGTTTGCGTAGCAGCGGCGGCGCTAGCGTGAGTGGGAGAGTGAGTCTACGCACACACGTATGTCCGTGCACTGGCCAGCCTCGTCCGTGTCCCCGTGGCCAGCAGGCCGTGGCCTGATAGTGTGGGCCATGGCCCACAGGTTGGGTACCCCGGCTCTAAGCGGCTTACAGAGTCAGCCTATTGCCCCCCAACAATCTGGATCCTCATTTTACCTCGGAAGGACGAAAGGCTGAGTTGACCTTGAACCTCGTCAAGATTGACCGGGATGAAGGGGAGGGGAAGGAGAGGGGAGGGGAGGGAAAGGCAAAGGACGGGAAGGGAAGCCCTGGTTCCTCACTCCTTGCTCTCGTGAGCGTTGGGCTGAGGCACCGGATCGGTCAGTCGCATCTCGAACTCGTTGCAGCGCAGCGGAACCTCATGGTAATGGCAGATGAGGCTGTAGAGGCTGTCGAAAACCAGGTTGTCGGTCAGGTAGAACTTGGTAGCGCCGGCTTCTTGCCGGGAGTGGATGCGGCAATGTTGGACCCGGCCGGAACGCCTGTAAAAAACAAACAAACAAACAAAAAAAAAAAAACGGCGGAGGAGATGAAAAGGAGAGATTCAAATTTATTTTTATTTATTTATTTATTTTATTTATGAGACTTATATACCGCTTTAAGTGCAAGCACTGTCTAAGCGGTGTACACCAGTAAGCAAAGTATATATATATATATATATTTACATTGCCCCCAACAATCTGGGTCCTCATGTTACCTACCCCGGAAGGATGGAAGGCTGAGTCAACCTTGAGCCGGTGAGATTTGAACCGCTGACCTGCTGAACACAGTCAGCTCAAGTGGCCTGCAGTACTGCACTCTAACTGCTGCGCCACCTTGGCCCAAATTTCCATGTTTTCCTACCTTGTGGCTACAACGGCTCGTTTGGCGACTGAAATGACAACGGCACTGAAAAACGTGACTTAGGATCATTTTTCACACTTGCCCCCTCCAGCTATGTGAAGCCCTGCCCCATTTTGCATCCCGCAGCCCCCCCACCCCTAGAATTAACCACTGCCCTCGGTTAGCAAATTGCTTCTTCTTCTTCCCTCTTCCCTCTCTTGGGCTTCCTCCTCCTCCTCCTCCTCCTTCTTTTTCTTCTCCTTCTCCTTCTTCTTCTCCTCCTCCTCTTCCAACTCCTCCTCCTCTTTCCTACAAACCCCACTCCTTTCTATCACTGCTGCTCCTCCTCCTCTTCTTCTTCTTCTTCTTCTTCTTCTTCTTCTTCTTCTTCTTCTTCTTCTTCTTCTTCTTCTTCTTCTTCTTCTTCTTCTTCTTCCTCTTCTTCTTCTTCTTCTTCTTCTTCTTCTTCTTCTTCTTCTTCTTCTTCTTTTCTTCTTCTTCTTTCTTCTTCTTTCTTCTTCTTCCTCTTCCTCTTCTTCTTGTAGTAGTAGTAGTAGTAATAATAATAATAATAATAAAGTTGGAAGGGACCTTGGAGGTCATCTAGTCCAACCCCCTGCTCAGGCAGGAAACCCTATACCATTTTGGACAAATGGCTGTCCAGTCTCTCCTTAAAAATCTCCAGTGTTGTTGCATTCACCACTTCTGGAGGCAGGTGGTTCCACTGGTTAATTGTTCTAATTTTCAGGAACTTTCTCCTTAGTTCCAGGTTGCTTCTCTCCTTGGTCAGTTTCCATCTGTTGCTTCTTCTTGTCCTGCCTTCAGGCGCTTTGGAGAATAGCTTGACTCCCTCTTCTTTGGGGCAGCCCCTGAGATACTGGAAGGCTGCTATCCTGTCCCCCCTCGTCCTTCTCTTCATTAAACTAGACAGACCCAGTTCCAGCAACCGTCCTTCATATGTTTTAGCCTCCAGTCCCCTGATCATCTTTGTTGCTCTTCTCTGCACTCTTTCTAGAGTCTCAACATCTTTTTTACATCGTGGTGACCAACACTGGATGCCGTATTCCAAGTGTGGCCTTACCAAGGCCTTGTAAAGTGGTATTTACACTTCACGTGATCGTGATTCTATCCCTCTGTTAATGCAGCCTAGCACTGTGTTGGCCTTTTTGGCAGCTGCAGCACATGGCTGGCTCATCTTTAAGTGATTGTCCAATCACTCCAAAATCCCTCTCACATTTGCTACTATTGAGCAAGGTACCCCCTATACTGTACCTGTGCATTTGGTATTTCTTGCCTAAATGTAGAACCTTGCTTTTTTCACCACTGAATTTTGTTAGATAGCGCCCAGTGTTCAAGTCTGTTCCAGATCCTCCTGTATCTTAAATGTTATTCAATTCGAGTCAACCGCTTAGCACCCCCCAGTCTTGATGGCCCACGATTTTGGGGTGTCTTACCAGAAAGAAAGGGTGTAATCTCCCACAAAGGTCTCGCTCTCCCGGACCAGGAAAGTGCCGTCTTTGCCCCCGGTCTCGGTGCAGTATTCGTGCAGCAGCCGCTCGGCAATCTGGCGCCCATCGCGGCCCCCGCCCAATTTGCCGTGGAACCACTTCTCGCTAAAGTGCAGCTCGTTGTTGTTAATCTCCTACGGAACCGCCCGAGACAGGATGGAGCAGGAGAGGAGAAGGAACAGGGGCAGATGGGATTAAAAGGGGGAGGGAGGAAGCAGGAGAGAGAGAGAGAAAACAGCGCTCGTCAATGAGACGCAGCATCTTCCTGAGAGCCGTTCAAACTGCGGCTTACGAGAGTTTGTTTAGTGACGGTTTGAAGTTACAACGACACTGAAAAAAGGGATGGATGACGGTTTTTCAGACTTAGGACTGTGGTCACCTGATTTACATTTGGATGCTTGAAAAGTGATTCATATTTACGATGGCTGCAGAGCAGAGCATCAAGGACTCCACAGTCCTTCTTCTTCCTCCTCCTTCCCCCCTTTCTCCTTATCCTCCACTCCAAACACCCTCTCCCTTCTAGCACGGATGACGTTCCCTAGTTGGGTCATGAAATGTCTGCAAGAAAACAACCAAGCTCAGAGAGCACCAAGGACCCCACAGTCCTTTCCTCCTCCTCCTCCTCCTCCTCCTCCTCCTCCTCCTCCTCCTCCTCCTCCTCCTCCTCCTCCTCTTCCTCCTCTTCCCAAACCCCTCTCCCTTCTAGCACTGATGATGTTACCTAGTTGGGTCATGAAACGTCTGCAAGAAAACCACCCAGCTCAGTGAGCACCAGGGAGCCCAGAGTCCTCCTCCTCCTCCTCCTCCTCCTCCTCCTCCTCCTCCTCCTCCTCCTCCTCCTCCTCCTCCTCCTCCTCCTCCTCCTCCTCTCCATCTCTGCAAATCCCCCCCCTTCTAGCACTGATGATGTTACCTAGTTGGGTTATGAAACATCTGCAAGAAAACAACCAAGCTCAGAGAACACCAAGGACCCCACAGTCCTTTCCTCTTCCTCCTCCCCCTCCTCCTCTCCGCAAACCTAACTCCCTTCTAGCACTGATGATGTTCCCTAGTTGGGTCATGAAACGTCTGCAAGAAAACAGCTGAGCTCAGTGAGCACCAGGGAGCCCAGAGTCCTTTCCTCCTCCTCCTCCTCCTCCTCCTCGTCCTCCTCCTCCCCCCCTGTTCTTCCCAAACCCCTCTGCCTTCTAGCAGTGATGATGTTACCTAGTTGGGTCATGAAACGTCTGTAAGCAGACAACCCAGCTCAGAGAGCGCCAGGGACCCCACAGTCCTCCTCCTCCCTTTCTCCTCCACTCCAAACTCCCACTCCCTTCTAGCACGGATGATGTTACCTAGCTGGGTCATCAAACGTCTGCAAGAAAACCACCCAGGGACCCCAATGGGCATATCTAATAACCTGGCAATGCTATGTAACCACCGAGTTACATAGATTAGGAGCTTGCAAATCCTAAACAACCACCCTGATGTATTTGGGCATTCTGAATGGCTGGCAGGATGAACAGGAAAAAAACGTTAAACCTCATTTCCAGCCTCGGGTGTGCGAATGGGAGGGAGGGAAGTTAGCCCCAGTCCCTTCATTCTCACGACAACGGATGTTTATCCCTCCCCAATGAAACCAGCCCAGATTCAAGCCTCCCCAGTCATCTCCAAGAGGTTCCTTCCCAATCCACTAGTCCTCTTGGGGGCAACAATTGTTCAAAAGAGCCTCCCTCGAGCAGAATACCTCCTTCTGCTCGGCCTCCTCCTCTTCCTCGTGGGACTGATAGTGGGAGGTCTCCTCGGAGTAGTAGATCTTGTTGCTGGTCAGAACAAAGTAGTGGGGGCTCCAGGTCTGTAACAGAGGAGGGAGGAGGGCTGTTATCAAAGCGAAAGAGAGAAAAAGAAGGGATAGAACGCTTTTGGGATAGGAGGCCAAGTAGAGATAATAATAATAGTAAAGTTGGAAGGTACCTTGGAGGTCATCTAGTCCAACCCCCTGCTCAGGCAGGAACCCTACACCATTTCAGACCAATGCCTGTCAAGTCTCTTCTTAAAAACTTCCAGTGTTGGAGCATTTACTGCTTCTGGAGGCAGGTGGTTCCACTGGTTAATTGTTCTCACTGTCAGGAAGTTTCTCCCTAGTTCTAGGTTGCTTTTCTCCTTGATTAGTTTCCACCCGTTGCTTCTTGTCCTGCCTTCAGGTGCTTTGGAAAATAGCTTAATTCCCTCTTCTTTATGGCAGCCCCTGAGATACTGGAATACTGCTATCCTGTCCCCCCTTGTCCTTCTCTTCGTTAAACTAGACATACCCAATTCTAACAACCGTTCCTCATATGTTTTAGCCTCCAGTCCCCTAATCATCTTTGTTGCTCTTCTCTGTACTCTTTCCGGAGTCTCAACATCTTTTTTACATCGTGGTGACCAAAACTGGATGCCGTATTCCAGGTGTGGCCTTACCAAGGCATTGTAGAGTGGCATTAATACATTGGGGGGGGGGCAAATCCGCCCCCCCCCCAATGCAGAATCCAAGCATTTCACCCCAAAACAACGTTGCGTGCTGCTGATAGTTGCAAAGCTAGTTCTCAACCTGAAATAATTCATTTAGTGACCCCGCTGGAGAATTCTGGGAATGGAAGCCTACCCCTCTTCAAATGGTCAGGGTTGAGACACACTGATTTAGAGAACGCCTGGCTGGGGAAGGTTGATAGGCGCAAACCACGGCGGTGTGGGAGACCGTTTGGAGATCTTCTGAAGACACCTGACTGCCTCCCTCACCACAAGGTGGCCCACCCCATCCCAGGAGCTCACGTGGTCAATGGGGTCTTCAAGGTACAAGATGCCGTTCTTGATGGAGTTGCTGATGTCGTTCTCAGAGTAGCTGGCCGTGGAGACTTCTTCGTACAGGTTGCCTTCCACCAGCTTCTTGTGCTGAGGGCAGAGGAGAAAATGAAAGAGGAGTGGAAGGGGTGCAGTGATGGAAGCAGACAACCATGTCCCAGGGTTCCTGATGGACGGCTCTGGTTATTGACAGGTGTCAATATGTCAGATTTAGAAAAGGCTCATCTCCATCACGATGGGCCAGTTCTTCTGAAGAAAGGGAATGGAGGAGAGGGAAAGATGAAGGAACCCAAAGGATGGTATTTTTGGGGGGGCCAAAAAACCCAGCTCAGGAGAGCTTGCCTGGCAACATGTTCTCTTTGGGATGCAAATAGAGCACGGAGAGGTCCTGGGTGCTCTCTGAGCTGGGTGGTTTTCTTGGGAGATGTTTCATGACCCAACTAGGGAACATCATCAGTGCTAGAAGGGAGTGGAGATTGGGAGAACAAGGAGGAGGAGGTTTGTGGGGTCCTTGGTGGTCTCTCAGCTTGATGGTTCTCTTAGAGACATTTTATAACACGACTAGGAAACATCATCAGTACTAGAAGGGAGAAGGGTTTGCAGAATCGAGGAGGAGAAAGAGGGGAGGAGGAGGAGGAGGAGACCTATAGAGTCCTTGGTGCTCCCTGATCTTGGTGGTTTTCTTGGTGTCATTTCATGACCCAACTAGGGAACATCATCAGTGCTAGAAGGGAGAAGGGTTTGCAAAATCGAGGAGGAGGAGGAGAAAGAGAGGAGGAGGAGGAGGAGGAGGAGGAGGAGGAGGAGGAGGAGGAGGAGGAGGAGGAGGAGGAGATCTATAGAGTCCTTGGTGGTCACTGAGCTGGGTAGTTTTCTTGGAGACATTTCATGACCCAACTAGGGAACATCATCAGTACTAGAAGGGAGAAGGGTTTGCAAAATCGAGGAGGAGGAGGAGAAAGAGAGGAGGAGGAGGAGGAGGAGGAGGAGGAGACCTATAGAGTCCTTGGTGGTCACTGAGCTGGGTGGTTTTCTTGGTGACATTTCATGACCCAACTGGGGAACATCATTAGTACTAAAAGGGAGTGGGGTTTGCAGGGAGGAGGAGAAAGAGGAGGCCACCTATGGAATCCTTGGTGATCTCTGAGCTGGGTGGTTTTCTTGGGGACATTTCATGACCCAACTAGGGAACATCATCAGTAACGTCTGATGATGTGACCTGGTTGGGTCATGAAACATCTGCAAGAAAATATCTATGGAGCTTCTCAGTCATCCAGGTCAGGGCTGTCCCAAAGGTGCTTTTTCAGGAGGCAACTGGACTTTCTTATTTTTACTGGACTTTCTGGTTTTTCTCTGAAGACGTTTCGCTTCTCATCCCAGAAGCTTCTTCAGCTCTGACTGGAGGGTGGGGAAGGGAAGGATTTATACTCCTTGCAGACAGCTGGTGATTTGCATCCTTTTAGAGAATCGTCGTTGAGGCCACTTGGAGGTTCACCTGTGTCCTCAGGGTCTCTCCAGTCTACCACCCAGTCCTTTCAACCATTCCAAGACTCCACACCTATTTGCACCACTCAGGTGACCCTGAGGACACAGATAAACCTCCAGGTGGCCTCAACGACTCTCTAAAACAGACATGTCAAACACAATGCCTGGGGGCCGGATGCGGCCTGCGAAGTGGTTTCATGCGGCCCGCGAAGCCATCCTGGAAATAGTGAGGGAAGGGCTCCCGCTGCCTTGGCCCTGGCCCAGGCCGGCCGGGAGCCAATGTACAATTTTGTGGTAGCCATCTATGCTGAAACGCATTCAGTCTTAGCTCCACAAGACCATCTGGAAACAGCGAGGAACCGGCCCCTGCCGTGTCACCCCCGCCCCCTGGGTGCATGCTGGGGAGGTGTCACCCTTTGTGAGGAATGAAGAAATGGACCATGCCTTGGCGCTTGCCCCGGTCCCACCCCCTTCTGCCAGAGACCCTCAGATCTGTCCCACTCCCGCCCAGGCCCCCACAGGCACCATTAACACGAACGATGTAGAGCAGGCTATGCCCACCCAGTAGGTCACACCCACTCCATCCACGCCCACCCAGTAGGCCGCACCCCTCTGCCCCCCCCCCCGAGGGCAACCGCAATGCTGATGCGGCCCTCAATGAAATTGAGTTTGACACCCCTGCTCCAAAAGGAGGCAAATGAGCGGCTGTCTGCAAAGAATATAAATCCTTCCCTTCCCCACCATCCGGTCAGAGCTGAAGAAGCTTCTAGGATGAGAAGCGAAACATCTTCAAAGAAAAACAAAGAAAGTCCAGTTGCCTCTTGAAAAAGCATCTTTGGGAGAAGGATGAAAGGAGAAGAGGAAGAGGAGGAAGATGGGAGGGAAAGAAGGAGAAGGATAGGAGAGACAGAAAGAAAGAAAGAAAGAAAGAGAGAGAGAGAGAGAGAAAGGAAAGAAAGAAAGAAAAAGAAAGAAAGAGAAAGAAAGAAAGAAAGAAAGAGAAAGAAAGAGAAAGAAAGAAAGAGAAAGAAAGAAAGAAAGAGAGGAAAGAAGGAAGGAAGGAAGGAAGGAAGGAAGGAAGGAAGGAAGGAAGGAAGGAAAGAAAGAAAGAGTCTGCAAGGAGTATAAATCCTTCCATTCCCCCATCATCCAGTCAGAGCTGAAGAAGCTTCTTGGATGGGAAGCGAAACGTCTTCAAAGAAAAACAAGAAAGTCCAGTTGCCTCCTGAAAAAAGCACTTTTGGGTCTGCAAGAAAACCACCAAATTCAGAGAGCGTCACGGAGCCCCCCCCCCGTTCGACCTTGAGCCATCAATATTCTCTTCTGAATGAAACACTCTTATTTTGGGGGGGGGCAAGGGGTTCTCCATCTTCACAGCTTGAAGATGTTTGGACTTCAACGCCCAGAATTCCTCCACCAGCATTGCTAAGCCAGGGAATTCTGGGACTTAGAAACCACATAGGCTCATGGGGGAATTTCTGGAAATTGAACTCCACTTGTCTCCGTGCTGGCAAGGTTGAGAAAACACGGATGTAGACTAAGGGTCTCCAACCATGACCACTTGAAGACTTCAACTCCCAGAATGGCTGGGCTGGGGGGATTCTGGGAGTTGAAGTCCACCAGCCAAGGTTGGAGACCCCTGCTCTACAGCGACATCCCTGACTCTCGTGGACAGTGATGACTAAACAAGTGGATAGCCCTCATTGTGCACGGAAGAGCCAGGGACATTCCTTCAGGGTATGTACAGTAGTGGCCAAAATTGTGCAAACCTTTTGGGAAAAGTGTACAGTAGAAATGCCACCTTTGGTTAAGTTTCCACCCATTTTCCTTCTCATTTCTTCATAACTGTAGCTTTGCTCACTTAATAATACTACTTTATAACGCTTTCTGGGCGACCGGTCAACTCTTTGCACCATGACTTTAATTTCATGACGTTTTACAAGCTCACTCAATGAAAGAACACCAAAAAAACCCCAACCAACTTGATAGCCATCCCACAACACACTGACAAATGTCCTCCTCTCAACTTCAATAAATAATAATAATAATAATAATAAAAAGTAGTAGTAGTAAAGTTGGAAGGGACCATGGAGGTCATCTAGTCCAACCCCCTGCTCAGGAAGGAAACCCTATACCATTTCAGAAAAGTGATTGTCCAGTCTCTTCTTAAAAACGTGGAGCATTCACCGCTTCTGGAGGCAGGTTGTTCCACTGGTTAATTGTTCTAACTGTCAGGAAGCTTCTCCTTAGTTCTAGGTTGCTTCTCTCCTTGATCAGTTTCCATCCGTTGCTTCTTGTCCTGCCTTCAGGGGCTTTGGAGAATAGCTTGACTCCCTCTTCTTTGGGGCAGCCCCTGAGATACTGGAAGACTGCTATCGTGTCCCCCCTCGTCCTTCTCTTCATCAATCACTGGATCCTACTGTGATCTGATTGGCTCATTGGCAAAACAAGACGACACCCGATTGGCTCTCTAAACGCTCATGCTCATTGGCTGCAATTGGATGAAAGAAAGCTATCTGAGATCAACCTGAGCAAGTTGTGCTTCCTTTTTCTGGTTATTGGGCTATCACTTTTCACAGAATGCAGTAGAGATAACTGAACAAACATTGTGGCATTACGTTCTTGATTGAATTATCTTTCCATTGATATATAATTTTACGGTACTACCCCCCCCCCCAAAAAAAAACAAAAGTGGTGTTCTTAGCCATCAAACCTCAAAATTACACTTTTCCCAAAAGGTTTCCACAATTTTGTAAAGAGGTCAGAGGGGCTGGGCCTGCTCACGATTTCTCCCAGGTGGGAGACACTTGGCTACCTTGATCAGGATTTTTTTCTTCAGCTGGGCAGGAGAAGGAAGCTGGTCGGCGTTGACGTCCACCGGCTTGGTGAGCAGCATGTCGCCAAAGACCTTCTTGAAGTGGGACGCCATGTTCCTCTGCTGGACGATGCTGCAGTGGTCTTCGATGGACAGGATGATGGGATACCTGGGGGTGGGGGGAAGGAAGGGGCATCAGGCAGGACCCCGAAAACCCTGGATTTCCTGTTTGCTTCTAGGGCAGGGGTAGGAGTTGAAGTCCACCAGTCTAGGTCAGGGGTAGGCCACCTTGGTTCTTTTATGACTGGTGGACTTCAGCTCCCAGAATTCTTGAGCCAGCCATGCTGAGGGGAAAGGGAGAGGTTTCCAAGCTGAGCCAAGCTGGCTCAGGAATTCTGGGAGTTGAAGTCCACCAGTCATAAAAGAGCCAAGGTTGCCTACCCCTGTCCTAAGTCCTCCTGTTCTAAGTGGTGAGCCTCCTAGACCAGGGGTAGGCAACCTTGGCTCTTTTATGACTTGTGGACTTCAACTCCCAGAATTCCTGAGCCAGCATGGGGAAACTATGGCCCCTTCATGACTGGTGGACTTCAACTCCCAGAATTCCTGAGCCAGCATGGGGGAACTATGGTCACCTCATGACTGGTGGACTTCAACTCCCAGAATTCCTGAGCCAGCATGGCTCAGCTTGGAAACCTCTCCCTTTCCCCTCAGCATGGCTGGCTCAGGAATTCTGGGAGTTGAAGTCCACGAGTCATAAGAGAGCCAAGTTTGAAGACTCCTATCTTAAATCTAATAAACAAAATGGAGGCTGGCTGAGGAATTCTGGGAGTTGAAGTCCACCAGTCATGAAGGGGCCAAGTTTGAAGACTCCAGTCTTAAATCTAATAAACAAAATGGAGGCTGGCTGAGGAATTCTGGGAGTTGACGTCCACCAGTCATAAAAGAGCCAAGGTTGCCTACCCCTGTTCTAGGGTGACACCCAAGGACGCGTCGTTCTGCAGAGCAAAGCTGAGAACAGCCAAGCAGTCTGGACCGGGATGGTCTGAAGTATGACTTCCTGAGGACAGGAAGTTGGCTCCACAAAGGGATGGGACCAGAGCTACCAACCTCCTGGGCTTTCTGAGCGGGCTTGGGAACAAAGGATGGGAGCCTCTTCCTGGCTGCTCCGTTCCGTCAAGCAAAACATGCTTTCCAGTTTCTGGAAAGTTCTTCTCCGTCCTGGGGACCAATTTTGACGGAGCCACTGAAAGCCTTCTGTGAGATTCGTTCTTACCATCAGGGATTCCACCCTCCGATAAAGGAGAACATGAAGAAGGAAGAGGAAGGAGGAGGGAGGAGAGGGTGAGTGGAGATGGGGTGGGAGATGGGGGGGAGGAGGAGGAAGGGAGATAAATAAGAGGAGGAGGAGGAGGAGGAGGAGGAGGAGGAGGAGAATGGAAAAAAGGGGAGAAGGGAAGGAGGAGAAGAAATAAGAATTGGAGGAGAAGGAAGAAAAATAAGAGAAGGAGAAGAGGAGGAGGAGGAGGAGGAGGAGGAGGAGGAGAAGAAGAAGAAGAAGAAGAAGAAGAAGAAGAAGAAGAAGAAGAAGAAGAAGAAGAAGAAGAAGAAGAAGAAGAAGAAGAAGAAGAAGAAATGACTAGAGAACAGCAGCAGTGATAGAAGGGAGTGGGGGTAGGAAAGAGGAGGAGGAGGAGGAAGGAGGAGGGGGGAAGTAAAGGAGGAGGAGGAGAAGAAGAAGAAAAGAAGAAGAAGAAGAAGAAGAAGAAGAAGAAGAAGAAGAAGAAGAAGAAGAAGAAGAAGAAATGACTAGAGAACAACAGCAGTGATAGAAGGGAGTGGGGGTAGGAAAGAGGAGGAGGAGGAGGAAGGAGGAGGGGGGAAGTAAAGGAGGAGGAGGAGAAGAAAAGAAGAAGAAGAAGAAGAAGAAGAAGAAGAAAAAGAGCAGCAGTGATAGAAAGGAATAGGGTTTGTAGGAAAGAGGAGGAGGAGGAGAAGAGGAAGAAGAAGAAGAAGAAGAAGAAGAAGAAGAAGAAGAAGAAGAAGAAGAAGAAGAAGAAGAAGAAGAAGAAGAAGAAGAAGAAGAAGAAGAAGAGCAGCAGTGATAAAAAGGAGTAGGGTTTGTAGGAAAGAAGAGGAGGAGGAGGAGGAGAAGAGGAAGAAGAAGCCCAAGAGAGGAAGAGAAAGAGGCCACCACAAGGCCTATAAAAGCAGCAACCCGGCTTACTCGGAGGTGGTGAACGCGTGCTCCTTGATGGTGTGCAACACATCGAGGAACTTGATTTTGGAGGTCAGCGTGTGGCCGTGGTAGATGATGGGCAGGTCATCGGGGCCATCCCAACAGTCCACTGGGGCAGAGAAGATCAAAGCTTGGATTGGTTTCTCAAAATAACCATCACAACTTTTAAACAATCCCACAAACCAGGCCTTCTCAACTGAGCACCTTCTGGGCGTGTTGAGATTCAAGTGACCGTTAAACGCCCAGTCCGTTGTGTTGTGTGTGTGAGAGTGTTGTGTTTGTGTTTGTTGGGGGGGGGGTATACATTTCTCATTCCAAGAATGACAAGCTTTGCCCGCTTTTTGAAGGTGCCCAGTTGAAAAGGAAAAACACACTTCTGGCCCTCCATCAAACGTCCACAAATGCAATTAATAAATTAATCGTCTCCATCTCCCGCTGTTACATCTAATCAAGGCTCCTCTGCAAATATACACAAATTGCGTTCCCCTTTGGCAACCGTCACAAACACATTCAACGGTGACACACCGGTTTTTAACAAGGGCTGTCCAGATAGGATGGCCTTCCAACACCTGCTGGACCCTGTGGGATGCCGAGAAGGGGAAGCGTTGGCGTTTTTTTTTTTTTTTTTGTCCTTCCAAACGTAGAAAATCGCTAGGCGTGTCAAGTTCGCAGCGTAATGGTGCCGTTGCGACAATTATTGCTTCCCAGCTTGCCCACGAACTCGGGGGAGGGGAGGAGAATGGAATGCAGGTTCTAAAGATGAAGAAGCCGGACCATGAGAATCAAGGACGGTTCAGCAGATGTCTGGCCAGCCTCAGAGACCCTTTCTCATAACAATATTTTAGCATCTAATTGGACAGCGTGATCTGATCCGAAGTGGGGAGGGGAAGTTCTATACTTTTACTATAAGGGGTTTGGGCTGGGGGTGGGTTACCAGAGCTGGTTTTGCATTCGTTTGTGCCGGAATGATGTACTCAATAAAGTTTGGCATTAAGACAGTGATAGCGAACCTTTTATAGACCGAGTACCCAAACTGCAACCCAAAACCCACTTATTTATCGCCGGGTGCCAGGTGGGCATGGCCCACTGGGTGGACGTGGCTATGGTGGTCATGGCAGACTGGATGAATGTGGCCAAAGTGGGCATGGTTACCTTGATGTTGCTTGTGGGGAGGGACGCCTGTGGGGGCCGGGCAGGGTTGGGGGAGATCCAGGGGGTCTCTGGCAGGTGGGGCGGTGGACAGGAGGTTCATCCTGCGGGGTGAGGCAAGGCAAGGCGAAGCAGGGCGGGGGTACCAATGCCGCAGGACAAGGAGAGGCAGGGGCCGGGGCAGCTGCTGCCTGACACCATCGCCCCCCGCACACAGAGGCCAATGAGCGCATGGGGGCCGACAGTGTCCGTCAGCAGCCACAGCCTGTCGGCCCCTTGAGTGGCGCACTCTGGGGCTCCGCAGCCTGCCGCCAGCAGTTCAGAGAAGCTGCCTCTGAGCCGGACGGACAGCCGACAGCTGAGGAGGCGATGCAGTGGGCCGTGCCGGGGAAAAGGAGAGCATGCAAGGCCAGGAGGGATGGGATGGGGGGAGGGAAACCAGCCGTGCTGGGATGCATCCGGCCACGTGGGACCTCGGCGAGTTAGTGGGCAGCTGGTTGAAGAGGGATGGTTGCCAGCTCAGGGGCATGGCGCATGTGCCCACAGAGAGGGCTGTAAGTGCCAGAGGTTCGCCACCACTGCATTAAGAGTTCAGAACGTCTTGCTTGCGTGGGTTCGTCCGTCAGAGCCTGGACAACGTGGTGAAAAGACCACAGATGGTTCTCAGAAATATCCTTGGCGCCGAATGAGCACAGACAACGGTGTGGCCCTTAACCAAGGCTTGTTAACAGGCTCAAGAGCGGTGGGCGTCAGCTTACATTCAATGCATCGGCAGCCCATCCGAAGGCAGCGGGCGTAGGCTTCCAGGGAGGACTCGCTGGAGAACTGATCCCCGGTGAGATACCTGCAGGGGAGGGAGGGAGAAGCAACTGGGATGAGAACCCTGCAAAGCCATTCTTGGTTATGAAAGGCTGTGGGGAGAATTGGGGAATGAATTGGACAGCCCCCCCCCCCCCCGAGTCCACAATCTCTCGAAGACTTATTTTCTTTACGGATTAGATGAATTTCCAGGAGAGGACACTCTCTGAGCTTGGTGGTTTTCTGGCAGACATTTCATGACCCTACTAGGGAACATCTTCAGTGCTAGAAGGGGGGGGAGGAGGAGGAGGAGAAGAAGGAGAAGGAGAAGGAGAAGGAGAAGGAGAAGGAGAAGGAGAAGGAGAAGGAGGAGAAGAAGAAGAAGAAGAAGAAGAAGAAGAAGAAGAAGAAGAAGAAGAAGAAGAAGAAGAAGAAGAAGACGAAGAAGAAGAAGAAGAAGAAGAAGAAGAAGAAGAAGAAGAAGAAGAAGAAGAAGAAGAAGAAGAAGAAGAAGAAGAAGAAGACTGTGGGATCCTTGATGCTCTCTGAGCTTGGTGGTTTTCTTGTAGACATTTCATGACCCCTACTAAGGAACATCTTCAGTGCTAGAAGGGAGGAGGAGGAGGAGGAGGAGGAGGAGGAGGAGGAGGAGGAGGAGGAGGAGGAAGACTGTGGGATCCTTGACGCTCTCTGAGCTTGGTGGTTTTCTGGCAGACATTTCAGGACCCAACTTGGTAATGTCATCAGTGCAATAGTATCAGCGCTGATGATGTTCCTTAGTTGAGTCATGGAACGTCTGCAAGAAAACAGCTAACCTCAGAGAGTATCAAGGATCCCATAGTCTTTCTCCTCCTCCTCCTCCTCCTCCTCTTCCTCTTGTTAAACCCCCCTCCCTTCTAGCACTGAGAATGTTCCCTAGTTGGGTCATGAAATGTGTGCAAGAAAACCACCCAGCTCAGAGAGCATCAAGGATCCCACAGTCCTCCTCCTCCTCCTCCTCCTCCTCCTCCTCCTTCTCAAACTCCCCTCCCTTCTAGCACTGAGGATGTTTCCTACCTCGGTCATGAAACGTGTGCAAGAAAACAACACAGCTCAGTGATCACCAAGAACTCCCCCCCCCCGGTTCAACCCAGAGCTATAAATATGTTCTCCATCAGTACATGGTCATTCAATTCCCACACCAGGGAGGCTTGCAACATTACAAACCCACAACATTAACACCCCACCCCATCCCAGGGCAGCAGCCACACAATCAAATCAACCACCCTTGACCATCTCCGTCTCCATCCGTGGTCTCCAGGCCTGCTGACAAAATTAGGGCCTTTATGGAAAAGCAAGATGGGGGGGGCAGCCGTACCTCCAGGGGAATGATGTTCCACATAGAAGGGGCCACCACCGAGAAGGCCCTTTTTCCATCGTCCCACCAGATCTACTGCACGTTTCTCATAGGTGGGACCAGAAACACGCCCTGCCTTCCCATCATAACGGGCCAGTATATGTAATAGGGGACAGCTGGGTCCTTCCAATAACCTGGCCCCAAAGCCAGGTAGGACTTTAAAGCTAACAACCAGCACCGTGAATTGTACCCAGGAGCAGACTGGCAGCCAAGGTGACTGGTGCAGAAGAGGTGACACCTCCACAAGTTTGGGTGTCCACCAAACTGTTCTGCATTCTGAAACAACTGAAGCTTCCGGATACTCTTCCAGGGCAGCCCCACGTAGAGCTCATTACAGGAGTCAAGACCATGAGGTGGGGGGGGGGAAAACCAGGGCGTGGATGACTGTGAGCAGGGCACAGTGGCGCCAGGAGTAGCCCTAATAATGGATGCAGACCTCGTACTTGTGAAGAAGATGATGATGATGATGATAGTAGTAGTAGTAGTAGTAGTAATAATAATAATAATAATAATAATAATAATAATAATAATAATAATACAGTTGGAAGGGACCTTGGAGGTCATCTAGTCCAACCCTCTGCTCAGGCAGGAAACCCTACACCATTTCGGACAAATGGCTGTCCAGTCTTTTCTTAAAAACTTCCAGTGTTGGAGCATTCACCGCTTCTGGAGGCAGGTAGTTCCACTGGTTAATTGTCCTCACTGTCAGGAAGTTTCTCCTTAGTTCTAGGTTGCTTCTCTCCTTGATCAGTTTCCACCCGTTGCTTCTTGTCCTGCCTTCAGGCGCTTTGGAGAATAGCTTGACTCCCTCTTCCTTGGGGCAGTCCCGGAGATACTGGAAGACTGCTATCCTGTCCCCCCTTGTCCTTCTCTTCGTTAAACTAGACATACCCAATTCCAGCAACCGTTCCTTATATATTTTAGCCTCCAGTCCCCTAAGCATCTTTGTTGCTCTTCTCTGCACTCTTTCTAGAATCTCGACATCTTTTTTATATCGTGGTGACCACAACTGGATGAAGTATTCTAAGTGTGACCTTACCAAGGCCTTGTAAATGGTATTAACCCTTCACGTGACCTTGATTCTATCCCTCTGTTAATGCAGCCTAGCACTGTGTTGGCTTTTTTGGCAGCTGCAGCACACAGCTGGCTCCTATTTAAGTGATTGTCCACTAGGACTCCGAGGTCCCTCTCACAGTTACTACTATTGAGCAAGGTACCCCCTATACTATACCTATACATTTGGTTTTTCTTGCTTAAATGTAGAACCTTGCTTTTTTCACCACTGAATTACATTTTGTTAGATAGCGATAAAGATAAAATAGATGGGAAGATCTGGACCGAATCTTTCCATCCATGGACAGGCTAGGCCAGGGGTAGGCAACCTTGGCTCTTTTATGACTCGTGGACTTCAACTCCCAGAATTCCTGAGCCAGCATGGCTCAGCTTGGAAACCTCTCCCTTTCCCCTCAGCATGGCTGACTCTGGAATTCTGGGAGTTGAAGTCCACCAGTCATAAAAGAGCCAAGGTTGCCTACCCCTGGGCTAGGCCAAGCACTCCATGGATATAGAAATATAACTTCAATACAAAGCTTAACAAAAGGTCTACACATGCTCTAGCACAGGGCAAGCTGGGCCACTTTAAGACTTTGTGGACTTCAACTCCCAGAATTCCTTAAGCTGGCCAAGGAATTCTGGGAGTTGAAGTCCACAAAGTCTTAAAGTGGCCAAGTTTGGTGGCCCCATATTTGCTGTGGGAGAGTTTATTAGTCTTGGTGTCATGGCCACCCTAGGCCTGGCGAAATGCAGGGGACAGTCCTATCTAGCAGTGACCTCAGTGGCCTCCTTTGCACCAGTATCCATCCGTAATCGGCCTCGGGATCCGAGAAACTCTTACGTGTTATGTGAAGACGAGATCCAGTACTGGGACAGGGGAAAATTCATTTCTTCAGGGACCACTTGCTCACCCTTGGAATCCATCAGCGTGTTTTCTTTGGAGAACAAGAACGTCAGGAACTGTGCAAAGTTGAGGGAAAGAAAGACTATTATAGAGTTAACAGAGATGGAAGGAGCTTTGGAGGTCTTCTAGACTAACCCCCTAGTGAATGAGGAGACGCTATACCATCCCAGACAAATGGCTGTCCCATCTCTTCTTAAAAGCCTCCGATGATGGAGCACCCACAACTTCTGGAGGCAAGGAGTTCCACTGATTAATTGTTTTAGCTATCAGAACTATTAGTTCTAGATTGCTTCTCTCCTTGGTTAGTTTCCATCCGTTGCTTCTTGTCCTGCCCTCAGGTGCTTTGGAGAATAGCTTGACTCCCTCTTCTTTGGGGCAGCCCCTGAGATATTGGAAGACTGCTATCATGTCACCCCTCGTCCTTCTCTTCCTTAAACTAGACCTCCACAATTCCAGCAACCGTTCCTTATATGTTTTAGCCTCCAGTCCCCTAATCATTTTTGTTGCTCTTCTCTGCACCCTTTCTAGAATCTCAACATCTTTTTTACATCGTGGGGACCAAAAATGGATGCTGTATTCCAAGTGTGGCCTTAGCAAGACATTGTAAAGCGGTATTAACACTTCACGTGATCTTGATTCTATCCCTCTGTTAATGCAGCCTAGGATTGTATTAGCTTTTTTGGCAGCTGCAGCACATGGCTGGCTCCTATTTAAGGGATGGTCCACTAGGACTCTGAGATCCCTCTCGCAGTTGGCTGAGGAATTCTGGGAGTTGAAGTCCACCCATCTTAAAGTTCCTGAGGTTGAGAGATGCCGGTCTAACTACATCTCAAGAGGTTTTCTGAGCCCAAACAAGACATCCTACAAAGAGCCAGACACTCACTTCATCTAACTGGAAGACGGGCTCTGTCGTGTCGGCAGAACGATCCTGCAAGTAGCTGCACATGAACCGGCGAACTTTGGCAAGATCGCTCGCCCAGGCCTCCTGCATAAGAAAAGGAAGAGGGCAGAGTTACTAGGAAGCTGCGCAGCCAGGGAGCCGGGTTTGAGCTGAGAGGGAAGGGGCATCCTCAGGCGAGGTCAAAAAAGTCAGGATGGCGTCCGTGATCAAAGTCCCGCCACTTTGATATGCACTACACTGGTTTTATCAAGATCAGTGCCCCCCAGGTTTAGGGAGACAACGTATGTCACGATTCTGACAGATGAAACTCTTCGAAGAACTTCAAAACTGAATTCCCCTCCCCTGAGCATATAATATCAAAGTACCATTCCCTCCTCCAGTGAACAGTCATAAATCATGTTCTCCAATTAGCTTGAAATGCAGGCTTTCTCTCCCGTTCTCCAGCCCACCAATTCTTATCATCTCTTATTTCAATAACCTTGGTTCTCACGCTAGATCCAGTATTGTTATGTCTAACTAAACTCCCATGCACATTCTTCCTCTTCCCCCCCCCCCTGCACCAGTATCATCTAATTCAATGGTGGCGAACCTATGGCACGTGGGCCAGAGGTGGCACTCAGAACCCTCTCTGTTGGCACGCGCGCCACCGCTGCCAGCAGAAGGTCCATCAGGCTGCCACCCCCACCCAGAGCAGGAGCCCCGCCCAGCACAAAGGAGGCGAAGCGCCCGACTAGCAAGCTGGAGTAGAGGTGGTAGAGCAGAGGTCACCAACCATTGTTGATTGGTAGACTGGAAGAAAAGGGAGGGGGAAGCATTTTGCATGCGTGCATGCGGGCACGGGACCGCGAGCACGCACACACTGCAAATGGTGCAGTGCCTGCGTGATACTCACTAGCTCTGCCCCGTTCTTACGTAGTGCAGCGCCTTGTATCTGCACCCCGCGATGCGGCGGCGGCCATTTTTGCGCCTTGCAGCACGGTGGCCCATTTTTGCGCCCCCAGTTTTTGCCTGCCAGAGGCAGCACTCAGGTGCCTCCCTGCCCCCCCCCCGAGGGCACCGCAATGCTGATGCAGCCCTGGCACTTTGCGATAAATAAGTGGGGTTTGGGCACTCGGTCTCTAAAAGGTTCGCCATCACTGCTCTAACTCCCACTCTAATTCTATGAGTAAAACCTAAGAAGGAAAATGGCTCCATCTCCAAATGTTGTCCAAAGCAAGAACATCCGATGTTAGCAGCGTTGACGACATAAGGGAGGAAGGTTAAGGAGTGGCTAGGAGCCAAATTGATTGTGGTGGAATGGGGTCTGGATTCCCAGGGCGAGACTGCATTTCACTCATTCACTTATTCATTCCCTCACTCACTCACTCACTCATTCATTCATTCATTCACTTGCAGTCCAGAGGACTAATAGACAGCAAAGTTTAGGCCTCTGTTTGGGGGTTAAAATGGCCCCTCCCTAGAGATTCTCGGAGTATAACTTTGATGATGCAAATAGCCTGCTTCAGTCTGGCAAGATTCTGTCTAGCGGCGAAGGACAATACAGGCAGTCCTCGGCTTACGATGGTTCGTTTAGGGACCGCCCACGGTTACAGCGGCACTGAAAAGCTGACTTACAACCGTTTTTCACACTTACGACCGTTGTAAGCACCCCCATGGTCACGTGATCAAAATTCAGATGCTTGGCGATTAACTCATACTTACGGCGGTCACGTGATCCCCTTTTTGCGACCTGCTGGCCAGCAAAGTCCCTGGGGAAGCCGGATTCACTTAACAACCGGGTTACTAACTTAACCACCGCAGTGATCCACTTAACGACTGCGGCAAGAATGGTCGTAAAACGGGGCAACACATGTCTCACCTAACAATAGACATTTGGGGCTCAATTGCGGTCGTAGGTCAAGGACCACCTGTGCAGCAATGTTTATTTATGTATTTATTGAATTTACAGACCCCCCCCTCCATTTCATTGTCAAGAGACTGGGGCTGGCCTACGAAAGCATCGTAAAAGCAACACGAAAACATTCGCTATTAAAATGGACGGAGATCAAACAAGCTAAAAAACACGCTATCTCTGCTGGAAGCAAAGCCTATTTGTTTCAGAAAATACCTTTTGATCGTATTGTAAGAATTTCTGGAAGTCATACAAGGTGATTTGACAGAGTTCCGGCCGATCCATGTTCCTGAAAAGGAAACAGGAGTGAAAGAAGCATCTCAATAGCTGTGTTGCTCGCACACCCACACTGAACAGGAGGAGGAGGAGGAGGAGGAGGAGGGGGAGGAAAGGACTGTGGGGACCTTGGTGCTCTCTGAGCTGGGATGTTTCTTTGCAGACATTTCATGACCCAACTAGGTAACATCATCAGTGCTAGAAGGAAGAGGGGTTTGTGGAAAGGAGGAGGAGGAGGAAGAGGAGGAGGAGGAGGAGGAAGAGGAGGAGGAAGAAGAAGAGGAGGAGGAGGAAGAAGACTGTGGGGTCCTTGGTGCTCTCTGAGCTGGGATGTTTCTTTGCAGACGTTTCATGACCGAACTAGGTAACATTATCAGTGCTAGAAGGGAGGGGTTTGTGGAAAGGAGGAGGAGGAGGAGGAGGAGGAGGACAACTGTGGGGTCCTTGGTGCTCTCTCACCTTGCTTGTTTTCTCGCAGACGTTTCATTACCAAACTAGGTATCACCATCAATGCTAGCTTGACCAAGCTAAGAGAGCACCAAGGATCCCACAGGTCTACTCTGAACTGGAAATATTCTCTTTTATCGGTCCTCAGTCAAGTCTTTGCATCTTTTGTGCCACTCATCCCTCTTCCGGCATCTTCTAGACAAGTTGGGACCACGTGTCCCAGAATCCCCAGCTAGCATCACGTACAGGTCTTGCTGGACATCTTGTGGACCCCAGTTTGGAGAAGACCATCTCCAGATGATATCCTGAGCCCCAGGTGCTTACGGATGAATTTCAAAAGTGCTGCTTTCTTGCTCTAGCTTATATTCCACTTGTTCTAGCTTATATTCCACTTCCAGGTGGAATCTAGATACCTTTGGAGGAGGGCCCTTGAAACAGGTATTCAATATAATAATTAACGTAAATGCCGGCGTACAAGGCGACCCAGCATATAAGACGACCCCCGTCTTTATAGTCGGGCCGCATTCCTAGAACGTCGTCTTATACGCCGGAAACTACCAGTATTTCCGGCGTATAAGATGACTCGGCGTATAAGACGACCCCCGTCTTTGGTGCCGATTTCAGCGCTCGCGGAAGTCGTCTTATACGCCGGCATTTACGGTATGTGATTCTACGGCGTTTCTCAATCCGGGATGTCCTAAAGGTGTATTTTCCAGGAGGCAACTGGACTGTCTGGTTTTTCTTGGAAGACATTTCGCTTCTCATCCAAGAAGCTTCTTCTGCTCCGACGGGAGGGTGAGGAAAAACCAACCCAGGCCACTTTAAGACGGGTGGACTTCAACTCCCAGAATTCTCTGGCTAGCCATGCTAGTTTAACACACCTCAGAGGTCTTCTGGGCTCAGCTAGACACCCCAAGATGGTTGGAAAAGACGATTAAAAGACAAAATAGAATTTAAACCAGAACTATTTTTGTTAGGAATATTAGGACCTAACTATGAGAATGAATATTTAACATTGCATGTACTGACCGCAGCGAGAATAGTATTTGCCCAATACTGAAAAAATGAAAACTTACCATCTGAAGAGGTTTTAATTAAGAAAATATTAGAATATGCAGAAATGGATAGATTGACTTTAGAGATTAAGGAGAAAGAAGACTCAGTTTACTTTTAAAACATGGGACAATTTTTACCAATGGTTAGGAAAACGAACTAGTGAGAAATGAATGGGATATGTTATTTTGAACGTACATATTGGTAAGAAGAATGATATGCATTGATTAACTGATACTGTTTATGATTATCACTCATTATACTTACTACGGTTATTTATGACTATATTAACTATTGTTAATTGAATGTACCCAGACAATAGTCTGTTTGCTAAAGATGGAAAATGTTATTGGGGGAAAACCTCAATCCTGATCCCAACCCCACCCTAAACCTTAATCCTTATCCCGATCCTGTTTTATCCCCAACCCTATAAAACTCAATATTTTTTTTTTTTTTTTAAAAAGACACCCCAAGATGATTGAGGAAAAGAGCTGGACATTCACTGGCTGGCTGAGGAATTCTGGGAGTTGAAGTCCACGCCTCAACGCTGCTGAGGTTGAGAAACTCTGGCTGGCTGAGGAATTCTGGGAGTTGAAGTCCACGTCTCAACGCTGCTGAGGTTGAGAAACATTGACTGGCTAAGGAATTCTGGGAGTTGAAGTCCACCCATCTTAAAGCAAACACTGGACTATAGAAATGCACGTTTCAAAGCTGACTCTCTCTAATTTACAGAGAAGTAGCCCTGAGTGGCATTTTTTATTTTTGCTTTTCATATGTTTTGGTCAATTCTTGGCTGACCCTGGAGAAGCAAACCTTATTATTTGTTAACTTCGCAGTTGTGCTCAGTCGCCATCAGGAAAATCTTCCCAAAGAAGCCGGCAAGAGACAAGTCCTGGGTGAATGAGCACCTGGGCTCGAGAGGAGATGGGGAAACCGAGGCACGCTTCCTACTTACCGTAGAGGGAAGGACAGCTCTAGTTGTTCGATGATCTGAAAAGCAAAGAGGCGACACGTTAATGTCAGCAACGTTAGTGAGTCCACCAGTTTTGAGGTCAACGCTGCTAACATCGGATGTTTTTGCTCTGACAACAGTTGGAGATGCAACCATTTTCTTTTTATGTTTTACTCTTAGAGTTAGAGTTAGATGATGCTTGGGGTGGGGGGAGGAATGTGCATTAGAGTTCAGCTAGACATAACAATACTGGACCTAGCGTGAGAACCAAGGTTATTGAAATAAGAGATGATAAGAATTGGCGGGCTTGGAGAACTGGAGGGGAAGCCTGCATTTCAAGCTAATTGGAGAATGTGATTTATGACTGTTAATTGGAGAGGAGGGAATTGTGCTTTGATACTACGTGCTCAGGGGAGGGGAATCTAGTTTTTGGCTTTGATTGTGTTAGCCACGATGGTATGCTACTCAAATAAAGATTCTTTAAGGTAAACAATGCCTCCAAGTTCTTTAAAGAGTTTTATCTGTCGGAACCATGACGTTAAGCCTGCTCACAAGGTTGGGAAGTTTTAACAAGTTTTAAGTTTTAACAAAAAGGTATTTTAAGCACAAAGGGAGGTACAGAGAGTCCTTGACTCACAAACACCCATTTAGCGACTGTTTCAAATTACAACGGCGCTGAAAAAAGTGACTCGTGACTGTTTTTCACCTGCTCACGGGGGCTGCTGCAACAGCTGTAAGTGTAAAAAAGTCATTTTTTCCAGTGCTGTTGTAACTTTGAGTGGTCACTAACAAACAGTTGTAAGTCGAGGACAATCTTTATCAGATTCCCCCTGGTTTTTAGCTCTTGCTGACTAAACACAACTCTCCTCCGACAATGGACGCCGTAAGTTCTTACCGATTTCTGCGCATCAAACATGAGGTTTTTGTAGAACTGGGTAAAATGGCTGAAGGCAATTTCACCGCGAACCTCCACCTCCTGCGCGGAGAAACGAAAAGGAACAGAAAGAGTGGATTAAATTTGTGATTTGGCAAAGAAAGAAAGCTACAATAAGACTGAAGAAAATTGGGATTTTTGACTTACTAGTGAGTAAGGGGGTTGTTATTGTACTGTTATTTTGTCCCCCTTTTTCTTAACTCCTGTGGCAGAACAAGCTTGCAACGTGGGGCAAAACTCATTTAACTGCCTCACTTAGCAAGATAAATCAACTCTGGTCGTAAATCGAGGACTGGCTGCAAAGAAATCAAGAGCACCCATCTGCTTACCACGAGTTTATCTCGAAGGAAACGCATATTCGGCACGCGGCAGTTGACCTGGGGTAACATGGCCTTCAGATCCTTGGGGCTGATGCTGCAAGAGAGATAACAGTTGGACGTGCGTTCAGACCCACACAACGATACTCACACCCCCACCTGTGTGGCCCAGTGCTTAAGGAGGGGGGGGGTTCTCCTCATTTAATCCCTACATGGCAGGAAAAAAAACCCTGGCCTACACAGCTGCACAGCTCTTTTCATGGTGGGGAGAGGATTTGAACACAGGACTCGTCCCGGTCAGATATCTAGAGATTGCATTACGCCGCACAAAGAAAATAAACTTTGAGGGGGGGTGGGGTCTAAAGGGTGAACTCCACATTGCTGAAATTGCAGATTATATTTTAATTAAGATTTTTCTGTCAATGTTTCCCAATCTTTGCAACTTTAAGAGGGGTGGACTTCGACTCCCAGAATTCCCCAGCCAGCTCTGCTGGCTGGGGAATTCTGGGAATCGAAGTCCACCAATCTTAAAGTTGCAAAGCTGAAAAACCACTGGTCTATACATTTGTCCCAGATCCCAATCCACAGGGAAAGATTAGAATTTGCTTGAAGAATTATGACAGCTGCAAATAATATTCTCCTGATAGACAAGACCCTTGGACAAAGACACCGCCCCACTTCGGTTCTTTTATTTTTATATTTTTATTTATTAATGGAACTTATGTGCCGCCCATCTTGCCTGGAGGATGGCAAACGATTAAAAACAGCACGACAATATTCTTAAAAATGATATTCACGCTATGATCTTCTCCTGCTGAAACCAAGCTGCCGTTCCCCATTGCAGGCAGCAGGGGGCAGCAGGAGGCATTCCCACCCCAGGTCTCCTGCTTCTCTGCGCTCCCAGTTTGGGCTAAATCCTCAAACTGGTTTTTGCAGAGTAGAAACTGGGTGCTCTCCTCTTGCAAAAAGGGCTTCGAACCGTGAAAGCGGCTTCAACCTAGGGGTAAAATTTTTGCTAAACTAACGAATATGTCATTCAAATTAACATTAAACATAAAAAAAAAGTCCAGCCTGATTGAATGCTGAAGATTACGTAAAATAATAATAATAATAATAATAATAATAATAATAATAATACAACATCAAGCACACTGAAGTCAAGAAAAAGATTAGAGGTGAATACATCAAGAGAGTGAAGAAGATCTTAAAATCCAAACTCAATGGAGGAAATACCATAAAGGCAATCAACACCTGGGCAATCCCAGTCATTAGGTACACAGCTGGAATAGTGGACTGGACTCAAGCAGAACTAAAAGCAATGGATAGGCAGACCAGAAAAATAATGACAATGAATCATGCCCTTCATCCACGCAGTGACATTGATAGACTTTATCTACCAAGGCAAATAGGTGGGCGTGGAATGCTACAAGTACATCAGATGGTTGAAGAAGAAAAAATGGCTTTGGAAGAATATCTGAAGAACAATGATGAAGATGCACTGAAATTAGTATATCAGGAAGGCTTACTAACTACTGGAGAGACCAAACTGGCCTACAAGAAAGACCAAATGAAGAACAGAATAGAGGCATGGGAAGACAAAGCACTACATGGCCAATACATTAAAAAAATAGCTGGGAAAGCAGATAATAATAAGACCTGGCAATGGCTAAGAGCAGGAAAATTGAAGAAAGAGACCGAGGGACTAATTCTGGCTGCACAAGACCAAGCCTTAAGGACAAATGCATACAAAGTCAAAATTGAGAAGACAGCAACAGACAGTAAGTGCCGCCTATGCAAAGAAGCTGAAGAAACAGTGGACCACTTGGTAAGCTGTTGCAAGAAGATTGCACAGACTGATTACAAGCAGCGGCATGACAAAGTAGCAACAATGGTGCATTGGAAGATCTGCAAAAAATATCATTTGCCTGTAAGCAAAAACTGGTGGGATCATAAAATAGAGAAAGTCATAGAAAATGATAAAATTAAACTGCTCTGGGACTTTAGAATTCAAACAGACAAGCACCTGCAACATAACACCCCAGACTTAACAATTGTCGATAAGAAAGACAAAAAAGTCTGGATAGTGGACGTGGCAGTGCCTGGAGATAGCAGAATAGAAGAGAAAGAACTGGAGAAGATAACAAAATACAAAGACCTACAAATAGAAATAGAAAGACTGTGGCAAAAGCAAGCAAGGGTAGTACCAATAGTAATAGGCTCCTTGGGTGCAATCCCAAAACAACTGGAGCACCACTTGAACACCATTGGCATTGACAAATTCGCTATTAGTCAATTGCAAAAGGCGGCCTTACTAGGAACTGCTTCCATCCTGCGACGATACCTGTAATACCATCAAACATCCACATCTGCCTATCCCAGGTCCTGGGTAAGGACTCGATAGGTAGACAAAATGCCAAATCCAGTCTGAACATCTGGCTGACTGTGCGATGATTGATAATAATAATAATAATAATAATAATAATAATAATAATAATAATAATAATAATAATAATAAAGTTGGAAGGGACCTTGGAGGTCATCTAGTCCAACCCCTTGCTCAGGCAGGAAACCCTATACCATTTCGGACAAATAGCTGTCCAGTCTCTTCTTAAAAACTTCCAGTGTTGGAGCATTCGCCGCTTCTGGAGGCAGGTAGTTCCACTGGTTAATTGTCTCACTGTCAGGAAGTTTCTCCTTAGTTCCAGGTTGCTTCTCTCCTTGATTAGTTTCCATCCGTGGCTTCTTGTCCTGCCTTCAGGCGCTTTGGAGAATAGCTTGACTCCCTCTTCTTTGGGGCAGCTCCTGAGATACTGGAAGACTGCTATCCTGTCCCCCCTTGTCCTTCTCTTCATTAAACTAGACATACCCAATTCCACCAACGTTCCTTGTATGTTTTAGCCTCCAGTCCCCTGATCATCTTCGTTTGATGGTTTGTCCTGGCCGTAGGTAACAAATCTCCAAGCAATTATCAACTTTCCCATCTCTATTTAATAAAAAATATTACGTTGCCTAAAAATATGGCCCTGATGCGGGAATCTGTTTGTCTGTCAATCAAATCAACCCAGCCTCTGTTCATTGTATGTATGTATGTATGTATATATTTATGTATTTGTTTTCTGAGGTTTTGCGGGTGTTTGTATGTAGGTCTTTGGTTATTCGGATTTTCTCCCGCATAAAATTGGAAGTGTCTTGGCGACGTTTTGACGAAGTCCCATTCGTCATCTTCAGGCTGGTGTTTTCGGCTTCGTGCTTCTAGGAGCACGAAGCCGAAAACACCAGCCTGAAGATGACGAATGAGACTTCGGCGAAACGTCGCCAAGACACTTCCAATTTTACGCGGGAGAAAACCCAAATAACCAAAGACCTACATATTTATGTATGTATATATGTATGTATGTATATGCAGGTCTTGGTGTATTTGGGTCTTATCCCGTGTAAGATTGAGAGTATCTTGGCGACGTTTAGATGAGGTCCCACTCATCATCTTCAGGCTGGAATCTTCGGCTTCGTGCTTGGTGTGTGTGTGTGGAGTGCTGGTTTAGTTGCTGTAGGTGGATTGATTGGCTGTGTGGGAGTTATTGTTTGTGGATTGTTTGGCTGTTTCGTAACATCCTGAGTAGTTGAGGTGCTGGCTGTGTGCCCATTAGTCTTTTGCGTTGTAACGACCTGGGTAATGGGTTGTGTGATGACATCCTGAGATCTAGTGTAGTGATATCCTGAGTTCTGTGTTCCTACATTAGATCTCAGGATGTCATCACACAACCAATATATAGAGAGAGACGACAGCTCCGATCACACTTTGCTCACAGAAGCACGAAGCCGAAGACCCCAGCCTGAAGATGACGAGGGGGACCTCGTCGAAACATCGTCAAGATACTCTCAATCTTACACGGGAAAAGACCCGAATATACCAAGACCGGCATACCTATACCCGTGAAAATCTACGAAAATCTGTTAACCAACACTGGAAGTTTTTAAGAAGAGACTGGGCACCCATTTATCCAAAATGGTCTAGGGTTTCCTGCCTGAGCAGGGGGCTGGACTAGATGACTTCCAAGGTCCTTCCCAACTTTATTATTATTAAACCCGCTATTATATTTACCACGCAGAAAGTTCCCAAACGGTTCTGATAAAGTTATCTAATCCATTGTCTTTAATCAATAGGAACGGTGTAGGAAACCCTATATTTGCCTGAAATGGTACAGGGTTTCTTGTTTGAGCTGGGGGTTGGACTAGAGCAGTGGTTCTTAACCTGGGCGATATTGCCCCCCAGGGGGCGATTTCGTTTTTCAAGGGGGCGATGGAATGAAAAGGGGCGACGTGGGGGCAAAGGAAGGAAAAGGGGGCAATATGGGGGCGATGGAACAAGACGTTTTGGGAACACTTGAGATCTTTTCATACAGTGAATCGCTGTATTCGTGCTTCTAGGAGCACGAAGCCGAAAACACCAGCCTGAAGATGACGAATGAGACTTCGGCGAAACGTCGCCAAGACACTTCCAATTTTACGCGGGAGAAAACCCAAATAACCAAAGACCTACATATTTATGTATGTATATATGTATGTATGTATATGCAGGTCTTGGTGTATTTGGGTCTTATCCCGTGTAAGATTGAGAGTATCTTGGCGACGTTTAGATGAGGTCCCACTCATCATCTTCAGGCTGGAATCTTCGGCTTCGTGCTTGGTGTGTGTGTGTGGAGTGCTGGTTTAGTTGCTGTAGGTGGATTGATTGGCTGTGTGGGAGTTATTGTTTGTGGATTGTTTGGCTGTTTCGTAACATCCTGAGTAGTTGAGGTGCTGGCTGTGTGCCCATTAGTCTTTTGCGTTGTAACGACCTGGGTAATGGGTTGTGTGATGACATCCTGAGATCTAGTGTAGTGATATCCTGATACATTAGATCTCAGGATGTCATCACACAACCAATATATAGAGAGAGACGACAGCTCCGATCACACTTTGCTCACAGAAGCACGAAGCCGAAGACCCCAGCCTGAAGATGACTCGTCATGCGCGTTGCGCAGCAGCCTCTACCCATACAGGTGGTTTCCTGCCTGAGCAGGGGGCTGGATTAGATGACTTCCAGGTCCTTCCCAA